ATCCCTCTCCTGAAGGGTGTTCTCCAGAGCTTGCACCAACTGCTGCATAGAAGAAGTAATGGCTTAAGCAAGATTTTAGGGATCATTGAGGAGAAAATGCAGAAGCAACCACTTTTGTTCAGCTTCATAGCAAAGATCACCGTTATTCCTTACCCGCTCTAGGAGGGACAGGAAGGGGCAGCAGACAGCCCACAGGTTTGCTTGGTGAGGTTGTGGGTTTCCCACAGGTTGTGTTTGCCATATGGGTTCATGTAGCACATGAACAGCCTGGCTGTCCCCAGGCCTTCTGCTGAGCTGCAACAAGGACAGCAGTGGCAGGACTGAGCCCTCTGGTCCACGTGCTCACACTTCGGTGTGTGGAGCCATGCCTGGTCCTGACAGTGTCACCGTCCCTTGCAGGTGACACGCTGTTTGTGGCTGGATGTGGGAAATTCTTCGAGGGAACCCCAGAGGAGATGTACAGAGCCCTGATTGAGATCTTGGGCACCTTGGACCCCAAAACGGTACGAATCCTCCTTTTGTGCTAGTAAATTAAACCAGCCACAAACTACTCCAGACATCAAAGAAACTGTCTTCCTAATAGCACTGTTGTTCAAAGAGAGAGTTGAAGGAATGAATGCTTACATAGGGAACTGTCTTTGATGCTTGAATAGCTGGAGTGCTCGGGGAAGGAAATACCTATCCCATATGTTTGTGCTTTGTGGGGACAGAGTAGGGGCTGCTTATTAAAACAAGGCTGATGAGCTGGGACGCTCAGGCTCTTTCATCAGGCTTGCTGTGGAACTGGCAGATAGTACTGACTGATAACTCCTGGCATTTCTCCTGTGTGGGTCTCCAGTGGAGGGTGGGGTGTGTTCTTGAGGGTTGGCCACATTGATGGTGGTGCCTGGTGACTCCAGCTTTGTGCCTTCAGAGGTACGCAGTGTCACTCTTCCCTTCTTTTCCTAGAGAGTTTACTGCGGTCACGAATACACGATCAACAACCTCAAGTTTGCTCGACATGTTGAACCCAATAATGCTGCCATCCAGGAAAAGCTTGCTTGGGCCAAGGTAATCTCATTCGTCCTTTCCCTAGGCTTGATGCCTCCATGGAGACAAAGCTTTTCTGAGGAGGTGGAGGAGAGAAGACAACACTGGGGAGAAAGAGAGGCTGAGGAGAGGGAGGCCAGGGGAGCGATGTGTGAGGGAACAGCGTTTGTTTGTGGCCCAGAGAAGACAGTTTGCTCCTGGTGGAGATGTGACCCTCTCTGGAAGCTTCTTGGTATAATTACAGGCTGATGTCCATGTCTGTCTGGGAGGGTGTGTGTCCCCAGTGTCTCTGTGTGCACCTCAGTGCTTGTTGGCTGTGTGCTGCCCTGGGAAGGGCCTGGCCTGAGGAGCAGCTCAGGTAGTTCAGTGCAGCACTAACCCTGCGTGGTTCATACACAGGACATCTCTTGGTCACTAAAACCTTCCTCATGAAGCAGAAATCTCTCCATTGTTACAGGCAAAGTATGACAGTGGTGAGCCAACCATACCCTCCACCATTGCAGAAGAGTTTACATACAACCCCTTCATGCGAGTGAGGTATGGGGGAAGTGTGGGGATGCTCCTTGTGTTTGGAGGGGGATGTGGGAAGTGAAGGTGTGCAGAAAAAGAGCTGTAAGTGGGAATTGCTCTTCTGCTTTACATATTCCTGCTCTGATGCCCTCAAGATGCTCCTTCAAATACACTCGCTGTTCTGGCAAAAGCTTGCTGCAGTGCAGCATGAAGGGTTGTGGTGAGCATCTCTGCCAGTGCTGAAGTCCCTGACTCAGGAGACAGAACAAGTTTCATTGTGTAATTACATTCCCTCATAAAGCAGAGTTTGGCAGCAGCAGATGCTGTCCAAGGCACAAAAGCATTTCCAATTTCCTCTTGCCATTGAGCATTTAAACCAAGGGAGCCGATAAGCCTGTGCCAGAGCTCCAAGTCTTTCATCTTTAAGTGCAACATTTCCCCTTGATGCAGGCGAAACATGATAGTAGTGACTTCATTGCTGAGATTTTATCTTGCAGTTCTTGCATGTGGTGTTTTCCTCTGGCAGGGAGAAGACAGTACAGGAGCATGCTGGGGAGACCGACCCCATCCGAACAATGGGGGCCATCAGGAAAGAGAAGGATAATTTCCGAGTGCCGAAGGACTGAGCACTGCCTGGATCACTAATGTCAGTTTAAGTGTAATTTAGACTGTTCAGATGTCTTAGGAGTTGAACCTTTTGTTGTGGTTGAGTCATATTTAGGCTTTTATTTTGTTTTAATTAAGGTTAAAAGAAGCACTTTGCCCTTGTTGAGATGTTCTACAGCATATTTATATTATGATGAAGAATATTTATCCTTCTATTGCTGGCTCTCAAACTGTCACACATGTCACATGCAGATCATTTTCCAAGTGTTGATACATGGCTCAGAGCCTGGGGTGGGGAAGGGTCGAACCCTGAGGTCTAGGAAGAAGCTCTTGTTCTGACTGTAGGAGCGTGCTACAGATGACAGTGGGACTGTGCCCTGAGATGTCTTCATCTAAACCAGACAAACTGCAGTAACTACATTGCCAGCTGAGGAGTTGAACTTGCCTGTCATGCTGCTACTAAAATGCCTCCAAGCCTGGCACCTCTGACTCCACTAAAACCAGTTCTTGGTGACCTACTCTGCTGGTGTGGGGCTCAGCTGGTGACATCTTGCTCTGACCATGGCCCCTGGGGGCTGCCCAGCTATTTTCTCTCTGACATTCCCTGCCCTGGGCTGCAGTAACTTTACCAGGCAGCTGCTTAGAGGTTGCACTGTTGCTTAAACCCTCCACTCTTAAGCCTGTCTGCATGTTACCTGCTTACTGCTTTCAAGTGTGACCTGTACGTTACTTGTATTAGTACCACACAAATGAAGAAGGGATTTGTCTGCCTGCTTAAATCCTGAGAAGAAACCACTTACCTAGTGACCATGTGCTGATGGGACTTCTCTACTGATGCCTTGCTGCTGAGAGCCAGGGCAGCTGCTTTGTGCCTTGCTGTGAGTAATGGGACAAATGAGTATTTTACTGCCTGTTTGCTGTTTCCCAGTGGGAGAGCAACTGTTGTGCTGAGAGTCTGCCTTTGGGGCTGTATGTGCTGGGGGGCTGATCACCAAAAGGGTGCTCAGGCATTGGAACAGGCAGTGGTGGAGTCACTGTCCCTGGAAGTTTCTACAAACCATGTAGACAAGGCCCTCAGTGCCATGGGTTAGTGGTGGCCTTGGCAAAGCTGGGCAACGGTTGGGCTTGATGAGCTTAAAGGGCTTTTCCAAGTGTGTGGCAGAGTGGGTGAATGGGATAAACTTTGGGGGAAAACTAATCCAAGTTTGCAGTGAGGGGGTCCTGCACTTCCCATCCTCCAGCTTGACATCTTCACACACAAGAGATGTGAGTAAAGGGTGAGGAGCATCCTTGTGGGCTTGGCATCTGTGTCTGTAATGCATCTTCCTCCTAGTGGTATCTCCTTCCTTGTCTCATGCTCTCTGCTTGCTGCAGATGTGCTCAAGTACAAGAGGTTTTCAGACAAATCTTTTGCACCTAAACCTAACAGAAACATCAAACGATTTTGGTTCTGCTTTATCCCCCTCTCCCCAGTGCATGTTGGTAAGTAACCCCACAATGGATTGTCACTTGGGGTCCCTGGTGTAACCACAGGCTGCTGTTCCTCAGTGTCTGAGTGGGGTTTGGGGTAGCACCGTTTCTTTATTTGCTTTAAAAAGGTGAATTTGATGTAGTTCAGACAGAAAAGTGGTACCTGAATCTTCACTACCTTGAATGCTGTGCTGCTACAACGGAGCGTGGTTGTACCGGTGGCTGTTTGATGGACAGCAAATAAATGACAACTGTAAAGCCAGCGCTGGTGAGATGGGCTGCAGGAGGGGAGGTTTTTATCATACAGTTTCATTGACTTTATTCTTCAGTACTAGTGGTTGAATCAACCAACTGGAGGCATCCTTTGACCTAATCCTCATACTCCAATACTGTATGAGGTTGTTCCAGCTGCAGATCCCCTCTTCCTATCCCCATACTCATATAGTACAGAAGGGTCACAAAGAGGCTCAGGGGGTGCAATGGAACCTGAATCAATTGGGATTTAAAAATCACAATTTCTGTGGAAGTCCAGAGGTGTGTGCATTGCGGAAAGCCCTTGGCTGGACTAGACCATCTTTACAGGCCCCTTCCAACCCAAACCGTACTATGATTCTGTAATCCAAGGGGGGTATTTTGGGATACTCTGGGGCTTGATTCAAGGTGTTGTTACAACTTTGAGACATGGTCAGTGCTTGTTTCCTGCTTGCAGGGGCTGTTCCCTCCTTCACCCATGGCAGTTACAGGACCACATCAGCTCCAAACCAGAGCTTGTGCCTGGCTGAGAATGGAGCTGGAGCTCTCTGTATGTCCACCCCATGCCTTTGGTGCTGTTTGGGCTCTATAGGTGGTAGCCCTGTCCCTCCTGAAGTGTTCAGATGTGTCCCTACCCTTGTATGCCGGTGCCACATCCCATTCCTGGTGGGAGCTGACACCCCCAGCCCTGCTGCAGCCCCTCATCCTCCCTGGAGCACACTGATGGTGTCTGCTTCTGCCTGCGGGGCTGTGACTTTGTCAAACCCCTGTTTCGGGATACGGGGGGCCACCATTGAGGGACCGCATGCCCGGACCCCCCCTGGTGGTACCTGGTTGCGGGTTAACCCCGCAGCGGGTGCGTGATGCGGGTCCCGGTGCGGTGCTGGGGGGCGGCTCCTGGGAGGCCCCGTGCCCCGCTCGGTGTCACCGCCCCGCGCAGCCGGACCCGCCCCGCACCGAGGGGAGGGGGGGGCGGGACGCGCCCGAGCGCTGCGGGAGGGGCCGCAACGGGGCCTCCCGCAGGTACCGGCTGCGTCACGCGTGGGGCGGCCTGGGGGGGCGGACACTGGTACAGCGACCCCTCCCCTGTGCCCGCGGCTGCGAGGGGCTGGGATCCCCCCCTCCCTTAGTGCTGCTTCGTGGGCACCCTCCCCCCCCGCGTCCTGCGGGCGGTGCTGGTGCGGGAGCATGAAGGTGAAGGTGATTTCCGTCCTGGAGGACAACTACATGTACCTGGTCATCGAGGAGAGCACCCGCGATGCCATCGCCGTGGATGCTGCTGTGCCCAAAAGGGTGAGTTACAGCCCCGCTGTGCCCCGGGTGGGTTGTGGGGTCCCATGCGGCGACGCGTCCGTGGTGGCGGTGGGCATGTGTGGTGTTCACATTTGGGGGCTTCAGATGGAGCATCCTAGCAGCATCGCTGACCCCTGCTCAGCCCCATGGTGTGGGGTATCTGTGCCAGACCTGCCTCCATGGAAGAGACATTTCTGTCTGGGCTGGAGCCTGACAGACCCCCCAGCAAAGGAAAATAACCCTGAACAGAGCTTTGGAGCACGCTCGCATGTGAAATCCTCACTCTGGGGAGGAATCGCTCCTTGTTGCTGGCTCCCTGGGCTGGTGACAGACCCCCTCGTGCCCCCTCAGCCGCAGCGCATCCTGCCAGTGCTGTCGCGGGTTTTGAGCGTTTGTTGCTGACTCGGACGTTTCCTTCCTCTCGGAGGAGCGGAACCGGGAGCCGCCGCAGGGGTGTTCCGAGCGGTGCACGTTAAGTTGGTGTTAGAACCGTCCTGGCAGCCCCGCACGGCTCCTCGCTGTGGCCAGCACCCATGGCGTGGACACCGTCTCGCTGCTGTGGTGAGAACGCCATGGTCTGTGCTGCACATCCGTGCCGGGCTGGGAAAGCACCGGCCATAAAGTGCCGCTGTCCCATGGGGACAGGGTGTTCCTATCAGCCTCCTCTGCTCTGTGCTCAGACAGCTCGGACTTCATCCTAACCACAACCCAGGAGGTGGTTTTGGGTGCTCTGCCTCTCGCTGGGACAGATCCTGTGCTGGGATAGGCATGGTGGCCACAGGAGCCATGGTGCTCTTCCTTCTTCTGGCTGAATGTGGTTCTGGTCAACCTGATCCAGATGAAAATGCCCTGTTCATTGTAAGAGGTTGGACTAGATGAGCTTTGAAGGTCCCTTCCAACCCAAACCATTCCATGATTCCATACTCCGGGTCTGTTTCAGTTGCTGGAAATCATCAGGAAGGAGGATGTGGTGCTCAGAGCCATCCTCACCACCCATCACCACTGGTAAGTGCTGCTGGTGCGAGTCGGGGATTGGGGTGGCCATGATCCAAATGGGATCAGCAGTGCCCATTCCCTCCTCTCCTGGTGCAGGGACCATGCAAAGGGCAACGAGGAGCTAGCGAGGCTCTGCCCTGGCCTGCGCGTGTACGGTGCTGATGAGCGGATCGGGGCCCTGACGCACAAGGTGACCCACGAGCAGGAGCTGATGGTGCGTGCCCGTAGGACCCTGCACGGATCCTGCCCCATGGTGTGGCCATGGCGCTGGGTTGATGGGGAGCAGAGCTGAGCCGTGGTGCTGGGGCGGTTGCAGGTGTGGCACCACAGGTTGGGGTTGGGATGGAGCACTGGGCTGGAGGAGAAACCTCGTCCCATTCCCAGCCCCTTTGGTACTGCACTGCGGGATGCAGCCCTCTCCTGGGACACCATCAGAGCAGACTCATGCAACATGGGTCTCACCCAAAACCAGCATCCCCAGCACGTGTGGCCTCCTGAGCCCCCGGTGGGTGACACTGCAGGGCCTGGGGGGGGTCTGACTGCACATCAGGGTGACACCAGCTTGGTCCTGACCCTCTTCCCCCACAGTTTGGGGCCATCCGGGTGAGGTGCCTCTTCACCCCCTGCCACACCTCAGGCCACGTGTGCTACTTCATGTGGGAGGATGGCTCTCCTGATGCTCCAGCTCTATTCTCAGGTATCACACCCTGCAGCCATGCAGCAGGACATGCTGTGTGCCTGCTGCCTGTCCCCCTGCCTGTCCCCCCATTCCTGGGAGCGGGACCAGGGTCCCCTCCATATCCATACCCCATTCCCTGCAGGTGACACCCTGTTTGTGGGAGGCTGCGGGAAGTTCTTTGAGGGCACAGCAGAGCAGATGTACACCAACCTCACCCAAATCCTGGGGGTTCTGCCAGAGGAGACGGTGAGTGCTCCACACCTCACCTACAGCCTAGGAAAGGAACCCCAAAACGAGGAGGGGGCTCGAGGGTAGCATTGCCCATCCCTGGGGCTGCAGTGGGACCTGTGTGAGTGTCAGATCCAGCACCAGGAGCATGTTTGATGCTGGTTGCAGAAGGTGTTCTGTGGCCATGAATACACCGTCCGGAACCTCAAGTTCGCCTTGAAAGTGGAACCAGAGAATGAAATAGTGAAGAAGAAGCTCGCATGGGCCAAAGTAAGTGGCTGTGTCCCTGCTGGGGTGGGGTGTGAAGGGGGATGCTGGCTCATGTTGGGCTTTCGGATGTCTCTGGTTCCTCCGCAGCAGCGGGATGATGAGGACTTGCCCACGGTGCCCTCCACGCTGCAGGAGGAGTTCCTCTACAACCCCTTCCTGCGGGTCACGTAAGCAGTGATGGGCCCCACTGCAGGGACACCCCAGACTGGTCCTGCCCCATGCTCTGCTCCCCTTTTCCTTCCAGCATCATCCCTTTTCCCAATGGCTTTGCTGGCCAGTGACAACTCCAAACCCTGAGGGAGGGGACACAGGATCTTGCACCACACACACCATGGGTGCCACAGATGAGCCCTGTGGTCCCCAGCACCCTCAGCACAGGGAGATGACCCCATTGTCCATCAGGGAGGAGGGTTGCCATCCCACCCGCCCCAGTCCCAGCAGAGCTAGTCTCCTTGCAGGGAAGAGGCTGTGCAGAAGTTCACGGGCAAGACGGACCCAGTGGAGGTGCTGAGGACCCTCCGCACCGAGAAGGACAACTTCAAGAAGCCCAAGGAGCGGCCCAACCCTCAGGCCATGCTGGCGTTTGACTGGGGACTCTTCAGCCCCTTCCTGGAGAAGAAGTGAGCAGCTGTGGTACCACTGTCCCCATCCTGGTGGGAGCTTCCCCTGGGCTGTGTCCCTCCGGCTCTCACTCCCATCAGATTCAGCACATGGCATAGGGATGTGTAACACAACCACTGCCTTATGGAAGCCATCCAAACCACTGACCCTGTGCAAAGCAGCACCAGGTGGAGATGAGGCCTGGAGGGATGCGTGCTCCAACCCACTGGCTTCAGAAAACACTTCTCAAGGCAGGACAGCATTCAGGCAGCAAACACCAAGGTGCTGCTCCCCATCCATTGCTGCTTCCCCCTCCAGGATGAAAGCCTGGGAAGCTCTTGGCTGAAAGCTGCATTTATGTGGCCTTCTATTCAGAACAAGAGCTGAGGAGCAGTGGGGTCCCTTGAGCCTCTTCACTTTGCAGCCTCTTCCTTCAGGTTGTGCAGAACCTACTGTGTTTTGGGTTTTAAGTGTGAGTGATGTGCAGAGCTTGGTTTTATGCAGGTGGTGGGAGGTGCATTATAAAGTAGTTTTATTTTTGGGGTTGATGGCAGCTCTGTAAATAGCTGTGAAGTTCCCCCTGAAGGGCCTGGGCTGCTCCAGGTTCTTCTCTACCTCCACATGCAGCATGTGACTGTCTTGGTGCTGCTGCACCTACCCTTCTTGTGCACAGCTCCAGAGAACATAGAGGAGCTGCTCCCATCATCCTCTCCCCCATGTTGTTGTTTTAAACAGTGCCAATTATAAACTATATTGTTTCTTAACACTGGAATAGAGTTGACTTCAGGATCTTTCACGTGTGGATTGCATCACTTCCCAGTGCTGCCAGGTTTGTGGCCATTTCCTTCCCTTGCTAGAAGCAAGGCTAAGGTTTTTGGTTGCCTTTTAAGTTATAGTGTTAGAATTCATCCTGCTGCACAAGCTGCCTGTTACCATGTTTAAATGTAATTGGACAGTTTGCAGATGTTACCTGTGTGTTCCTTAGGAGGTTCGTGTACAGTAGGAGCAGGATGAACCCCGTGTGCTCAGGGAGGGCTCTTGGACCAGCACCAGCTCTGTTCATGCTGGCAGAAGCAGCTCAAGAACAAGCTCCATGTTCTTAAGAGCTTGGAGTGTCTGTAAAGCTGACTTGGCTTGTTTCAAGTGGAGAACCCGATGGCTTTGGCAATGTGCAGGTAACTGGAAAAGAGACTTATGTAGAGCCCCAGTTGTTTCATCTCCAGCTAATTTAGATTTGTGCACTTCCAGCCTGATGTGCATGTTCTCAACAGAAACAGCATGCGTCTCCCTTGCACTGAGGTACAGGGTTGATGGTCTCAGCACTTTTGGACTGACCCTGTGTCAGCAGTGGTCCCTCCTGTGGATAACTACCTGCTTTAGTGTAACACTGTGTTATAAAGCTATGCATGGGAAAGGGTGCACTGAAAGCACTGAAATGAGGGTGGGCAGGGGGAGGTTCTCACCTTAGGAACACTGTGAATTCACTCACTGATCAGCGGCACCTGAAAAATGTACAGCTTTAATTAAAAACCAGTATCAAAAATGACTTTTACACTCTTGCCTTTACTTAGAACAGAGAGGAGGAGCTTGGAGGAGGACACAGACTGTGCTGCAGGGAGACGCAGGTCAATCAAGGGCTGGCAGCTTTGCTCTGACAGCTGAGCTCAAGGTCTGCAGTAATGGTGGGAGGATCCTTGCCCAGGGTTCAGCCTGAGCTAGATCCAGGCACCAGCTCCCGCTGGTTGCATTTCCTCTGAAGGAACAAAGCAATGGGGAAGCTTTTGCCCAGTTTACTCCCTGTAGAGTCCTTCCTCACAGAGCAGGAACTGGAAATACTGAAGTGATTCAGCAAGGTGGTTCTTCAGCTCATGGTCACTTGCAGCTACACCAGTCATCAGGAGAGATCCCGCATCTATCAGCATCCCCTTGAGTTCAGGTACAGTTGTGAATCCTCTTGCACATCCTTCCCCTCCACACACACACTGGAGCTCCAATAGGCATTCACATTAAATAGACCAAAACCAGTTCATAATTCAGTTGTTTTTCTGTGCACAGCTCTGAAAACACTCCCACATATAAAAACAGTGAGACAGGCACACGTCACCTCCAGCAACAATAGCCCAAAGCTGCTTCACATCCATCTGTCTTCTGGTAAAGCATCATAACATGCTGCATTAAACCAGATGTGCTTTACTAACCTCTTGGATTGCTCCAGTAAACTACTTGTAGAGATTACACCTCACAGGCACCTTCTAGTAACTTTAGTGCAGTAACACCTTTCAGAGACACTAAGGGCTTTGTCCTTCCTTGGCAACAAAGCTGGTAATTCCTGAAACACTGAAAATACTGTTTTCTCTGACTTTAATCACATTATCCATCAGTAACTGCTGTCAAGGATGGGGTAGATGTGCCAATCCTGTGACTCCCTCCACTGTGTATTTAGGTAGAGAGATATAATTACCCACAGCTATAGACAACTGTTATAATTAGAGGGAATAAAGTCACTATTAGCTTTCTCTTCAACATTCAATTCACATTGCAGCAGGCAAAAAAAGCAGCCCCAGAGATGCTGCTGCTCACCGGATGCTGGTACCACCCCCTGTGACAGGGCAAAGAAACCACACTCCCTCAGAGCAGTGAAATGTTAAAGCAGAACCTTGAGGTCTAATGAGACCATTCCTAACTTACTGAGGGTGTCCCAGCAGAGGCAGCCATAAAAATGAGTGCTGTGAACACACAGCAAGGCCTGGAGGAGTAATTCTGTCATGGAGCACAAAGCTCACCTCAGTGAGGCTACAGCCCACTGCAAGCCAGCTCCTCCAGTACCTTAAATCATCAGTTCTGGGAGGAACAGGGCTGTAAAGAGAGTGCAGGTTTCATCCTACGTGGAGCCCAGGCTGCATAATGCATAAAAGCCAGTGTTTGGGTTTTATTTACATCACTTCAATAATCATAAAGCTGTAGGTATTACATTGCCTGCCTATACACACATTGCCTCCTCGTCCCTCACGAGTCAGAAATTGCACAGAACTTTAGCTCTTTTGAGCATCTTAAACATAATTGGGTCAAAAAGGCACCGAGTGTCTGCATCTGGGCTTCTCAGTGTCACCATTTGATGTTAAATCCAGTGCTTGTCTTCTCCACGGCGTGGTATTCCGTGTGCAAAGCTTTCACAGCCTTTTCCGACTCCACACCACCCAGCCACTGCTCATAGAGCTCACGGACAGTCCGGTTCTCCTCTGGAACTGCAGTCTGAACAGACTCATACAACGCCTCAACCTGCTGCAGCTGGTCCTTGCTGGAGTCACCATCGAGTTTGATCTGACCACCTCCATTTAAACAGCCTGTGTGCAACGAGGTGAGAAAACAGCACTGAGGTTAGAAAGCACTTCAGCTTCAGCAGACAAACCCAAACCGCAACTGCAAACAGCTACATAAAGAGAGCATGATGACAGTTGTGGTTTACTCCTCAGCTACCTAACAGCAGCAGAGCTGCAGCTCTAGAAGGGAGATCCCTGGCCTGGTGTGCCCCAGTGTCAATTCAGACTGCAGAAAGCTGGGACACAGGGATGCCAGGAGGTCCTGGCTCTCACCTTGTGCCTCCAGAGAAAGGCCAGGACACATTTCAGGTGAGAACAGCCTTGGGGTCTCAACCGAAGGTAAGAAACATGCCTGGGATACGTTCTGGGTTTGCTGTTGGGGTGGAGTTTGACTACGTAGCATTTGGCTGCACCAAGAGGTGTCCTGGTGGGCTGGGGCTGTGCAGACCTCCAAGGAGATCTGCTCAAACATGCAAAGAGAAAGAGGAGGGCTTGCACAAGGTGGAAAAGGGAATAAAACAGGTAGCGAGAGACTCTTCAGCAGCCACAGCAAATGTTCTCTAAAAGCATTAACAGTCGATTTTGTGCAATTTTAGAGGCAGAATCTCCTCATGTACCAAAGGGCTCAGAAAACCAGGAGGGCTTCCTTAAAAGCACTAACTATGTAAATTTAGTGCACTGGAATTTAATCGTCATTCCTTAAATCCTGAAGAATTTATTTCCTGCTTCTAGGCAGGAAAACATACATACAAACAGCACTAAAATACTGATGCTGCTTGGTGGTGTCACGGTTTGGGCAGAGCTCCACAGAGCTGCTCACAGCTGTGAGCTGAGGCACTGCAATCCCAGTGTGGTCATTACCTGAGGGACAGGCCATGACTTCCACATAGTGGTAAGGCGATCTCCCTCGTTTCAGCTTCTGCACCAAGTTCTGGATGTTTCGAAACCCATACGCCAATGCAAACTGGAGCAGGACTGCTCCATCCTTCTCCAGTGTCACCTCCTGGAAGTCCTTGTTTCTGAGGAACAAGAGCAGGTAAAACACCTTCTCCCAATTAACTGCTATTTTAAACTTCAAAGAGCCCTGTGCTAAGCCAGGTCTTGCTCAAGAAAGCTGTCCTAGTTCTTTGCCACCCAAAGAAAAGAGATGAAGGAACCATCTAACAGATCCTTTTCAGCCTGGTTGGAGGACCCACCACCTGAGCTGGCTTTGCTGAGGAACACCTGTGTTGAATAAATCCTTAAAAGCTGAGCAAATGGAGCCTGAACAAGAGCTTCATTGTGACAGAGCTTTACAGCTGGCTTCAGCCAAGTTAGAGGAAGCTTTTAAATAGGAGTGGGTCATAAAACAAGGAAGCAAACCATTCCTAAAGGCTTCCAGACTCCTAAGGTTGGTGGCAATACCTGTTCCTGATAAAAGAGTGAGTAATTTGATTTTTATCATGTTTTTCATAGTGAGCCTCAGGGGGACTGTTTCTTCTGCTTCCTAGTCCAGAGAATCTTAAACTTGAATATTACTAATCAAGGATGTAATTCATAACAAATGGTACTTTAGTGTTGTAGCTGGCCTAATAGTGTTGTACCTGCTACAAAGAATCTCAGCTGACTGAGCCTCCATGCCCAAACTCAAGGGACTTGTTTTCTGCCTTCCACAGCACAACTAAAAAGCCCCAAAGCCCTTACATAAGCTCTTCTGTTCTGTGACAGTGAGATTAGGAACTACTTCATTAGCCTGGCTGCAGGTGTGGCAGCTCAGATCCATGGGAGCTCTGTCTTCTAAATGACTCCAAAAGTTGCTGCAACTTGATAGTGGGAAAATCCATCAGGCCAAAGTCAAGCCTGTGGGTGGTGCAGGGGCTGAACTCTCCAAGGGAAAGGCTGTGTGAGCACTGCCTGATTTATTGCCCAGCAACTGTGGGAGTGAGAATCCAATTCCCATGCCTTGGAGTAAAATCTTTAACATTGCAAAGAAAGTTTCAGCCCATCAGCAAGATAAGAGCATGAACAGAATTCCAATGAAAATAGCGCTTTCTGTAGGGCTTTAAAGCTTCTTACTTTAAAGGTTTGTACTGAACTGTATCCACTTGAATTCCAAAGAGCTCCTTGGCTGCGTATTTGTATATGTGCTCCAAGTAGCCACCAGAACCACCTCCAGAGTGGCTTGTGAGCTCCTCTTCTGCAGTGCTGAATCTGCAGGGAGGAAGAAAGAAACAGTTTTAGGGGACTCTGTGATAAGCCAGAACAACCAGAACAAATGCAAAGGTCCAGGGGACTCAAAAGCAACAGAATAAACTCTTTCTGAGCTCCTAGCTTTTCCTTTTCTCTTGGGAACCCACTATTTATAGCTTTAGAGCCCAGCAGCTTTAACTCTGTGCTGCCTGCATCCTCTGGTCCAGCTCAGTGGAAATAACATCACATGCCACAACCAGGCTTGATCCTGCCAACTTGATCTTTGTGTACCAAGAGTACGTTTGGGAATGTTGAAGTTACAAGGGCAATGTGTAGTTTGTTAGCTTCCTGTTTAATACCTCTACAAACATCCTGGATTTGAGAGAGAAATACTAAAGCTACGGTGGTGTGGGTCTGCGCAATTCATACTTCTCTTGGAGAACACAACCTGGCAGAAGTCTTTGCTTGGTCATCTCAGGGCTAAAGCTTTCCTGCAATACCAACAAAAGCAGAGTTCATGATTGAAAGCTCTAGCTGTGTGTTATATGTTCTTTGAAACCAGCTACTTCAGATGTGGCTGCTGGGACCTGAGATATCACTGCTGGGAGGTATCAGCGCTATGACCACAAGCACAGAGACAAACCCCACGTTGTTGTGGTTTTGTGTGCTTAGAGTCAGGTAAGAAAGGTGAACGAAGCTAATGATGCCAGGACGTGGCTGTCCTCAGCAGGATCCTGGTTCAAGTTCAGCACAGCTGTGTTTAACCCCGGTTCTGTCATTCTAGTTCTGCACAAGTAATTCCCTCTCCCTGACATGCCAAAACACAACTAACCACTCACAGGTCAAGATAATGTTTCTTGAGAATATCTCACCAGATGGAGGCCACAACAATAGCTTTTGTTAGGAGAGAATAACAAGATGAGGGATCTGCTCCTAAGCACTCCTCAGGCACTGACACTTGCATTCTCCTATGAACAGCTGCAGAAGGGAAAACACTTGAACTCAGGCCAGAGAGTTTCAAGTCGAATGGAAGATGTTGCCTCTCCCAGATAACATCTTTGCTTTGGCAGAGCTGCAGAAGGCAACACTCAAGCCTGCAATCACCCCCTGAACCTATTTTTAATGTGATGTTGTTTACAGGAACTGAGCTTCATTAACAGCATGTTTCAGTGTGTCTGGCCTCACGTACTGCTGCTCTCTTAAACCGAGCCTGCCAGTGAAGCCTCAGCGCTGGCCTGGAGCAAACAGTTACAGCAGCGAAAGTCCTGGGATTTCTGGCACTTGGGTTCCTTCTTGCTGCCAAATGTAATAACCTCTTAATGGGCTTTTCCACGTGCTGGGGGATAGAGCAGAACAAGAGCCATCAGAGTGCTCCAAGTCCTGAGGAATACGTGCTGTTTGTAAGCAGTCAATTTACCCAGTGTGTTAAAGCTCCAGAAGGTGATTGAGGCACTTTATCACTGCTAGCATGAGGCCTGGTGCTCACAATGTCCTCCTAAGAACCTGGCCAGAGATGCTTATCAAGTCATTAGACATTCAGTTCTATGTTATAACTGACACTTCCATAATGTCATTTCCTAAGGGAACCCAAACACTTCAGAACCTTCTTCTCCATTTTCTGTTGATGCTGTAACAACAGAGCAGGTACAACAGAAGTACTTGTTTATGTGGGCAAAGTTTAAAGTTGTACCTTTGGGACTCAACCATGCAGGCATTTATTATAGCTGAGGATACTTCTTTTTTTATGTGAGCTATTTGTGTACAAGTTACGTTAGAGAAAGCCACTTAATGCAGGAAAAAGTGTGTATAAGTAGATCTGAGCTAGTAAATGTGTTAGGTGAAACCTACACCATTGATACACTGCAGTGTAGCAGAAGGAAACTGAGGCTTTGTGCAGGCACATTGCTGTAAATCTCTGTAAGTTTTGCTTAGATGAAAGGGACTGGATGGCAGTAGGGTCTCTACCTCACATTCTCTTTGCAGAAGCACAGGAATGACCTCTGTAACAACTTCATCTAGGAAATAGGCCTCATGTATGGACACTGCCCTTCACAGCTCACTCAACAGCCATGTGCTGATCAGGCAGCTCCCCAGCAAAGGCTGCCAATGGCACTTGGTTGTACTGGAAAGACTGGAAGCCTATTTAGGAATAAACCACATTTCAAATCAAGAATGTCACATCTGCAAGGGGTGCAGCTGAAAAGAGATTAAATCCTGATCTAAGCATGTGCTGGATGCTGCATATTTGGGGGATCAAAAGCTCTTGTAAAAACTGAAGTTTTTGAACCACAGACTTATCTTTCATAATGCCTAAAGTCTGCCAAACATGCAGCCTATTTATTCGTGTGCAAAGTGCTACGAAGACACGTCTTTCACACTGAAGAATGCTGTGGTTTAGTGTTAGTGCAGAACCAGCACTGCACATCAGCTGAGAGGAGTAAAATGGGATCTAAATGTTTCCACCATCACTTAGATCTCTCTGTAGTTGTCACTTAAACAGATGTTACTCTTCAGTTCAAGCAACCAAAGTCTCATCTGGTTTGCATGTGTCTTAGATTGGTGTTTTTTCCTCAAGACTCCTAGAGATGAGCTGAGACACCTGAGTATTTTTAACTTGTGCTTTAAATCTGGGATACAGTAGCTCTGATAACATGCAACAGAGACGTGCAAACTGAGCACGGGCAGTAACAGGCTTTGTTTTAGCATACTTATTAGCACTGATGAAGATTCTTTCACTTCCCAAAGGCTGCAGGTGGGTTTTTGCAGCATTCCACCAGCTACAATGGGAGTAACAGTAATGTGCAAATGACTGTTCCAGTTTGTACTTCTCTCCACAATCATTTTGCCATTATAGTCTCACTGAGCTCAATCTAGCAGCTCTGCTGGTTTACAATGAAAGCTGCTGATACTTGGGCTACTAAAATCTAGAACAAATAGCTATAGATTCTCCAAAAATTCATCATATTCTGTAGATTAAGTATTTCGGTGCACAACTGTCTGGATTCAATTAACAAAGGGAAACAAACTGGATGCAAACACATGCAGCTTGCGTTGAACAGTAGGGGAAAGGGGAATTCTGCTGAAGAACTCTAGAAATGGCGTGTGAAAACATGACAGAAGATGCAACTAAGATTTTGTTCTTACATGGTATCCAATGGAGCATTATCTACATCTGACAGAGAGACTCCTTCTTGTTCCAACAACTTGAGCACTTCTCCTAAAGCAGAACCACAGACATAAAAAGTTCTTATTCTCAGGATAAAGAAAACCAGAATCCACAGATCAGGACACAAGGTTTCATATACAATTTCTGCCAGGACACAATTTGCATTATCAAATGTAATTATACAGCAATTCCATACACTACATCCTCTCTGAGAGACAAAGGGTTACTAAAACTAGCAAAAGCCTTGCTCTGAGGCTTCCATACATTAGCTGGACTGCCTCTGGCTCTGCTTACCTGTGGTGATTACACAGTCCACATCACGAGTTTGGTACTCTTGGTTGAAAAAGTCTGGCCTTGAAGCCTCTAGCTTTTTGTCATAACAGGGCATCACTGTTACATGGTATATCTGGTCGGGTGTTAAGCGCTGGAAGAAAGACAAAGCTGTGCAGCTGGGTTGGCCAACATCAAACCAAGCTCTTGAGGCAGATGTTTTCCTGGTAGAAATGAGAATGATGTTTCCCCCCACCTCCTTTTGCTAATGCAGATGATCTAAAGTCAGTCAGCAAAGTGAATTCCTAATTATGCAGTTATAGAATATGCTGCTTCTGTGCTACTAAACCCCAGCCCCTGCATCAGCAACTAGAAATGATCCGAGTCAGAAAAACACTCCTGACCATCCAAGAAATAAGCGTAGGCTGAGGAAACAAAGTCACTGACTCCAGGCCATTGTGTCAGTATCTTGCGCCAAATACTCTTAGTAGCTGCCAATTTCTGCAGCAAATATGCAGATGTCAGCATTTACTTAATGCAAGTGTTAAATCATTGCTCATTAATGGACAACAGATCATACAATCAGAACTGGTGCTTAGGTTTCTTATTGGACGAATCTAGGCTGTTATAGCATCGCTCTAGTCTTTAAGTATCAGATTTACATTTGGAAAGATTCCAAATGTTAAAGACTTGAGAACAGAACTAAGTCAAACTGCAACAGAACATTAAGTTGGGAACAAGCAAATCACTTTCAGGCAAGACATGAGCTGCACGTAAGCACTGACTGAAGTTTTGCCTTGCTGAATAACTTCAGATAAATTACTCTGAACATGAAAATACCACATGTAGCCAAGATGAGAGCACAGAGAGACTGAAAAATAAGCCCCTCAAGCCTTCCCAAGTGACACACAAAGTATTAAGTAGTCCATGCAGTATGTGCTCAGTGTTACTGCCCTAGTTGCTAACTTCTCATTAGATAAAACAGAAAGATGTTGCCTTTGTTGGTTTCTGCAAGGAAATTTTTACCTTTAATGTATAACATGTAGCAAAATACAAACTAGCAGCTTAATGCCTTCAGTTTTAGCTGTTTGCCATGAAGCACAGTGCATGCTTCAGAGCCTTACCTGCTGCTCTGCAAAATAGCCCTTGATCAAGGAGCCCATGACCTGCTGCGGAGACTTGGTGGTACTGATATATGGAATGATGAAGCTGCCATGGGTTTTCTCTGCATAGCAGATCCAACCTGGTTAAGAGTGTAATTAGCAAACTAAATTAGAATAGAACAAGCAGCCCTTCACCCTCCCCTCAATCCTAGGCTTAACAACCATTAATAGTCATTTTCAGCCTGGCTTCAGCACAAAAAGCAAAGGAAGTGTCACACAAGATCCAATTTACAGATCATTAGGGAACTGCATGGATCACTGCTATTAACACTGAGATCTCTGTGTATTGTGAAGACAGTAAACCTCTAAGGACATCTATCCAGTTACAGTTTTCTGACCAGCTTTTGGGGTTTCTGCTCTGTACTATTTATGTGCCATTGTATTATTTCCATAAGTAATTCAGTGCCATACCTGGACAGGCAGAAGCAAGCATTGGCAAAGCCTTTCTGTCTTCTGATTGTTTTCGAAAGCGTTTCACAAACTCTCGTTGGCTCTCCAACAGGCTGAAGTTTCTTGAGAAGGTTGTATCAAAAACATAGTGCACACCTAGAGAGTATAGCATATGGGTTAGAATTCACAGGGAAGAGACAGCAAATTACAACAAAACCCTCCACTCAAACCACACATCTTATTTACAGGTACCAACCCCTGCCGTCACGAGTGATGCTCTTTCCATAGCACAATTAAATGAGGAAAAGTGGCAGGAGGACTCTGGATCTAAAATGCAAAGTTCCTTCCTTCCATCACTCCAAGTTTATCATGTGAGTGTAGCTGTAGACAATTCTCATTTTAGCTAATGCCAATTATGAAGCATTGTGAGTCCATGGGGAGGTTATATCACATCAAACTTGTGTGCTCCTTGTGATGCTTAACCCCTCTGTGATGAACAGAACACACCACCACACTTGCCTAAACTCTTCAAGAAGGCAGTCAGCTTCTTTGCTGTTTCCAGGACTCCCATTTTACACCTTGCAGCCAGTGAAGCTCTGGACTGGGGTGAAACAGAAACCACCACCAACTTCTGTTCACTGGGAGTGGCAGTCTGAAAAATCCAACATACAACACCGTTCAGACAATATTAGTAAGGTACGTGCAGAACCCTCATCACACGACAACATCAAATACTTAACTCTGAAGTCAGTAACTTACAACATTAAAGGTCCTTTCCAAACCCACATTCTTACAACACTGGAAGAAGCACAACAGTGCACTGAGGATGTCCTCAGCTCTCTGATTCTCATTTGCCATGACTTGTCACCTACCTTGTTAAAAGCCAGCACTTTGCAGAGTTCTTCGTGGCTCTGCTGAGTTATTAGAACACTCTCTGCTGATGTGATGCAGCCGCTACAAGCTAAACAGTCGTTGAGGGTGATTTTAGCCTTTTCCAGTTTCTGTGCTCCTCCATCCTGTAAAGAAGCAGATCAGAGTCAGTTGTGATCACAGGCAGAATAAGGTAAGGCTTTCCCACCTTTACTATGTTTAGTAGAAAGATGTTGTCTTTTTATGCTCTCAGCTCATCATTGAAAAAGTTTCTTTTAGTAAAATGAAGAGGGTGACAAATACCTTTGAAGTTTTCTGCTTGAATAGCATTATCTGGCACCAGATGCAAACGTGCTGAGGAACTTCAGGAAAATTCTAGCAATACCAAGACCGTAACTTCCATCAAATGCAAACAGTTGCTTAGGCCACCACTATTTGTGCTACATGGTGGGCTAACACTGCTCCAAAACGCTGGAATTCTACGATCCCAGAGGCAAAGAAGGTTTATCTTGCTGGGGTTTTCAGCTTGTGGGTGGCTGAAGATTGCAGTCACTGTTTAAACCATGAGCCTATAGACCACAGAGATCCTAACTAAGCCTTTAAGCACCCATCTCCAGCATGCATTGAATATTGCCCTGGAGAAAGCATGCCAGCTTTGCCACCTGTATCAGATACTGCTCATGGTATTCCTAGAATGGTTTGGGTAGGAAAGCACCTAAGATCATCCAGTTTCAACCCCCAGCTGAATACACTGTCACTGTTTCTTCACAGAACCCTTAATTTCACTCCTGGTGCATAGATGATGTAACCAAACTGCAGCTCACTAACACTGTTTCATTGACACTGAGTGTTCTGCAGTCTTTCTGTGTGCAAAACTCAGGCACTGATGGGAAAAGTGTCACAGCAAATCCCAGTGTGTGGCTTGCCACTGGAAAGAAGTCTTTTTCATAGTATTTGACCTGAATAAGTCAGCTTTCCCATGAGAGTTGCCTCCTAAATGTCACTTCTCAATATAGGCAGAAACAGCCCAGGCAATTAGATAGCATTAAATTAAAACTAAAATAAGAAACTCTAGACTCTTTGGAAGTGCTGTATCCCCCTTTTCTAAATGACAAGGTCACCATCTGCCTGAAGTTAAAGGTACCATTTCGAGATGAATTCCCAGCTTGGTTAACTAAGAAATGCTGACCTGTTCTGGGTAAATAGGAAAATCATCCTGCAAAACTTGGCATTAATTTTAGAATCTTATGAATTGTGCAGGCTACTGAACAAATAATTTGAATTATTATGACAAAATCAGAGCAAAATCTAAGGTTATTTAACTGAACCTCTCTGTGACGTAATGCAATAATAAAAGACATTATCACAAATAACCTAGGAATTGCTAATACTTAAGGACCAATGTCAAAACAGACTTGGCTTATCTGTTTTGACACTGAAAGTCATCACTAATCAAAGCCAGTGTTTCAGAGCGTAAAAGACCGACACAATTGAAACTGTTGCTTATAAAATCAGGTAATTAAAAGCTGGACTTCAGAAAATGGGTATGAGAATGCTGACAGCAACAGTGACACTTTTCTAACATCCTGCTCCTCTCTGAGGCATTAAATAGTTGCAGACTGTTCAAATTCTCAACAATACACTCAGGTTTTCTGGCTATTTTACACAACACAGAAGAAAAATCACACCAACCTGATTGATCTGAAAATAGCTTCCATCTGCCTCAATTCTGATCTTGGCTGCTGCTTTCCCAAGCTTTTTTTCCACTTTTACAGGTTTGATACATTCCTGAAAGAGAAATGAAGCCTGAAAGTGAGAACATGAGCAACGAAGAGGTAGATTTACTTGATCAAACAACTAGTTCTATAGTGAATGCTGCTGCTTCTTACTGTCCCTTAAGCTGTGCTGGATTTTACAGCATCTACAATCACAGAGGGAAAATGTAAAAGCCAAAACTTCTTACCCCTTTCTTACAGAAGGAACACTTTTCCAGCATCATACCAAAAGCAGAAGACACTTTGCTGTTCTTCCGGAAGAACACAGCGGTGTTTTAGGGAGCCTTGAAAGGAACAGAGGCTTCTCTGCAGCCTCCTCTCTCCAATCTTACAGATGCACTCTTCATGGCAAGTTTTAAGTGACGGAGGCGTGGCCACTACATTCAACATGTGCCTTGTGCCAATGAAGGCTCACTTAATGTGGAAAGGGCTCTGACGACCTCAGATGAACTCCCTCCAGTGTTCTGTATTGTTCTGTGATGAAGTCTTGGGGGTGTTTTTTGCATTTGGTGTGATTTTTATTGTTTAGGCACCTTACGTCTCCTTGTCCCACTTCTATAGCTGGGATCCCCTTTGCCTTTTTCCATCCTTGCTCTGCCAACATCCTCAGGTTTCCCCTCCATAACTAATCCATCTTTACTGTATGTCCTGCAGAGACTGGCAGGACCAAGTCATTGTGATGCTTCACCGATGCTCACTGAATACAATCTCTACTTGAAAACAGTCTCTACTTGAGACAGAAAGCAGGTTGCATTACGTACGTGAAAGACTTCGCCAGGAAACCCAGGTACTGCAAGGAATTAATGGAGTTTGCTCTACCCTATTCCACACATCTCACTTCAGAGTGGTTTTACTGTTGTCAGCCAATGTGTCTATGGGGGGGGGGCGGGGTTGGAATTAGATGATCTTAAGGTCCTTTCCAACCCATTCTGTGATTGCTCTCGTACTTTCACTAGTGCTTGAAGACTCCAAGAGGAATAACCTTGACCCGTCCTTGCTGCTCACGCCCTTCTCTCTGCCTCCCGCTCCTGTATGCTGGCATGAGCGTCTATGTGGGTAAGTGTGCAAAGACACTCATTTAGGGTTCAGGGTTCTTTGGGGTCTTAGATTAACGTTTATCAGGGCAGCTTCCAGATCAGGGTGGGAATGACCAACTGGCTGCTGGGCCAAGATATCTCTCTTCTGCTGCTTAGAGGTTTGCTCCCATCAGCATCACTGCCCTCTTTATTCCCTGCGCATGGAGGAGACAATGAGGTATCTCCGTGCTTCTCCCCTTTTATTTAGAATCGCATACAATCATGGAATCAATGAGGCTGGAAAAGCCCTTTAAAGTCACCCAGTCCAACCCTTCCCACCACTGCCAAGGCCACTACTAACCCATGGCATTGAGGCCTCGTCTCCACGGGGTGTGAACACTTGCAGGGACGGTGACTGCAGCCCTGCCCTGGGCAGCCTGTTCCAATGCCTGAGCACCCTCTGGGGCAGGAATTGTTCCTCAGCTCCATCTAAACCTGCCCTGGTGCAGCTTGAGGCCGGTTCCTCTTGTCCCATCCCTTGCTCCCTGGGAGCAGAGCCCAGCCCCTCCTGGCTCCATCCTCCATCAGGCAGTTGTAGGGAGCCATCAGGTCCCCCCATAGCAGGCGGCTGCTGTCACCCTCCTCCCTCAGCGCCATCTTCCCGTGCCCCCCCAGGCGGCGCTGGCCGGGCCGACCCCGGGGCTCCCGAAGGAGGGGTCTGCGGGCCAGGGCCTTGTCTTGGCCCCGCTCCCCGCTCCGCAGCCCCGTCCCGCACCCACCTGCGAGGGCCCGATGTAATCGTCCAGATCGGTGAGCTGCAGCACGCCGCTGAACGGGGACGCCATCGCGCCGGGCGCAGAGGGGCGGTGCCTGCCGCACTGCTGTAAAAGGAGAGACGTCGCGCTGCCGTAAAAGGAGAGATGCCACACTGCCGGAAAGCACGGCGAAGCGGGAGGGCGCAATGGCGGGTGTCGGGTTGAGACGGGCCGGCGCGGCAGACAGGGCAGCGTGTGCCTCAAGCAGGGTGTCTGCAGCGCGTTTGCTGACTCACAGGCTGCAGTGGGAGGTGTGTCAGGCTGAGGTAAGGCACAGGCACTGTGGAGAGGGAGGTGTCATGGTCCATTGCCTTGTAATCACTGTGAGGTGTCTTCGTCAGTCAGATCTTGGGCTGCATCAAAGGAGCGTGAGCAGCAGGGCGAGGGAGGGGATTGCCCACAGAGGTGGTGGATGCCCTATTCCTGGAGACATCCACGGCTGGATGTGGTTCTGGACAAGCAGACCTAGGTGAAGGTGTCTCTTCCCATTGCAAGATGTTAAACTAGATGAGCTTGGAAGGTCCCTTCCAACCCACACTGTTCTATGGGTCTGTAATTCATGTTGCAGAGTAAGGCCTCAAAGCTCTTGAGCCTGTGGAGGTGGCCTGGGTACCTGTCACCCTTCTTGGGACCGTTCTCCCAAGAGAGAGGGGAGAGCACAGTAAAAACTGGGGGTTTTCATATGTGTTGTTGCTCTTCTGGTTGCAGAAGGTGCTGAAGTAAATACTAAGGCACCTCATCAGCTCTGAATCCAGGGAGTTTGTGCAGAGAGACAATGATCTGGTCAAGGGTCTGGAATAACTGTTCTACTTCCTGATAGCTTTCCCATAAACCCATTTGGAAATGCTTTACTAGTGGAGTAGAATCCCGAGGGAAGGAGCAAAAGTCATCTGTGAAGTTGGTTACAGCTGGGTTGTGTGAAGCAGTGCGGGACATGCCCTTTGCAATCTGCATTCTAAACAAGCACAAAGGTGTCAGTTCCAGGGAGAACTTGATGTTCACTCCCAAGTCCCCTTTCACTCAGTCACTTGAGTTCTGTGTACCTACTACTTCAAGGTGAAACCCCGAAGTAGGTCCCAGCAAGCCTTTCAGGCTCTGAGCACTTAGTTCTACACTGGAGAAGTAATAACTCGAGAATTAGGTAGGTTCATTCACAATTATGTGGAGATGCTCATTGAGTAGTTGCATAGTAGAGACTTTTAAGCTCAGCAGTAATGGGTGGGTCATATTAGCAAAGTGCAGGTGGGGTTGTGCAAGAGCCTGGCCCTGCTCTGTGCAGAGATGAAGTCTCCAAGGCAGGGCTGGCACCAGTGCTCAGTTTTGCTATGTGTTATGTCCATTTCTTCTGGATTAAGGCCTGAGAATGTGTAAGTGACCATGATAGGGGAGCTGCTCTGAATTACCCCAGATTTATGTCTGCCCAATTTCTCATTCCTCTTTGGATGTTACAGGCAATCCCTAGAAAGGAAAAAAAGCCACCCTGCAGGTCTAGTTATAAGGCAGTGTTAGAAACTGAGACAACCTCTGTCCCTTCAGGGCAGACATGGTGACATTAATGAAAGGCACAGAAGACACCATATTTTAAATTATTTAATGATTTAAGAGATTATACCAGAAACAATTCTAACTCTGGGCTATATGCCCATGCAGTGCAAGTAGGACCCACAGTGAGGACCGGATTCAAGGAGACTTTAAATCGAGTCTGGAGCTGCTCTATTCCTGCTCAGCTCCAGCCACATGGACAGAATGAAGGTAGGAACCCATGACTGATATTTTGCCTGATCAATAACTACTGATGCAAAGGTGACTGCAGCATAAAACACTTGCAGAGCTTGAGCTTGGCAGTATGAGCACAGGATGCTGAGGGACAGCAGCTCCACCACTGTCCTGTTGACATGGGGGAGCAGAATGCACAGTCTGTGCAGCCACATAGCTGTGTCTCCCAAGGCCGTGTCAGTTACATGTGGAAGGTGATCTCAGCTGCCATCATCAGCATCCTTTCTTGAGCTTCAGTGCTTCCAGGAAAGCAGAGCTCGGAGGGAGGAAGGAACTGCAGCAGGTGATGAGCAGAGCTGTTAGAAAGCCTTGATGAAGCTTAGCAGAAAAAGTGGTGAAGGAATAATTGGCAAAATGACCCCAATTTCTCCTCTTTGCTGGTCTCCTCCCCTTCCTTCCTCTTCTGCTGAACAATAACAGTTGGAAATATGACCTGACTGTGTCCTTGCTGGGGAGTTGACCTTGGCAATTCACTTTTTCTTTTGTCAGCAGAGTTGGACAGCAAAGCAAAGCAGGTGCTTGAATTTCCTTTTCCTTCCACTCCCACTATGAGAGCAGGCAGCAGAGTCCTCACATTGAGAGGTGAGGCTGGGGCACGCTCAGGCTCCTCAGCTTGGCTTTTCTTAACTCATAAGAGCAGCAGGACCAGGACAAGCAGCAGAGTCTCTCCCTCACTCATACACAAATGTTTTAATGGATTTTAACAGTTTTAGGGGCCTGGTTTAGAACCTTCCATAAGCCATTAGGTTAGCACAGATCAGCGGTAGAGAAGCCCTTGCTGTTTACTGCCTGGCTCTGGGTTGGAGTGGTGGATGTGCTTCCCAAATTGGAGGACATGGAGGAACATTTTACACTGGTCTGTGTACCCAGGTTAAGGTAAACTGGGGGCTGGCGTGAGACGAAGATCATACTGGAGCAGGAGGAACTCTTCTGGCTCATCTTCCAGATATACTTTATGCCTGGCCATGGAAATCCCAGAGTTGGAAGTCTGAAGGTTCACCTATGACTGACTTCAATAACAGCTGTTCTCTGCTGCTAGGCAGGACATTTGTGAGCATGTTCTGAGCATGCCATATGTAATTTCATATCTCCTCTTCCTGTGTCTTATCAGTCACTGCTGTTTGGAGCTTGTCATTGAAGCTCTTGTCTTCCTATGGAATTTATATTCTCCTGATAAGATGGTTATCCCTGTGTCCCTGCCTGTGGCAGGGCGTTGGAACTGGATGAGCTTTAAGGTCCTTTCCAACCCAAACCAGTCTGACTCTGTGTTTCTATATGATAGACAAAAAAACCCAAACAGAAATGACTTAAGGTTTGTCATGAGCATTACCCGGTAGAGTTTACATAGGAACAGACGCTGTTGTATGAAATCCTCCCGCTCAGTTACAGCAGCTCCTTCCCCACGGGCCTTCCCCAGGTGAGTGGCTTAGCAGAGACCTCCAGTGGCAGTGGGAGGGATTCCCAGGAGAGAGCCGGGGGGTGTCCAGGGCTCCTGGTGCCCTCTGGTGCTCGGAGGTTCCTTGTGGCAGCCCGGTCCCAGAGGCGCGCTGGTTTCTCTAATGGGTGTCCTGAGCCCCCAGAGCAAGGAAGGGGCTGTGGGCTCTGTATAACTCTGCTGGCTTGGGGCAGTGACCCTATAGGTACCTGCAGGGCTGAGAGGTTGCAGGAGGCAGGAACCAGAACTGATCCTGTAGTGCTTTTCTTACCTTCCCCAGTTCTCTCTGCAGCTCTGACCTTGCCATGTGCTTCTTAACACACTGCTTAATGTCCTATATTTCTCCTGCCTCTCCTGTTCTGGGAAATCGGGACACAGCCAGGCAAATTGCCTGTGTATGGCTCCATGTGCTGTGGTGAATGTGATGTTCAGCCAGGTTCAGTGTTCTGTTTGGTACGTGTTTACTTTTCATCAGATGTAGCAGGAAGGGGTTAAACCTTCCTTCTCTTACCCTGCAGAGCAGGAAGGGGCAGGACCAGCTGAAGTAAACCCCTTGCAGGTGCCTGGCATAGCAAGATGCTCAGTGGTGTGGGGAGAAGGTACTTACAATATCAGACCTTTGGCTGACTGAGGCTCAGGGAGAGTGGGAGAAGGGCCTTAGGCATGCTAGAAACTGGGTTATGCTTCCCACTTCATGAGCTGCATCTCTGACTTTCCTAATCTGGGCTCTCACCTTTTCCCCACTTCTTCCTTAGGGCTATGTGTAACCTGTCACCCTATAAATATATATATAAAGGAGAGGGCAGGCCAAACTGCTCTGCTGCATTGCAAGGTGTCAGCCTTGCTGTAAGGAGAAGCAACTGGGCACACACACAGTGTCTTCGCAAGTGGCTGACTCATACGGAATACCATGTTTCTGAGGCTCTAAAATACAGAGGCAGTGCTTTGTGCTTGAGAATAAGGAGTGCCTGACAATTATAGCTGTGTTTTGCTGCACTTCAATGCATGGTAGAGATGGCCAAGTGTTGATGGTATTCACAACAGAGCCAAAAGGAGCAGGGACAGTACTGGGTGCCCACAGCACCTCACTCTTTCTTGCTTGGCCCTCTGGAAGGTGAGTGTGTGCTTTGGTAGGACCCACTCAGCCAGAGGACATGGGAGCTGTGAGAACATGGTGCAGCAGCTGGTACCAGTAGGGTACCTGGAGTGTCAGGTACTTCTAATGCTATGAGCACCATGGTACAGCCTGAACTGATGGCTGAGGTCGGTGTTGTGACAGCCTGTTTCTTCCTGAGCAGCCTTTCAAGGCTGGGCTGGGTTTCTGGGAGCATGTGTGAGCTCTGGGCCTCCTCCTGCTTAAAACTGGTCTTCCAGTAAGGTAACATTTAAACTGGTTGTGCTTCTTAGTCCTGGCTGTTAACGCCTCCAATAGGCATAGCCTCAAGACCCTGCCCTGGTGGGCAGCTGAACAGGTAGGGCTAGGGCATTACTGAACACTTCCTCTCTCTAGTGCAGCCAGTTGGTCATCAGTATGAATAGAAACCTTGCTGAAGGAGGAAGATGAGATAGGAGGGTGCTCACCTTTTGGTTTAGCTTGGTTTGGCTCATAATTCAGGTCAAGGTGTGAGGGTCAGGTGTAGGTGGTTTCTGACTGTGAAAGGGGAACGTTACAGAGGAGAAAGGGAGGTAGAAAGCAAACAAATCCTTTTGTGTAAACCTCTGGCAAGGTGTAACATGGCAGTTGGGGTTTACTTCCAGCTGTAAACTGGTATTTGATGCTATTTGGACTTTTTATCCAGTCATAAGCATTTCTGCTGCCTTTGTATTATTACACTTCCTTTAGCAGCGTGCAGAAAATAGCTGTGGGAGTGCTGTGTGGCCAGAGCTGGGTTTGCTCTGGAGTTACTATAGCAGGGAATAAATGAGGATGGGGTTTTAGTCCTGAGGTGACCGAGGATTCGTGTGTTTGATGGTAGTCAGGTCCCTGCCTTGGCTTTCCTCTCTCCTCCTTCACAGCTTAGAAGCAGCCTCAGGCAAAAGCCTGTCAGTGCAGGCAGGGGAGGATGGATGGTCTTGCTTGAGCTGTAAAACACAAACCCCCACTCTCAGGTTCTGGTGACCCCAATGGCATCTGTAGGTGTGGGTGCAGCAACATCTTGAAACCAATACTGTTTCTTTTTGCCTGTAACCGAATGCTAAAGCAAACAGGGGTAAGACAAGCTGCTCATTGAACCAAATGTTGCCTTGTTTATCAGAATCTCTCTAGCTGACATTTGCCAGGCAGGCACATAATGCACACAGGCACATGGCTGGATGAGAGCTGTGCACTCACACATTCCTTTCAAGATCTACCCTGCGATAAGAATCACTCCTGTCAACTTGAAACTGTTCTTGCATTGATCTGAGGGCGTAAATGTTGCTCAGTTGCTTTCTGAACCAGTGGCCAGTTCTTGGATCTGCCACTCCTTGAGGCAGAGCTGTGCAGTTTAATTCCTATGTGGAGAGCCAGCTCCTTTTCTGATCTAGCCCTTTGGTCCTGTGAATGCTTTGGTTTGCAGAGAAAAGTGGCTCTGCAGCTGAAACGGCCCAAAACGCTCTGCTGCAAACATCGCAGTTGCCTGTTCAGAGCTCTCCTTCCCAACACGGACCACAGCAGTTCTGTTCAAGAAGAAAACCTTCTTTATAGGTTACTTCCAAGGTGAGGCTTTCCAAAAATGCCTTTACCCAGAACCTTTCAGGCTGCCAATGCAGAGCTTTGCTCCAGGCAGGGTGGTTGGAAGGCTGAGCCGCTCTTAAGCCAGGAGATGTTCTGGTGAGTGCCTGCAGAGCCCTCCTGGGTTACTCCTCTGTGATTCTGCAGGTAGGTGACAGCAGCTTCGGTCTAGAGCAGGATCAGGACTGCTGTGCAAGGACACAGTGAGCCATTGGGCAATGCTGTTTGATTCACTGCCACCAAGATCCCAGTTCTCACAGGTGGGCATTTTTTGAGCAGTGTTTCCTTGTTTGTGTTTTTGGAGAGAGAAGGAAGGAAGAGGCTTCACACAGGCTTGTTTCAGTCAGTGGGAGTCTTTCTTTGCATTCCAAGTCGTGGTAAGCCTCAGATCTGTACAGGGAGGATAAAAGGAGGACCTAAGTGCAAGTAATGACTGTATCATAACTCCATTCTTGTGGGCTTGGAGCCTTAGACCACAGGTTTTGCATCACTCCTTCTGTGAGCTCCAGGCATTTCCCTTTGTCAGGTTTGACTCTGTTGCCTCACTGAAGAGAAAAGCTTTGCTCTAGGCTGAGACTTGACCTTCCTGTCTCTATCTTTCCTTCTGGCTCTCTGTCCAGTCTGGTTTGGAGATCCTCCTAAAAGCTGCTCTTGTGTCTGTCACCTTCTGACCTGTTGTCCAAAAGGAAATTAAAGCAAGGGCTGAGCTCTGCAGCTGTGTCATGATGTGCTCCTCCAGGACTCTTCAATGGAGTCCACCTTGTCTGAACATTCTGGTGTGATTTTTGTTCTGCAGCCTCTTCTTTTGGCACCTACTGATGGGAGATTCCCTCTTAGATGTGCTCACACAATGAAGGGATCCAGTGTGATGGACAGGGATACAAAGAATGAATTTAGTTTCCCTTTCAGAGCTGTGTGGCTCCAGATCCTCTTTCTATACCTGGGTGATGTTGTCCCAGCAGGACCCCGACAGATTCCCCCTTCAGGAGACAACTAATGAAGAAACAGATGAATACCTTTACTTCTAGCAGCCTCCCTTGCCTTACTGTGCAGTTATGGCAGTTTACTTGTCTTTGCTGTGTGGTATGTGTTTGCTTTCAGCCTTCAGTGTGACTATAGAATTTCCATAGCACCTGCAACATTTTAGTCTCTTTAACAGCCTCTTTTGGTTTCTATTCAGCAAAGTTTCTTATGTTGTGCTTCACTTTTCCTGTTCTTAAACCTTGCCTTCCAATTCTGGATCATGCTCTGTTTAAGGTCAATGAACAGGAGTGTCTGGCTACAGTAAGCTCTGATGACCCTCACAAGGTTACACAGGAGCTCTGCTGTAGTAAAAGCTTGAGTCCCATCCTGGAATGGTGCTCCTCTGATCTCATGGGAGGCCTGGCTTCCCAAGGGGACACAAAGCCACTTTTGTTCCGGATGGAACCCAAGGGGAAGCGCAGTGACTGTGCTGAGCAGGGTGGCTGGTGTGTGTGGTGGGGATGGCATCAGGAAGAGTTTATTCTCTGGTGCCACACCTGGCTTGACAAGGCAGCAACACCTCCAGGATCAACTGCAGTTCAGGGCTGAAGAGCACTTGAGCTGCACTTGGTGCTCCATACGCACAGCCAGGCTGGGTGAGGAGGCTCTGGCTCATTTTCCCACAGCTCAGACCTGGTCCACTCCTGCCCCCGTGCACATTCATTGCCTCCCCTCCTGCCCCAGCCTTGGAGAGTGTGTTAGAGATTGAGGTGCAGACCTGAGGGGCTGTAACTCTCACTTAGGCTCACTTGAGCAGATGCAATGCAACAAATCAGCTCCAGCCTTGTTCTGTGTGGTTATTAGACTCTTGCTTTGAAAGAAAATACTCGAACACTGTGTGATAGCAGCTCACCTATTGCTCTGTTGAAATCATTGCCTGTCTTCCCATCTCTGAGCTCCTCTTCATCTCCTCAACTGTGTGCTCTTTGAATCAAAGACCACCTTGTTCATCCCACACCTTGGCTCTGTGCTCCTGGCTCAACTGCTGAAGGATTAGTGCAGGTGGCAGGGACTGGATGTCTCTGTTCAGCCACCCTGTGGACAGACCTAAGGGAAGTATCGGGTTGTTTAGAGATGGAAGTTCCTCCTTGCCTTTGTGAACTCTGGTTTCTCTCCCCATCACAGAGCTGCTCTGAACATTCTTTAGGTGTGCATGACTTCCTGGCTGACAGGAGCAGAAGATCCCAACACTCACCATGTCCAGGGCTCCCCAGCAATGCAGTCCTGTGTGACTCTCTGTCATGGACAGCCTGCTGGCAATGCTGAAGATCCAAAAGACACAAGGTGCTGAAAGCTTTGGTATTTGAAACCTGACTGAAGGATCCCCATCCATCTCCAGGACACCTCACCTGGAAATCCTGGAGGCTTCCTGCTTTGAACCAGGAGTCGGTGAATCTGGCTACTTACAAATGGTGCGTTTCAAGCTTGTATTGATTTGGGTAAGTTGGGATGGGTGTTGATGAGAGCCACTTTCAATTGGGCATCATCTGAGTCAGAACAAACTACATTATGAATCAGGTTGCACTTGTTCCAAAGTAGCTGATAAGCACATTAAGTGTGGTAGGAAAGAAGGGAGTGTGGAGAGAGCTGGTAATGATGTGAGTCAACGTGTACTTTCCCTCGTGTTGCCACAAACACAGGAGTTAGAGGTGGGCATGATGGGGCAAGCCTAAGGCAGGGAAAAATCTGGTTTATGAAAAACCTTGTCTTGAATAAAGTATCCAAACAAAGATGTTTCAAAATTACCTTGAGGAGAGCACAAGTTCAGTCAGAATCAGGAGATCCCCCTGGCTGCTGTTGCACAGGTCTGGGGAGACCATGGGGGACACCACCATACGTGATTCAGCTGAAGGAACAGGGCAAGCCCATTCCTCAGCTTTTGCAGCATCCAGGAGCATAAAGACCCCTTAAAACCAAATGTGATCTCCTTAGTAAGAACATTGCTTAGTTTTAAAATAGAGGAGCCTGCAGGAATTGGAAAGCCCAAAGAGTTGTGTCCTGGGATCTTTACAGCAAGGAAATAAAGGGAAAGGCCATTTCTGGTGACAGGGAGACAGGGGTCTTTGGGATTACAATTCTGGAGGCACTGGATAACAACATTGCTGCTCAGTGCTCTCACTGCTGTGCTGTTTGTGAGCGCAAACAAGCTGCTGCAATGGGTGCTGATGTAAAAGCCCACAGTGGCACTTGGGTGCAGATGTTGGGCACCTTTGCATGAGGCTCGGCAAGGAATTAAGAGAGATGGCCATGCTGTGGGATTTGCCTGCACCAGTCCAGCCTTACCCTAGCACAGGGCTGCAGGTTTGATTTCAGCTCTCCTGATCCCTCTGCCCTGAGTGGAGAGCTCTGTGTTTCAGGTGACAAACCTCACTGAGCCTGGAGCAGAGCTCCCAGTTGGCCTTATCTGTGATCTGAAGATGTCCTGGCTGCCCACCAGAGGAGCTGCCTTCTATTCCATGGTGTGGTTTCCCACTGGAAACAACCAGGGTAAGCAGAGATTTCAAGCTCCACTGAAGCAAAGTATCTTGATAACAAACATTTCCTTAGTAACTGGAGTAGCTCTGTCCTGGGGGCACAGCTTTATTTTTGTTGCCTCCTGTAAATGCCAGACGCATCCTGTACAGGGCAGCAGGGAATGCAGCTACTCACTGCTTACTCCAGGCAGCCTCACTATAGGCTCAGTGTTCCCTCTGTATCCTAGGAATGACAGGCATTAACAAATAACACATTTATTTGTACTGCTCAACATTTGTGTTCTCAAGGACTTAAGGGTATGCCCAGTACTCCAAACCCATCCTGTAATTTCAGATGCAGCTTTGAGAAGCCAGAGGCACACCCTGCTTTGCTCAGTGAAAAGCAGCCCTCAGTCGTCACAGCTCCACACACTGAGTATCTCTTGAGTAGCGGCTTACAGGTAAGTGCCACAGTTAAATGTCCCAGTGGGGTGGTGCAACTCACACTCTCCTCTGCCAAAGGGAAGCCTGCATTCAGGGCACTGGTAGCAGTGAATTCAGCTTAACTCAATTCCCTGTGTGCTTTCCCAGGCATAGAGAACCCTCAGTAGTTTAGTGTGTGCTTTGGGTCCAGTTTCAGACAGGTTGTGAAGGGTGTTGGTGCATGTAAGTTTGCACAGGAGACAGTCACCTTTTAACTTTCCTACTCTTTAGTTTGGTTTTGCAATTAAGTATTCTTCATGTTTGATTTTGCTTGGCTGGGATAAGGTGATTCCTTGCTTCTGGGGGAGCTCTGAAGACCTCTGCAGGAATGCTGCCTTCAGTCCCAGGGCTGGGAGTCCTCCTTTTACTTGGTGAGTATTACAGTGATGGGTGTTCCGGGAGGATTGTCCATACCAGCAGCTGTAGTTGAGAGAATCCTTGAAAGGGAAAGACCCCTTTATCTAGTGGTTGCTCTAAATCCCCTGCCTTTATGCTTGTTCACTGTATTTTTGAACCCAGATATACTAGTTAGATATACAATCTTAGCTGAATCAGATCACCTCTCTGTTCCCTGCTTTCTCTCTGTTTTTGGAGAGTAAGGAATTCCAGAGCAGGATCTCTGTTTCTCCAAGCAAGTATCAGTGCTTTATTCTTCCTCATCAGACCTGAGATTGTGTTTCCAATGAATACTGATGATAAAACATGAACTTGTAACGTTGAGAAACATCTCCATAAAGGGACCATCATTTTCTCTGCGCAGGCTTAGTCACCAGTGCTGAAGGAAGAAAAACTTTTAAACAGTGAATGTCTTTATTTCTTTAGTGGTTGTCACTGTTCAAACAGCCCAATGTGTTCTGGACACCCTGATGAAAATGGGATTTTCCCCACTTTCTATTAACCACCTGTAGCAGGAGGGATGTCCCTGTCCAGCAGAAGGACACAGGTTGCTTGTAAAACTGAATGACTCTTCGTGCAACTGCTTTTAGGTCTGGCAGGTCTGTGATTTTGGTGCGTTGTCATGTTGGTCCTGTCTCAGCATGCAGCCATGGGAAATCATTCAGTTCTTTGGGCTATGCTTGCCCCTGTTTGTCGGCCCATCTTCTTCTGTAGATAACTGGAGGTGGAGGAAAGGCAGAATATCAGCAATGTGCTGAGCTTGTAGAGAATTTGCATCCAGCAGTTTGCATGTTCTGTCCTTTGGGGATGGAGCAAAGGGAGAAGGAAAACACAAGTTTCTGAGAGTCCTTAAAGCAGTTTCTGAAAGGGAAGGACAGGAGATCTAAGTGTAGTGGTGCCACACAATCAGTGAGTGGTCTTGCAAAGAAGCAGTGGGGAGACAGGGCAGTGCTCGTGGCACAGAGGTGTCCTCATGGAGGAGGAGGGACTGTGGAGAGCAGCTGAACTGTGAGCAGCACCGTGTATGTATGTAAAGAAGATGCTCTCTTCTGTTATGGAAAGCTTTGCCACAGCCTGCTGTGCCTGTGTGCTGATGAAGCACAGGAGTGAGAGCAATGCTGGGAAGGATCTTGCTCCCAGAATGATGCACATGTGTCTTAGATGGCTCATGACATGAGCTGAACCCATTCCCTTTGCTGTGATGATGCGAGATGAAGGATTTATTGTCAGACTATGAGGATTTTGGTGGTAGTAGGTTGGGGTCCTCTCTGATCCTGAAGGGTAAGAAGCCACCCTTCTTCTTCCCCCTTCTCCCCATGTGGGTGTTTCTGAATGCTGCTTTTTGAGTCAATGGGACCATTCACATGCTTAAACACATGCGTAAGAGCTTTCCGTGAGTGGGAGCCAGAGGCTTGGCTCTGTGTTCCCAAGGTCCAGCTCTAAGGTGAGCAGGAAGTGATTATGGAGCTGGAAACAGCCCAGCTTTGTCTGCAGGCAGGGAAGCATGGCCTTGGGGCCGGCCTCTGGCACTGAGCTCTTGATTATCATTTTGGTAACTTTTGGGGCTTAAGTGTTAATGTTGATGTGTCACCACTGAAGCATTGCACATGCTCAGTGTGACTGTGTTTCCTTTGCCTGTTGCTTAGTGACAATTGTTCATTAATTAAACGATTGAAAAGGTGTAGTAATTAGTAATCAAAAGCCTGTTATACTAATTAGGGTGTATCCATCCCTCCAAGCTATTTCATAATCCCCTTCCGAATGCAGGTCACTGGGCTCATGAACGCATCCCCACTCAGGAAAGCCACTGCCTTCCTTCTCCTCCTCCTTTTCCCTATTACAGTTCCATGATAAGGGTCTCCTATCCTGTTGATTTCAGTGCCCAAATACCACTGTGTGTTTGCCTGACACTGCCCTGGGCCACCTCACCTCAGTCCTGTAGCCATGTGGAGTGGAGGAGCCACAGGACGTTGCTTCTGGGTTTTGGTTTTGGGGCTTAGCTCCTCTGCATTCCCCCCACGGATCACTTCTGACCAAGTACTTGTAGATAACACCAATCCCAACTATGCTTCTCACAGTGGGGTTTGAGGGCTGGAGTCACTGATGCTGCAGAGTATTTGTGCTGATCTTGAGCTCTGCTACACCTCAGTGTACCCAACCAGCCCTGGGCAAGCTGGTCCACAGGCCAGGAGATGAGCCATGGGTGAGAGTGATCTCTTCAGCCTCCTGTGAGTGATCCAGAGTCACTGAGGTTGGTGGTGTTCTCCCTGGTGAGAGATAACTTCCAGAGCTGTGTTACTCCTTGAGCAGATGAACAAGGCTGGCAGAGAAATGGAGGTACCCTGAGCTTGCTGTGGTCTGCCATGCACTGAGATGGGTCTGAGGATGTAGGCAAAGGGGTGGGAGGAGGATGGTGCAGGCTGGGCACACCATGTGGCTGGTGAGGGGTGTCTGTGGCAGACACCATGGGCTGGGATCAGGGACAGCTCCCCAAGGAGATGGGTGGAGGTGACAGCGGTGACAACCAAGCCCTGAGTGCGCTGTTAGAGACACCCACTGACAGAACCAACTGTGCAGTGATTCAGTGCTGGCAAATAGTGACATAGTGTAACCTCTGAAGCCTCCAACCATTGCCTTCTCCCTCACCCTCTCGTTTCATGTGGCATTGGTGGCATTCACTTGTTCTGTCCTCTCAGACACTAGGGGGAAGTCCCCACCTTTCCCTTTTTCCTGTTCAGAGAAGATGCTGATCTTGACAGGTGCCTAATCTGAAGTAAATAACACTAATGCCAGGGAGATCTGAGTCTGTTTGTTGTTACTGGTTTCCCAAGCTTGCGTTTCGCCACCTTTCCAGCACAGCGTTGGCAGGGAATATGTAAGTTACCATCAGGAACAATGTAAAAGTTGGGAAACAAGGAACCGATGAGGGGAGGGCTTGTGGAGGCCTGCTGAGAGCCAGCAGTGACAGCTTGGCTTCCTTCTGTCAAGCTCTGGGGCAGGACTGGCCTGAGGCAGTAACATGGTGTTACCTGTGCCCTGTGCACTTTGCAGCATGGGGTGACTTTAATCCAGTTGAGGACTTAGCAGGAAAAAGGTGGAAACACAACAGAGGCTTGGCTACAGCTGACGTGTTGATGGGGACACAAGAAACAAGTAGAAGCTGTTAAGCTGAAAGTAGGGGCATGATGAGCCAAGCTGAACACTGATCATGGGCTGGCCATGGTGATGAGGGATACTAGGAGAGAAGGACCATTCCTGGAGTCCTTCTCTGTTTCTGACCCTTTCCCTGCCTTTTCCTCTCTGGAAGCAGGCATGCATGCAGTCCCTCATGTAATCTAACACACTGTCCTTTGCTAGACTAACCCAGGGAGGATGGAGGAGTTACCTGTGCCTGGTCACCCAGTCACAGCTCTGACAGAGGCAGAGAGAGAACAGCAGAAGGGTCTGACAGAAAGGATGCTGTGAAATCTGCTGCCAAGAGCAAGGAATAACATAATATAGTGGGATGAGTGATCGAGGGCCTGTTAAACCACACAGGGACTGGATTGTGGCAATGAGCTTTGTCCTGGATTTGCTGCTAAAATCATGTCATGTTCTCTTCCAGGTTGGCAGGTGGCTGCTGCCCCTTCGGCTGGGACATCCCTGGTAAGGCAAACCTGTGTGTTTAAAATACATGTCATCCACATCTTTACTTGCAAGTCTGTCAGTGATCCGTGTGGGCCCCTTCCTGAGAGCAGTGCATTGGTGGGAATCAGTTGCTACAAGCCAGATCCACAGTATGAAGGTGGATGGTGACTGCCCTTCCCCTTTGTTTCCCAAGCAGTGGGTGAGGTGGGAATTGCTTTCCCAGGTCTTTGCAGGGATTCAGTGCAAGCACATCGCCAGGCAGGCCGATGAAGGTGACACCCGTTGACCACACTCAAATCATGGGGAGAACAGTCCCTGCCATTGGCCTTCATGCCTGAGTGATGGGAGGACTCCCATAACCCTGAACTTCCCTGTTGTTGGAAGTACAGAGCAAGGACTGATGGGAATTTTACAGATGACAAGATGGGAGCTCTGGTTCTGAGCACTTGTGTGTTTTCAGGCCAGACCTGAGTACAAGTGGTTGCAGCTGACAGACTTCTCTGCATGCACTGATCCCAAATGATGTTGTGCTACCATTAACTGCATGATAATTTCATGTCTTTTCTCTCTTTGCCCTGACACAGTGCTCCAGCTCCCCTGTCAATGGTGAGTTTCTTTGGTCTTCTTCCATAAGGAATATTCAGACATAGTTCTGTATACATGTTCCTATCACCATGCCTTTATTTTTGTCTCTCTTTTTTTTGGGGGGATTCAGAATCTGCTGTGTGTGCCTCAGTGGAAAGGTATGTGAACCATCAGCAAATTCCCTTGGGAGTGATACTGGCTTGTCGGGGATGTCACTTTGGGTAGCAGGAAGCCTTTGAAACCAGGTGTAGCATCTCTCTTCCTGCAAAGTCCCAGGGCTGCCTGTGGGCAGGAAGGAATCTGCTTGTCCTCATTGAAACAGTGAAGGGAAATTGCCTTCCTGGGGCTCTGGGTCTGTGGGGGACAAAGAAATGCAGGGCAAGTCCTTGGCATGTCAGGCAGCCTGGAACAGGGGGGTTTGCTGCTCTGAGAACCTTGCACTGGTGCTGAGCTTAGCTTGATTAGTGCCTGGGGGCATAGGACTCAAAACAGGTCTGCTTTGAGCTTACATAGGACTTGGTTTCTACCTAAGGGTCAACAACTTAGGAGCATCCTCTCCCTGCTTCCAAATGGTGCCAATACGTTTGCTTTTTTCCCCACCAGCATCAGCCAAGAGATGCTTCTTGAGGTAGCCCATGGCCAAGCCTCCCCCTGCAGCCTCACTTTTGGTCAATATGCCTGTGCACAGGTAATGGCAATCCCCTCCTTTTCATGGGTTAGTGTGGTTAGTTCTCCTTTGCAGTAGTGCTGCTTTTGGTTTAAAAGCAGTCCTGCTGTTGGCTGTGGAGTGGCCAAAGCCTTGTCAAGGTTTCCCTTGCATGACGGAGAGAATGGATGAGGTCAAACACTCAGGGACCATCCAGTTGTGGCAGTGCCACCTTCCCAGGCAACACGTGCTCCACATCATGAGGCTCAGGAGTGGAGAGCTTTCTGGGGCTGTGTGTGGAAGTGGGGGATGCTTTTCCAAACCTCTAGAGTGAGAAGGTGGGCACAGTTGATTCCAAAACAAATTGGCTCTTAGAAACTGGCCTTGTAGCATTGAAACAAACCTTTTGCATGAAAGTAACCATGGTTCATTGGGGTAAACCACGATAAAAAGCAATTGCAGTGTGGAAAGTGTCATCTGGAATACTTCAGATTTACCTCCTTGCCTGCTTTTGTCATTATCTCTGAGTTGCTGCCAGTAACTGCTATTGAATTAAGAACAATTTGTATTTTCCCATTAATGTTTCTAACAAAAAGATGTGATTTCTTCAAATACTAGTTGGGGGGGGGGGGGTGGGGTTGTTTCTTTTTCACTGGGAAGTGTTTCTGGAATGAGAATGTTCCCTGTGGAAGTTTCCACTTTGATCAGATGGCTTGTGTTTGGTGGGGAACCATTGCGAGTAAAGCTTTCTAAAGCCACCCTTTGCTTGGAGGAGAACAGGTTAGGTAACAGAAGGCTCCAGCATTTGGAACTGGATAAGTTTAGACTTGTTTCAAGCCAGTGTGTATTGGACTTTATCCTGGCTCTTCTGTCAACAGGTTACCTCACCTTAATGCTAAATGCAGACCTGAAGGAGGTTGCATACTGTAGCATCTCCAAATATGACACACCTTTTATTGTTTCTGCGTGCATTTCCCTTTTCTCTTTCAGAGTGCTTGGCTCCAGGACCTTCCAGATGATTTCCTTGTATCCTTATATACATGCCTTGCCCCTAAACCTGCCAGTGCTGTGGATCCAGAATACTCTGTTCTCTTCTTTTCCAAATATGATGCCAAGAAGCTTATAGCTGCTCTCACCATGTTCAGCCAGAGGGTGGGTATCACACATCCAGTATTTGTTCACCTGCAGCATTAATGGCTTTAACTAATGTTACCTTATATTTTCACCTTTACATCACCTTGTTTTGAAGAGGGAACCATTTCAATCAGCAAATCTCCATCAACACCTTTGCAGAGTCCTGTGCTGTTAAAAATAGCTGGGGAGACAGAAGTAATAAGCATGAGTTCACAGAGCATACCTACTGCTACTGGCAGTGACCACACAGGCCTGGAGTTCCCATGGGAATTACAGGTTGGCTGTATTTGAACTGTGTGCAAGAGTCACTGCCCACAGAGGGGATTCTTGCTTGGGGTGATTCTGTCCATAATGTTCATATTCCCATGGATTCCTGTTAATGTTTGTTTAGCAGTCCATATTCACTGGAATTCCTGTGTTCTCTTGCCTTCAGTTTTCTCATGTGCCTCTTTCTCTGGAGTGGAGCATGATCTTCATTAATGGCCTGTGGGAGAAGATGTTGGAAGTGCCTGACATTGACAGCCCCCCTGTTTTGTCTCAGTGGATCCATGAGGGGCTTCAACCATTCCTGGTAGAACCTAAGGTCTTTGCTTGCCTCCATGCCAAAAACCTGTCTTGTGAGACATTTCAAATGATGTAAGTGCTCAACACAACCATTGTTTCAGTCCATGGTGCTGAGATAAGAAAAGGGCCCTTACTGCAGCCTCCCAACAGAAGGGGCTAAGCCCTGTAAGCACTGTGAACTGATGGAGGCCCAAGTAGGGTCTCTCAGAAGCTTTGTAACGTACCCACTGACCCTGTAACTCATCCTCTGTGTCAGTCAATGTGTGTGCAATGACCCTGATAGCACTGTGTTTCCAAAGCAGTGCCAAATGATTGTGGGGGGCTGTTGGAAAGGGCAGTCACACAGGTGATTGTGATCTTCCATCCCTGCCAGGGATGGATTTGACTTCAGCTGTGTTTGAGATGTCTGCCTTTCCTGTCCATCTTTAGAGTTGCTGCCCTGAATGGCATATATTCTGACCTTCCAGTGGAAGAACAGAGGAATCTCTATGGTGGGATCAAACACTACCTCATCCAGGATGGTAAATGACTTGATTTTCTTTAAGAAACAACACAATGCCTTAAGTATATTGTCTTTTCCATGGAAATGGGGTGGGAATATGACAGTGATAAGTGGTTATCAGGAATCTTTTCCCTGTCTGAAGACTATTAATCCAGGATTTTTATATGCTGACTTACAGCCTGTGCAGATGGCATTTACTGCTTTTGTTGTGAAAGAACAGTGCAAGGTTTGATTTTTGAGAGCTGAAGACTGGTGATGAAATGTTTGAAGGGCTGTGAAAGACTGAGGCATCTGTCTTGTCCTGTGTGCATTGTAATCTGAATGCACAAACACATGGATTTGAGCTTAATGTGTGATCAGAGGCACTTGGCAGCTCCCTGCTGACTTGAGTTCTCTGATAAGACTGAAGTCTGTTCCACATTTGGAAGCCCACAGTCTCCCCTGAGTTCCTCATACAGTACAAGTCTATTTTTATGCTGTCTGCCTGTTTTGCAGAATCAAACCAGAAGTGCTACAGTGCAGCCATTCCAGGTCTGAATTCCACTGCTTGGTTTGGAAATTATCTTGGATCCTTTTTGGAGCATGCTACTGTGGGAGACCTGCAGCTTTTTGGTGATGAAGCAACAGTAAGTGCATTGTGGTGATGAAGAACCTGAAGTGTGCAGAGTGCCTGGGGGTTGTCTTCCTGCCCTCACCAAAGTTCATGGAGATGCTGCCAGCAGGAGCATTTCTCTTGTTTATTTATGGTGAACAGTCACTTCAGTTCATATTTTTCCCCCCCATCATGATTTCTTGTCATGAGTTACCTGCACACAAGTTGGTTTCACATAAGTAATTGTGCACAAAACATACTGGAGTCAGTCAGAGGAGCGACCTCAAGACTGGACCGATGTCTGAGCCTGGTTTGGTGCGTGAGTGGTGCTGCAGAGGCAGGGCCATGTTCTCTAGCAGCATTGCCACCTTTGTGCCTTACAGTAGTCAGAGAGAGGTTTACATGCCCTCAAAATGCAAAGATAAAGAAAACAAGGTCCCAGTGTATTACTTGAAACCAAAAGATTACTCTCCTCACAGCTTTAAAGCTGGTGAAAAAGCCCTTGTTGCTTGAAGCGAGCTTTGTTCAAACTGTCCCAAAATGATTGTCAGGATTCCAGTATCCATGTAAATTAATTGTGCTTGTTTCCTATGTCAATACCAGCTTCAAAGGTTTACCAGGGATCCAGTCAACATACAGATGATCAGCAACCTCACCTTGCTCCGGGAGACAGCTCTCTACTATACCTCACTGTTGATCTCTGGACCTGGTTTTTCTTTATCAAGGTACAAGACCTGACCTCATCTTCCACCTGACTTAGTTTAGCATCATATTGTGACTTAGCAAAACCTCCCTGAGTGATGACTTTGCCTGCTTCCATGAAACCTCTAAAGCCTTTTTCTGTTCCTCAGATAATTGGACTGCATTTGATCTTGGGGAGGGCCAGACCACAATTTCCACATCTTGGGCAATGACTGTCAGGCAGTGCCAGCCACCAGCTAATCGCCTGCAGTGGGTTTGCTGCTTTGCATGACACAGCAGTGCTCTCTGAACAGGAACATCAGAGCTAAAATGGATCAGGGGAGATGTGCACTGGAAAAGAGCTTCCTTTGGCAGAAAGGAAAGGTCTGACAGAGCCACTCTCTATCATACTAGCAACTTCCCCTTCTTGTCTCCCACTTTCAGCCTCCCAGACAGACTTGTTTGCTACCTGAGCCCCTCTGCAGTGAGCAACCTGAGCAGAGATGATGCTTTGCACTTGGCCCAGAGAATCACCAAGAGCTGCCCATTGAACCTGACACACAGAGGAATAACCAGAGAGAGAGCTCCCTCCTCCCCGACAACAGAGGAACTGCAGGTAATGTCCTGTTCTCCATTCACCTATACAAAACCTGTGAGATTGAGGATTCATGTACATGCTTGTGTACACTCCTGGAGGTCACCTTGTGGTTCTTATTGTGGCATCTGGCTGGTGTCTCCTAATCTGAAGATTCCCAGGGGGAAGGCAGTCCATCAACAGGCTTCATCACACAAGTTCGAGGCAGAAAGTAGTGCCTTAGGACATCCAAAGGTTGTAGCATCAAACAAACCTACCTCATTACTTCTCTGACTTCCTTCTCTGTCTATGTGGGGCCTTTTCAGGTTGCATCCTCTCTGGTGAGAAAGTTTGAGCGCTTCCCTCCTGAAATCCTGCGTGGATTGGGCCAGGCTGCAGTTGGGCTGTCCATATCCAGCCTTGAAAACAGCATCAGGGATGAAGACCTTGAAGCATCTATTCCTGCCCTGGGTAAAGTTCGTGGCTGGAATGCTGAGCAGTCCAGCACCATTATCAACAAACTGCTTCGCTCCGGCTATCAGGTACAAAGGATAAGGTCCACAAAGGCCTCTCACACCTGGTAGAGGTAGCTGCCAGCAAATGAGGTTTGGTGCTTCAGGTACTCATGCTGCATGTATTCCCTTTCAGATCCTGGATGGACAGAGCCTGGCAAAGCTGGGGAGCTTGGTGGCTGGCCTCAACAGCAGCACACTTCGAAGCCTGTCTTCAGAAGCGATCTTGGAAGCCATCAAGTTGCCTGAGTTTGTTGAGCAGATGCTGCCCCTGCCCTCTGCTCTAAAAATGGCATTTGTGGAAAAGGTGAAGTCACTTTCCTCTTCAGGCATCAGAAATGAGCAAAGCTCCAGTGACTCACAGTCAAGAACAGCAGTTACCTGAGGCCAGGCACTGACACACACCCAGACAGCATTCCCTTGGGGTATTTGTCATTGCTAAACAGTGTGCAGCAGGACAAGCCTCTCAAGTCCCTATCACTGTGCCTGTGTCACGTCTTTGGCTGCTAGCCAGTGTGTCCTGCCTAGCCTCTTGGAGACAAGGGCAAAAAGGACGGTTGCTTTATGGGGTAATCCCATAAACTGCTCCCCACTGACTTGGAAAGATGTTCTCAGAGACAGGATATTGCCATGGTTTGGAGGAAGAACCTGTGAGAAGTGAAGGTGGTTTAGAAAGTCCCTTTTAGAGCAGACTGATCTTTCAGCAATGCATGTTTTATCCCCCATGTGATTCTGTAGGATGTAGAAACCCCTTTGCCTTTCATCTCACCATAACTTTACCCTTCAAGTTGCATGTGTAGTATTTAAGTTTGTTGTTAGTCATCCTCCCTCTGGTAGGAAAGTCTGTGAGCTGTGTTTGGCACCAGAGGCTCTGCTTACGGCATGTTCTGGGCCAACAATGCAGCATGAAGCATTAGGGAAATACCATCTCATTCACTACAAGATTGTTCTGTAATGTGCCTTCCCAAGTCGAGACATAGTTTGCATTGGCAGAGAAGACAGGTATGTTCCTCCTTTCTGGCCTGCTAAACATTTTTAGGACATAAAGCCAGGAGGTGGGAAACTGGTAAGAGAGAGATTGTTCCCATTCATCAGGACTCCAGGTATTAGCTCAAGCAGCTCTCCTGGTCTGATGAATTATGTCAAACAGGAAATATTCACAGTGTTGGGTCTCAGAAATGGCCAGATGATCAGCAGGGGAATGTGCCTGGCTGCTTTCCAGTTTGGTACTTCTTTGCCAGCAACTGTTTAATTTAGCCACAGTGTTTGAATGATCCATCTTGGTTTGGTTTGGTTTTCTTTTGAAGCTTTCCTCCAGTGTCCACCACCCGGCTGACCTGGTTAAATATGTCCCTGATGCTCTGGCCAGTTACATTCCAAAATCATTGCTTGTTTTTGGGGAGGAGAAGCCCAATATTGAAGATCTCAACAGTAAAACGTGGACCAGAGAACAGGTAATATGCTGGAGGCTTGTCCCCTCCTTACCCATCAGTGTCAGCCTTGGGCTCTACAGAGCTGTGAGTCTGCAAACCTGCCTGAGAGTACAGGTGGATATTGCAGAGGAACATGGCAAACCATTGACACTCTGCTTTGCTTCACAGGCTGCCATGTTTTTCAGTGATGTGATAAAAACAGAGCCTGACTTCAGCAGGTACTGTTTTGGTTCCTCCTTTTCCCCTGTTTTTGTTTGCTTTCATTGCAATTTCGATGTTTCCTTTGGTACATTTGGTACCATCATGCTCAATCCCTAACAACAGATGGGAAATATCATGCAAACCTAAACACAGGCACATGGCATCGAGATTTACCAGGGTGTCAGCTGCAATGTGTACCCATAAGCCACACTTGCTTTCTGAAATGGTGCTGCTGGCTCAGACTGCATCTGGAACCTTTCTCTGACTGCCTTAGGGGAAGGCATTTCTCATGTATCAGTCCTCCACAGTGCTGTTCCAGAGATTAAATTCAGTGGGGCTGGTTTATGTCCTTTGTCAGCTCTTGTGTCTGAGATGAAAAATGATGAAAACCATTATATGTATCTGCAAAAACAATGGAGTCAATACCAGTGCCCTGCTGATTTCATGAAGCTTTTCCATATAGAAAACAATGAAAGTTTTAAGGATTTCTCCCTAAGCTCTCCCAGACTGCAGACTGTTCAGTGATGAGGATCCACACAGCTCCACTTTCAGTGTGTGTGGCATGGACTGAAAACACAGCAGGGAGTGTGATCCTGTATTCGGGATACGTTGATACTGCCTGGGGTGGGGCGTTTGTTCCTGCATTTCCACTTCCACTATAAGTCTCTGGATGATGTTTATTTGACCGGTGACGTCTTCTTCATCTCCCACACAGATCAAGACTAACAATTTTGAGGGGATGGAGTTTGGAGAGCATTAAGCTTTGGGAATGTGGGAGGCTTGTGGTTGCTGTATTTATCCTTGCCGTTCTGATCTGCCTTCTGTCAATGTTCAGGCTTTCCCAGTCAGTCCTCCAAGGCTTCACATGTGCAGCTGCCAATGAGGTGGGAGAAGAAAGATTTCAGGAGCTGGCCAAAGTCATGAAGAAGAAGAATGTCAAGCTAGGAGAAGACCAGGTCAGTGCCTGTGTCTCAGGATGCCATGTTTGATGTTGTCATGCAGATAGCAATGAGGATTGTTCAGCAAGAGCAAACATACTTTGAGCTTCAGGGGCTGGACCAGATGGAATTGGTCCTTGGTCTCCATCCCACACTTCTAAATTTCCTTGAAGAGAGAAGTCAAACCCCAGTTGGTTTCTCAGGAACCAAACCCTCTGATTTCTGTCTTTGGAGCAGAGTAAAACCTTTACACCGTTTTATGTCTTCATGCTGGTTTCTTTCTTTGACATGAACTGTGGTGTCATTCCAGCTGAATTGCTTAGTGAAGATGGTGACGTTGCATGGGATTCCTGAGGATTTAGATAGCTATCCCAAAGACCTCTTGCTGTTTCTAAGGTAACTGCTATGGTTTTTATGTTGTTGCCTTGGTAGTTAGTGGGGAAAAAGAGGTATTAGTTTATAGCCCAGCTGGTAATGACTATTTCATATCTGATACATATTTCAAACTTGTCTAGGCCTCCTTACAGGGGGTAAAATCAGGTTGCAGAAAGCTTTCAAATGGCTTTTAAGGTCCTTTCAGACTCAGCCATTCCATCATATTAACAGAAACAGTATGAAGCTCTTCTAACATATGTCTGGATATGAAATCAGTGTGCAGTTTTAGTTCTTTCTGGCCTATGTGAATGTGCCTTTCACTTAAATCATCAAATAAAACAACAGAGTGGATTTCTCTGTTCCAGCAGCCACCCTCTGTGGTTCTGTATCCGAATCTTGAACAATTTTGAGAAGAATTTCACAATAGATTCCTTGAGGTGAAACTGGATTTTTGCAGTATGTGGATTGGGAACCTAGGGAAGAACAGTTCATGGAGTTTAGTCTGCAAATGTGGAAGATGTTACATTGAACGCAGTCTGTGTTGAACAGCCTTGCGCCTGACCAGCTCTTTGATACCATTCACTACCATTCATGGTGTATTTGTCTTTCTAGTCTCTCAGACTATGCAGCAACAGGAAGCTGCAGGCAGTACTTTGCTAATATTGGGGAAGCAAACCTGGATCTTCTGCAGAGAGGGTCATCCCGGCGGAAACAACTGCTCCTGGAAGCTCTAGCGTGTTTGGTACGTGATCAGGGCACAAGCCTGGGGAGAACTTGGCTTCTCAGCTGGCATCAGGAACAAGTATGCTCTTCTGCAGTGGCAGCCAGTTGTGTTCAATGCCTCTGTCTTGTGTTATTTCAGAGAATTCCTGGCACACAAGTAACTGAGGAAAATGCAGAGGTTCTGGGACGTCTGGTCTGTGACCTGGGTGGAGAATACATTACAAGTTCTGGTGGGAGTCTGCTGAAGCAGTTAAGCAAGTGTGGCTCTTTCCTGCCTGACCAAGAAGAGGCCATTAGGAGCATCATCAGCAGTGGTAACACTACGTTTGGGTATGTGCCTTTCTTTTGGCATCAGCAAAACAGTTCCCTTAAAACCGTTGTCCTGGTAAGACCTGGGTGAACTCCATCCAACCAGCTTGATTAGAAACTGGAATAATTCCTTGCTTTTGACTTTCACACTGGGTCTTTTACACTGGTTTATTTTGATTTCTTTCAGCTGAAAGGTTTGGCTGGAATTCCACTGATTTCACCTCTGTGTTTTACCTGCTGTAGTTGTAAAAGCCTTTCTTTTGGTCTGATTTTCATCCCTGCCCGTGGCAGGGTGTTGAAACTGGATGATCTTAAGGTTCTTTCAAACCGAAAACATTCTATGATTAACCAAACTTCCCTGAGGCTGTCCTGATGGACACAGGTGGCCCTGGCTGTTTGTCAGCCACTGGCTTTCAGAAAGCATCTGTTTCTACCTGTTGAACTGACAGATGCTTGGTAGATCCCAGGCTGTATCTAACAGAGACATGCTCCAGGGAGCCAAATATCTTCCCTTCCTGTGTTAGGTACGCTGAGATCTTGGCACTGAATTGAGTGATGGACATTCTTTGGTTTTCATGCTTAAGAAAACAATGTATTTGTTAAATGCCATTTTTCTCATCCACTTGCCCTTGTTCATGTTCCTGTCAATTGCTCCTGCTCTGCTGGAATGAAGTTGTGTGTAACAGAAAGTGATTGAGATGTCTTGGTATTTAAATCTTATCTTCTCTTAAGTACAAACGCTACAAGGGCATAATCCTGGCAGCCTTTAAGGTGGGGTTTTTCCCTGCTTTGGCTCTTCCTTGAAAGCTAATCCCTGTTAATTCTTGTATGCAGACCTCCTGCAGCATGGTCAGCTTTCACCTTGAATGAGCTCAGTGGGTTGATTCCTGTATTTGATCACAGCATCTTGCAGCAGATCCCTAAGGTGGGTTATTCATAGAGGGTCCTGCAGTATGGAAGAAAGATGATGGGGGTTGTTCAGCCTGTATGTTTTCAGTAGTGTCTTGATTTAACAGTGTGGTGCCAGAGGCGATTGGTGGTCTATGAGATGGGAGGATGGCAGCCTGGAACTGCAAATGTAGGTCACGGTCATCCTCTTTCTGTAACTGCTGAAAGAGGGCCAGAGGTGGAAAGCAGTAATAACTTTATACAGTACTTTGCAAGGGGGTAGATTCATTTATGGGCTGTGGGATATGAGTCTAAGCATTTAGAAAGTTGCCTTTGACTTCCCAAGGAATGATCTCTAGCAGCAGGTCTGCTGCCCGTAATACTTTATGGATGCTTATTGTCTGTATGAGTAGCAACTTGTTATGTTGGTGGAACACCCGGGGTTGCAATAGCCCCCTGATGAAACATCTTCCTTGCAGAATGCTTTAGTTGTTTGGCTGAAAAACTTTGCACGTGATTCACCTCTGTCAAGGGAAGAGCTGGCCACTGTTGTTGAAGAACTCCTGCCTACCAGGCATAAGCGTGCTGATGGTATGAGACCTCTCTCTGATCTATTCCTCTGGCGTCAGGGTTAACTCTCGTACTTGTGGGTGTCCGTACATGTGACTGAGTTGAACTATGAAACACTGGGTGGCAGGTCACCCACGAGGAGGGTGGTGCCAGGATTGCATACCTGTCCCTCTCCACAGGGGAGCATTCAAAGCTTTGAAGCACAAGGATTCAATACTGAGCACAGTTGGTGGTTGCTTCAACAGGTTGCCCACCTGGGAAGCAGATAACAGAGACTGTTCTTGAAGATGACTTGATGCCTCTTAGCTACCCACCCAAGGAGTTACGTGCTTGCCTGAAGAATGTCTCTCTGGAGAATCATCTCTCTCAGATGCTGACCTATGCCTTCAGTGTTCAGCAGTTGGCTGTGCTGAAGGAGCATCTGGATGAGGTAATGCCAGGCTGAAGAAGGTCCATTTATCTCCTGATTAGATTGCTCAGGGGCTTGTCCACTTGAACTTAAGTATCTCCAAGGACTGAGACTCTACCATGTGTCTGGGCTCCTCTTCTGATATTTGTCCATCTTTACTGCGAAAATATGTGTTTCTTAGTATCTAATCAGGCTTTCCATTGCCTTTTGGTCCTTCTCCTTTCACTGTGCACCTCTGAGTGTGGCTCCATTGTCACTATAATCTCCTAAGATAATTGAAGACAGTAATAAAACCCTTGCCTAATCTCCAGACTAAAACTCCCACCTCCCTCAGTCCCACTTGCCCTCCTTTGTATGTTGTGTTCGCTGGCCTCCATCCAGCATCACTCTCTGCTAGACTTGCTGGTCTTTCCTAAAGTCTTGTGCCAGAGAGCCCAAGATTGGATGTAGAGGGGCTCTCATAAGTGCCAGCCAAGTGGAGGAGAATAATCATTCTCTTCCCAGTATAGATTAGCCTTCACCACTGCCCACTCAGCTCTGTGTTGAGCCGGTTCACAGTGCTTCAGGTTTCGTCCTTCCCCCAGGATCTGCTTGCTTGAGCTGTGAAGCAGAAAAAGGACAGATGTGCTCATGCAACCTCGCTGGCTTTGGCTTCTTATTCCTTGCGGACCGTTTGGGCTTTTCCATGTTAATTTTGCAGAGCATAAATTCATAACCACAGACATGATAATGAGCGTTCATAGCAATAACACCAGTCTTTCCACAGACATATCCTGATGGGTATCCTGAAAGTCTGCTCTACAAACTGGGCTCTCTCGTTTCTTTTGTCACCCTTGAGGATGTTTCCAAGTGGAAGATATCTTCAGCTGACACACTGGCTGCCTTGCTCAGAAATGAGCCCCTTGATGATCAGGTAGGAATTTTGGTTTGCTTTACTGCCTATATTTGCTTCCTGGTATGGGAGCTGCTTGCTGTAGTGGGCTCAAAGGTGATTGCCCTTCCTTGAGGGGCAGTCTAATAGATTGGAAATGATTTGGTTCTATTATTGTAATTATTGCATTTCCTTTTTCTTTCGGGGTTGAAACCAAGTTAAAATCAAATGTGTTTTTAGGCCTCTGTCATAATCAAACGATACATTGATCTGGGAAACCCCTTGAATGTCACTGCTCTGAATGCAATTGGTACCAGATACACGTGCCTGCTAAATGAAACTGAGCTGAAGATGATAGACTCCAGCAGCTTGAAGTAAGTGAAATACTGTGATGCTCTTGTCTTCATGCAAAAGCGTTTTCCCCTCAGCAAGTGCATTTTCCTTTTCACTTGGTGAAAGGAACTCTAGGAAGCAGCTTAGTACCTGCTCTGTGTGTGCTGTTCTCCATCCTGCCAGGAAGGGCTCTGATTTGTGATCAAGCTCTCTTTATTGCAGCTCACCTGACAAAAGATATGGTGTGCATGTGTGCTTTTATCTGGACTTAAAAGAGAGTTAATGAAATGGAATTTAAGGTCCTTTGAAAGACTAAATGAAATTAACTACATCTTTGCAAACACATAAAATTTATGCACCATCAGAACCGTCATAACTTAGAAGACACATCCTTTTGAGCAGGAGGCTAAGACGTTATGTTTTTTCTCTTAGCTTCTGTCCATACCTCTTCTGTTTACTGGGAGTAGGGAGTCACCTTTCCTATAGAGAGAATCTCAGAGAGATACTCAGAATACTTAAAAATGGACACAAGTTGAAGTTTTCTCTTCCTAAATCACCTTTGTTTTGCAGACTGGCATCTCTGAATCTCTCAGCCTGTTCAGAGCGCACAAAAGAGATCTTGTATGCTAAAGCAAAAAGTGCTTTCTCAGACCGGCGACGTTCACCTGCTTACTATCAGCTTATTGAACCCTATCTGGGTATGTGAAAGAGCAGTATGTTGTGTCAAAAGAGAGAGGTCTTAGCCGGAAACTGAATGAGTATCTGATGCATCCAGGATTTGGGAATTTTCAAAGCCAACTTGTTAGAAGTTTCAGTCCTTTCCAGCATGTAGGTGGCATAAAATACTCTTGAAAGATTCTCTACCTGACTTAAAGTCACCCAAATCAATTGTCAGACTATCCCAGCCAAACCCTAAATCAAGCTCATAGCTTCTGGGATGGGTAAGATCTGCTTGCATCCATGAGAAAGCAAGCTGCTAATGCCCTTCTCCATGTCGCAAACTATACTCTTCCCTGTTAAGCCAAGAATTTATTTGCAGCCTGAGCAAACTCTCCTTACCCCTCTGCCTAGCATATGGCATTGTCACTGTTGGGTTTAATGGCCAGCACAACAATAACCTCCAGCAAAATGAAGTAGCATCCATATATTTTGCAGTTGGGATTCACTCTCTTAGCAAGCTCAGCCTAATAAATTCTGGAGCCACACTCATAACTCATGTTATACAGATGCTTCCCTCCATGCTCTGATCTACTTTCTTTCTGCTCCCAGGGGGTGCTCCTGCTGCAGATATCAAAGCTCTAAGCAAGGAGAACGTGAACATGAACATTAGTACTTTTATGAAGCTAAGAAGAGACTCTTTGATGGTGAGCTGAACCTTGAAATTGTTTAGCTCCTTGTGTTTGTATTGTGCCAAGTAGTTGATTTTGGTTGTGTTTGTCCATTGAGTAAATCAGGAGACACTCCATCAAATTCATTCCCCTGCCTAAGGGAAGATTGTCCCAGTTGAAACCACTCACCACAAATTGGTCTTCCTTGTTCTTCACGTTGCTCATCTGGCTCTTGGTCAGAGCTATTATTTCCATTCCTGCTTTATACCTCTAATTCTTGCTTTTTGATTCCTCCTAGAGCCTGACACCTTTGGAGGTTGAGGGCTTGCTGGGGATGCATCTTGGTGATCTGAACAAATGGCAGACAACCTCTCCCATCCGGGAGTGGGTCCAGAGGCAGAAACAATCCGAACTGGATAAACTTCATGTTGGACTCATTGGGGGAACACAAGAAGGCTACATCAACCTTGTCACACCCAAATTTCAGTGTAGGTATTATGGTAGAGCTTCTAAGTGTTGTGCTATTACGGGTGGCTGTTTCCTATAGTTAGAAAGCCAAAGATCTTCCCTGGATGTCGCATGAAGACATGTTTTTTGCCATGGGGGAATGGTTCAGTCATTGATTTCTTTGCACTAATGCCCCTCTTCTTCCTCTAGCACCATCCTCAGCCTCTCTGGCTACTGTGGCCACAATATTCCACCTCCTGCCTGCTCTGCTTACCAGTTTCCTGGTGATGTGGGTCTTCTCTTGAAAGTCTCCCATCAAAAGAAAGCAAGATGATGAGGACCAGCCTATGATCTGCTCTGAGGCCTGTTGGGACAGCCATGCCTGGGGGGTGAGGGGGTGCTCGGTGCTAGCAGGCAACTGTTCTGCAGCCCAGGGTTCACTTTTAGGTACTTTTGTCTTTCAAATCACTTGGAAAAACAGTGTTGTGTCTGAAAGGAACACTTCAGACTCTTCAGAACAGGATCTTTTGCCTTTTGTACAGACCAAGCCCAGGTAAGCCCCAGCCATAATGCCACAACACAAATGATGTCAGTATCTTGCTGCACAAACCTGGTGGGTTTAAGGGTGAGCAGATTGGCTGCTCTGAGCAATGTAATTGTTAACATGCAAAGAACCTCCTCCCTTGCCACTGCCAAGACCTCTGAGTGGGAGTGAAGTTTTCCAGCTGATTGTGAATAAATAATGGAAGTAAGTGAAACATGCCAGAAGCAAACGGATGAGTTACTGTTGTCTTTTCTTCATTCAGACTCCCTGCACCTTTGTATCTGCAGATCCTGGTCCAAATGGCCAGAAACCTCAGACATGCCTGTTACTTTTCTTTGCTGTTGACTACGCAACCTGCAAGAGCTGAGGCTGTTCTCAGCTTCCTCATTGGGAGGGAGAAGGAGTAAGGTTTTTAATGCTTTTTTTCCTATCACTCATTGGGAGTTTCTGTCCAGAAAAGCCTCAGTCCAGCCCCTGAAATCCCACTTTTCCCCCAGGCGGAGGACCTGCCTGCAAAGACATAATAAATGGTTGAGGAGAAGCTTGTTTGTCCTTCACTGCAGGCCTCTGGGTGGCAAGAGCCACTTCCCACTGCCTGCATCCCGTGGTGCTGGGCACTAGCTTGGGTGCGGGAGAGCTTGGTGTATGAAACACTCTGTGTCTGTAACAGCATTGATGCCCTGATGGAAACCTTGAGTTATTTCTCTGTGCTTTGAGTCACTCTCAACACAGGCTGTGCAAGAATCTCCTCAGCCCAAGGAGAATGAAAATATTGAATGGAAGATCTGCATGTTGGAGATAGAAACATGCTCTTGTAGAAGAGCTGTTGGAGGAGGAGACACTAAGATAATGAAGAAAGTCAGAGCAAGAGAAGTGGAAACTTTAGATTTAAGCTAAGTAGAAAAACTACACCACAAAGCACTGAACACATGGAAGAACACATTGGATTAGGGGGTAAAAAGGTTGATGTTTTATTATATAGCATTGAATCAAGTAATCAAGAAACTGTCTTCAGTTACTCATCCCTCAAAGTATGGTTTGTGTGGTTTGAACAAATCCTGGTCAAAACATCTCAGGAGTTCATGAAACAAGATAAATACCTTTCAGTGGATTGTTGCTAGGCCATATTCTGCTTCCTTTGCAATGGCCAGTAACTCAAATCCCTGAGTTGTCCCACTGTTTCAGTAGAGCCCAGTGGACTGCTTATAAGTAAAATACTACTCAGTGCCAGTAAAGCTGGTGGAACTGGGCTTGCTGTCAGCATTACTTCATTGTTAGACCAGTCAGTATTGCTGGTGATTGTATTACACAGAGTAACTAGTTAGTAAGTACCCGTTGGGCTGCTTTGGGCTGGAGAAATGTCCTCCATTCACTGCCCAGCCTCAAAGTAATAAGCAGATTCTGTGCTGGTATCCAGAGGACAAAATTCCTTTCCTGGGATTCTGCTTTCCAGCAGGGAATTTGCCAGCACCGTTGTTTGGTGGGATGGTGAATATTAAAGGAGGGATCCTGTGAGTGTGGTGCTGGAGGTGGCAGTGTCAGAGGAGCCCTTGCAGCAGGGAGCTTCCCACGGCGGTAGTCAGCACATACACTAGGCAAGAGGAGAGCCTGGATCCTGATCCTAGGTGGAGGACACAGAAGAATTGGATTATTCAGGTAAATGGCATGTGTGTGCTGTGGGGGCTTTGGAATTCGGGTATCCCAGAGCCAGGACAGTGTTCTAGTGACATTGCCCTTACCCATGCATGCATCAGGCACTGATGTGCACCCCAGCTATAAATGTCACCTGGGTGTGAGTAGTCAGCAGGACTGAGTCTGTCTTACTTTCACCAGTGTAAAGCAGGAGTAAATGAGTCATTCAAGCTACTCAGAAACAACAAGGCCACATCCTTGCCTGGTGCACAGCAACCCAGTGCATTGGCATCAACGCACTCCAGCTTTCTGTGGAGCACTTTAGGGAAGGTGATGAGCCACTTTAAGGTGCACCTTGCCAGACCCGAGAGCCCACAGGCTTGGAGGCAGCCAGCTCCAGGGCTCTAATGCCCTATGGAGATGCAGCTGCCTGTCTAGCCAGGGTTCCTTGAGGACAGCAGCACACCAGTATTAAACCTGGCCAGGAACAAGCTGGATCACCTCCTGCTTGTCTATGAAGACTTCTGCCTGGCCACTAGATCCTAAGCCTTTCCTAGCACCAAACCTTCACACCTTACCAGATTCAGGTTTCATGTTGATGTATCCTTCGGGTGTTGGTCTCGCTGACCCTGGCCCACCTGCGGGTGTTGTTTTAGTGGTGTCATTACTGGTGGTGTTGGAAGAGAAGCTGGGAGATGCTGTGGGACCATTGGTCTTGCAAGCTGGTGCTGTTGTCTTGGTCGTTGAGGAGGTGGAGATGGTGGAGTTGGGCTTATGGGGAGGGATGCTTAGTTCTGTGCCAGTGGGTGCAGAGGTAGAGTTAGCGACAAGAATGCTGGGAACATTGTGGGTGCTTGGGGTGACTGTGCTACCAGTAACAGGACTGGGATGGGGGGTGCCCCCTAATGCTGGGGGGTTCATGGACACCAGTGGGGTGCTGGTGCTGGGGTTAGTGACAACACCAGTGCTGGTGGTGGCCCCCAGGGTGAGAGCAGGGGGTGGGAAGGAGCTGGGAGAGGTGGCGTTGGAGTTGACAACGGCAAAGATGGTGGTGAGGAGGGTGGGGGCAGGCGGGGGGCTGGAGGTCAGAGCAGGGCGGGCGGTGGAGGTGGCACCAGGGGCCGGGGTTTGGGTGGGGGCCTTACTGGTACTTGAGTTAGTGGGAGGGTGGCTGCTAATGGCAATAGCAGTGGGGACAGTGGCTATAGGGGTGATACCAGCTGAGGTGGTGGGGTGAGGAGGGGTGGGTGTCCCTGTGGGGCTGGGCTCCTCCAGCCCCCCTGTGAGGCCGATTCCCAGGACACAGTCCAGTTCCCGCTGGGACTGTCTCTTCACCCAGAGCATCACCGAGGTCTCGTTTTCAGCTGCCTTCAGCTGAGGAAGGTTTTGCCCAAGCAGATTCTTCACATCCGTGACGCTGAGGTTCTGCAATGCACAGCATCATCACTGCTCATCCTCACCTTTCCTGCTCTGCAGCACGGAAAGGAGCAGCAGCACTCCAGGGATCTACCTGCAGCGCTTTGGGATTCAGGCCAAGAAAGGTGTTGATGTCCATGTCTACGGCAATGCCGGCTGCAGCCAAGTCTTTCAGGTCCTTTGCTGGAGCTCCACCTGGAAGAAAGCACATGGGGCACCTAAAAATATGCAAACACTCCTAATGCTGTTGGAAGGGCTAAACCCCAATGGCTAAGGAAGAGATGCCCAACCTCAGGAAGGAGGATGAAGGCTCAAACACCTACCCAGGTATGGCCAAATCCTGCAGTAATAGGCCTTGGGGGTGCCAACCAGGTCAGCAAAGGCCTCCTGGGCTTTTCTGTAGAGTTGGTCCTTCTTGGTTTGAGAGCAGGAAGAGATGTTCAGTTGTCCAGCTGTCCTGGGGAAGGGATGGGCATAGGTTTGAGCCAGTGGCATGGCCCTAAATCACAGCTAAATCCCTTTAGTTGGCTGATGAGACAAGTGGTGTGTCCCTGCTTGTGGTGCTGGCGGCTCAGGCAGGAGTTGAAGCAGGACGTGGCCATCCCACCATGCTGCCTGTGTGGAGGTGGGGATCTCCCATCCCACTGCCTGCTTCCACTATGATCCCAGGGCTCTCACAGGGCTGAAAAGCATCCCTACCACTGGCTTACCTGATGGCTTCTGGAGGTATCTGCTGGATCTGCTTCTCCTGCAGACTACACAGGAGTTGTCCCCCGATTTGCTGAAGCAAAGGGCCAGTCAAGATGCCACCCAAGGACAGGAACCTGCTGAGGAGCTGCTGGATCTGGGAAACACAGTTCAGGGGGGAAGGAGGATGCTTCTGATGGAATCGTGTGTTACAAACCCACCATGGGTGGTTTGGGCACTGAGCAGTCCTGATATGGGTTCCCCAGCACCCACCCCTGCTGCTGCCATGGGTTTACCTGGCATGTGTTCCACCTCCCATCCGAGGGGTCGAGCAGGACTGAGAGCGTGTCACTGGATGTCACCGGCCACTGGCTGATCTCCTCTGCAGAGTACTGCCGGGACAGCGGTCCCAGCAGCTTCAGCTGCTCCTCCGGGATGCCCGAGGGGTAGATCTGTGGGGCCAGGCCAATGGGGCAGAGAAGAGGGTCAGGGAAGGGAAAAGGAGGAAACGGATGCAAAGGACCCGCTCAGGCGCCTTCATCCCTGCGCTGGTGATGCAGTTCCTGCAGCATGGCTTGCCCACATTACTGGGGGCTCCTGCCCTGTGTCACCATCACCTGATCCAGCTTCTTCTTCACGACCTGGAGGTAGGCTTTGGGGAATGGCTGCTCCAGCAGAAGCTTCAGGTTTTCCTTCAGAACCTCATTGCTCAGGCACAGGTCAAACTGCTCACTGGTGTCGTAGTTGATGACTAAGAGAGGGTCAGTGATGGTGCTGGCGGTGATGGGCTCAGACAGGCAGCCTATGGGCAGGGAGGGTGCATCAGGCTGATGTTTCCCTGCTTCCTGCCTGGCCCTGGTCCTGCAGAGTCCTTGGAAGAGCTCCAGTGAATGAATAGGGAATTTCCTGCAACTCGTCCTCCCAGTCCCTGAGTCCTCAACCCATGTAGATGCCTTATTTGCTTTCATTCCTTAATGTTATTCCGTGTGCTTTGTTCTATTGAAGGCAACTAAAGATGCTCAGGTGAGGTGAACCCTTTCCTATGTCATGCACAGGAGTATCCTCCAGCCTTGTAGCATCCTGATGCTACCCCTGCTTGGGAGTTTTCCCCTCGATCCAGCTCCTCCCCAGCTGCTGCTGCCATATTCCTGCTCCCAGGTAAGGGCAAACCCCACATTGTGTTGTCCCATCTGCCCAGCTGCTTTATGGGAATCCCACAGCTTTCAGCCTGGTCCCATCCCCTCCCTGGGGCCACTTTTCCCTTCCAAGAGCAAAGGGAAACGCTCACGGTCTGCGCTCCGCCTCATCCTGGGATGTGATGGATCCGATGCTGCTGCGAAGGCCTTGAGGAGACTCAGGGACTTCTCCCGCTGGGAGCGTCCCTGTTTGCCGAACGCAGCCGCGATGCTCCTGCCGAAAGCCTCCCGCGCTGCCTGCCAGGGGGCAGAGGGTGCTGGTGCCACAGCCCCAGCACTGAGCTGCCTGAGGGGCAGCTTGCCCTAGGGACCCGAGGAGGGGTCTTACCTCGGGCACCAAGCTCAGCGTGGTCTGGTTCAGAGCCAGCACCAGCGGGCCCAGGCTCTGCAGAGTCTGTAGATCCCAGCTTGAAGGATGCCTGTGGCCATGGGGAGAAGGAGCAGCTCAGCATCCTCATGGATGCATCATCCCGGTGCTCAGCACCCAAGCCTGTAAGAGCACGTGAAAGCTCCTCACCCATATGCTGTATCCCCACTGAGGAGCACAGCATTGAGAGCATCCCGCTGGGCCCCTGTCAGCGCTGAGCACAGCTTCAGGTTCTCCAGGATGCTGGGATCAGAGGCTGTGATGGTCTCTGGCTCCATGTCACAAACCAGGGCCCCGAGGCTGCTGAGCTGCTCCGGGCGCAGGCGCGTGCTCCTCACCCTCTGTGAGAGACAAAGAGCCCCTTGTACCCAGGCCTGGTGAGGGGGCAGGACCCTGACACCCCTGGTTTGTCCCAACTCACCAGGCAGGTCAGAGCCCCATGGAGCAGCCCCGAGCGCTGTGCTGAGCCCCTGGGAAGCAGCTCCAGGTTCCCATGGGAAGCTTGGGCATAAAACGCTTCGCAGGTCCCATTATGAACCTCAGACAAGCTGTGGGGAGCAGGAGTCAGTGCTGGGGAGAGGAACAGGGAGAAGGGCTCCTCTTGTCCAGGTGGGAGATCTTCAGACAGAGGGGGTTGGAACTGGATGATCCTAGGGTCCTTTCCAACCCAAACCATTCCATGATTCTAATGTTGCTTTTGGAGTCAGTTTTACACTGGTGCTCCATTCAGAGCAATGAGGGGCCAAGTGGCACAGGGCCAGAGGGTCTTTCTTATGCTGGGGAGTAGGTCTGGAGGGGGTTTCTCAACCCCATACACCCCATGCTATGGGCTGTGCAGCCCCAACCTCAGTGAGGAGAGGACTGGGGGTGTTTGCAGGGCTGGAACTGCCCCACATGGATCTGATGCAGGAGATTCCTGTCGTGCTCCTCTCCCACACCCAGCTCCCACGCGCCCCGGGGTCCGAAACCAGGACACGGTGTCTGAAACCAGGGCACGGGGCCCCGTTGGATGCTGTGAGGTGGCACCAGCCCTGTGCCACCCTCGATACTCACTCAAAGAAGAGCAGCAGGTCTGGCGGGTACCTGCTGAAATCAGCCGTCAGGTTCCTGGCAGCGAGCAGCCTGGCCAGGCAGGAGAGCTGGCAGAGACAGCCAAAGCCTTGTCAGTGCCAGCGTGGTGAGACTCCCTTTGCCCTGGCTCCCCTTTGGGATCCATGGGATTCACAGCCCCCCTTTCTGCCCCTGCTCACCTGGGCACTGCTCAGCTCTGCTGTTCTGTTCTGCAGCCCCTCAGCAAAGGCGAGGATGGCACCAGCAGGGACGTCATTGTCCGGGATGCATGGAAAACCTTGCAGGAGCGAGGCTGAGAGGCTGCAGTGAGGGGACACGGTTCCATTCACCATTCACTTTAGCTCCCAAGGCCCCATAGAGGATGAACCTGCTCATTCCCATAGGAAATCCCTCTTCACCCTGACCACTGCCTGATGTAAGTAGGAATAGCTTGGGGTGTCATGAAAACAGCCCCTAAAGCCAGCGCTGGGTGGTGCTGAAGGGGATGCCCTGCAGGAGCGAGGCTGCCCATCCCCATGGCTGGATGAGAGAGGAACCAGCAGAGTCGGGATCTGGGGGAGGCTCCTGTTGTGTCTGCGTCAGTCCCACAAGGAAAGGGAACTCTGCTGTGTTTGTGCTACGAGCAGCTCAGATCCCAGCCCAGAACCGGCTGCGCGAGGCTGTAAATCTCTGCAGCACGAGTGACCTGGCACAGCGGCTGTGACAGCGATGGGGGACTAACACAGCATCCCCCCTGCCAGCCCCACTGCCTGTGCCCCCCAGGTCATCCAAGCCCTATGCTGCGGCTGGTACTCACTCTGTGTGCTGCTCAGGGGCACACAGGACGGCTCCGATGATCAGGGCAGCCTGGGGAGGAGGATAAAGGGATGCTCAGGAATGGGAAGAAGGGATTATTAAACACAGGCAAAGGGACCTGACCTGGCCGGTGGCTGCTGCCCACAAGCCATAAGCAGCTGAGAACCACAGCAGCCCTGAGGCTGCCCTGGGTTCTGCATGGGGACTAAAGCCCCCATGGAGTGGGTACCCTTCAGGAGTGGGTCTGTGCCTGCTTCCCTGAAGCTGAGAGGGCGGTGAGCATCAGGTTTGGGGTCCAGCCCTTGGTTTAGGAGCAGGGCAGTGGGGAGCAAGGGATGGGGTGGGACAGGGTCTCTGGCTCCTTATGGAGCCAGTGGGGAGGTGATGGTTCTGCTGCTCCCATCACCAGCTATGTGGTTATAGCAAAGCAGTGACTCACCAGTGCTGCTTGCACGAGGTCTGCAGAGAAACCTGCAATGAAGCAGAAGTGGGTTGTAAACCACCCATGGACGGAGCTACAGGCAGCTGGGGGCTGTTCTGAAGCAGCTCCAGGCTTAAAGCCTGGGAAGGGTCTTTTCTGCATCCATTTAAAAGCATTCAGTGAATGCTGGGGAACACGATGCAGAGAGCGGCCTCCCACAGCCTGCACCAGCCCGGGCAGCCTCAGGGTGGGAATAGAAGATGAAAAGTGACAAATCAGCCCCTGGGTGCATTCCTAATGTGCAGCTGGGAGAAACTCCCACTGCCTGCAGATACTGATGGGAACAGGAGGCAGAGCACAGGGAATGCCAGAGCCAAGCGGGATGGGGATGAAAAGAAGAGGAGCATCCCTGGTGCCGGGGGTGGGATGGGGCCCTGGGGCAGGGTTGGATTTAGGGGTACAAGGTGGAACTCACGGAAGCAGAGAGCAGAGGGTGCCCGTGCCATGCTGCTGTGCTGGGGCTTCCTCTTTGGCATGAATCGGGTGAGCACAGAACAAACAGGAGCCGTGTCCCAGCTCCTGGATGGTGCTGGGGTCCTGCAGCCGATCCAAAGCTCCGGTGCTGGGGTCCTGCAGCCGATCCAAAGCTCCGGTGCTGGCACAAACCCCCGCAGCCCAGGGAAGGGTTTTGCACCCTGTACCGCAGAAACCAGACTTTAAATCCATTCATTACTATTGTTAAAAGAAACTCCACAATAAATTGTCCTCTTTGACACCCACAGCCCTGCTCCCCCCTGCACCCTGCAGGGACAGCATCCTCCTGCATCCACATGGGACCGCATCAGCATAGAGTGGGAGAAACCCAGTGCAGGACACCCACAGTCTGCCCTCCCCTGTATCCAACCCCCATAGGAAATAAATCCCTGCTCCTGCTTCTGGAGCTGCCCAAGTAATGATCCAAGTAATCCTTCCATTAAGGCTCATTGTTCCCACCGTTGGCCCTTTCGGAGCCGTTCTGCGTCCCAAGGGCAGGTGCTCACGGGCTGCAGTGGGATGAGCACAGCACTTATCTGCTGCGGGGTGGGGATGTTGCTCTCCAATGGGGGTGTGACGGGGCAGTTTCTCAACCGTGTTTTGTAAAGCTGCTTCCTCCCCTGGTTTCGTGTTGGGGTTTTTGCTGTCTCTGTAAGGGGTCACTTTGGGGTAAATCCTCCGGTTTGGGGGTTTCTGTGCTGGCAACAGAGATCCCCCTGGCTACTGAAATGCTTTGGGCTGTTCAGGGGTGTGTTTGTAAAGCGAGCAGGGCATCGAAATGAGTCCCCGGTGATGGGCTCAGCACCCCTCCGGGATGTTCTTCCACTCACACCCATCCTTTTTGCCTTGACCCTGCACAATCCTGTTCCCTTTTTTTACAGCTTCTTCCCTGCAATTTCAGATCCTAAACCACCACCTGGCACGGGCCCTGAAGAAGGAAGACCTGAAAGAAAGGAAGCAAAGGCTGTGGGATGGAAACCTGGAAAATCCCATTGCTGTGCAGCAGTGAATGTTATCTGGGTAGGTATCCCAGGTTAAAATGTTATCCCAGGAATAAGGAAGGATGAGAGCAGTCAGCAGTGACCATCTGGCTGCTCCTCACCCTGCTGATGCCCTAAGCCCACTTGGATGGGTTTGAGGGCATCAGTCTTCACCCAGGGTCCCTGGAGCAGGGTTGGCCATCCCCTGATGCCGTCCCCATCCCTGTCCCCCACTGTACAACCGGTCCTGCAGCACCAGGGCTCGGTCGATGCCTGCGGCTGTTTCTGGTTGCTATTTTGGAGGGATTTGCTGTAAAAACAGTTCCTGTTGGAGCAGGGAAATGACAGGAGCTTGTTTGCTATGAGGGACACAGCCCTTCCCGCAGGCTCTCTGGCCAGAGGTGGCTGGAGTCCACTGCCTCCATCACGTCCCCACAGAGCTTGAAATTGGCCTTGAAACAGCCTCAGGTGATGCAGGCACAGGAGCATCGACCCCAAATCTGGACACACAGGGAAGCATCCCTTCCCTAGGCCCCTTCCCTAGATCAGTGATGGGCTCCAAGCACATCTTTCTCTTAACCAGCCACTTCCCTGCCCTTGCTGGGCTTGTGATCTTGTATCTCACAACCTGAAGACTGCAAATAACTGCTTTGGGTCTTATTTTTCCTTATAAAAAATCCTACAAATATTGTATTTATAAATATATTCTTATAAGATCCTTATTTTTCCTTATTATAATTCCTTTTCCAGCTGCTCCAACCTAAGGACTGGCCCTTGATGTACAAGTTATACAGAAATCATGCTTGGTGGCAGCTTTCCCTCTGCACCCCCTAAACACCAGCAACCCCAGGGCTGTTCCCACACCTCTTTGCCAGGGAAAGCTGCAGTGTTCCCAAACTAGGGGGTTTTCTTCTGTCTCTGCTCCTTGGTTGGGGACAATCCCAAGTGTTGGACATGGGCAGAGGAGGGCCCGCCCTCGGACATCCCTGGTCATGTTACTGGATGCAGGAGGGGTTTTGCATAGAGAATCCCTGTGGTTTCATGCAGGTGAACTTCAGCAGGGTGAGGATGAGCATCGGTGCTCACACAACAGGTTGGCCGGGTTGGAACCCATGGGCTGGTCCTGCTGGACCAGTTCAGGCTCATTCCTGGAAGCCCCCAGCCCCACTGCACGGATTGAGAGACCAGAGGGTGAGCCACGGGATATGTAAGCAATGGTTTACTACACAGTGTGCAACAAGAGGTAAGGGTTATTGTAAGAAATAAGGGTTATTGCAAGCTGTACAGAACATCACAACACACAGCCCCATCACAACCCCCCCGCTCACACGTGTGAGTGGATCCACAGAGGATACAGTGATGGCAGAGGATTGGATGTGACATGGTACCCAGGGAAGGGATCCTGGAAAACACCTCTCTGCAGGGTAAGGAAAATGGGTATTTATCTCTGGTTTCTGCAGCACTGGGTAAAAGTGCAATGCATGAAGGCTGATGGGTGGTGCAGGGTGCATGGGGTGAGCAGTGGATGCCAGCCCCCAGTATTGCTGGTCCCCAGCATCCCCTCGCCTTGTCCTGGATGTGCCCCCATTGCATAGCAGGGACCATTCCCACACTAGGGAAGAGGAGGCTGTGTCCCACCTCTGATGCTGCAAACCTCACCCCTAACTCTTCAGGCCCCCTGGTGCACGTCACCCATGGCCATTCTTTGGCAAACAGGTTCGTGCTGTTGGTTTACAGCTTCAGGACCTGCCTCACCCCTCCCTGGCCATTCCAGGAAGATGGGATGGGCAGAGATGGGGCCTGGGAGGAAGGAGATGGATTTCCTGCTCCTCCAACCCCTTTCAGCCCACTGCCACCAGCTCATAAGCCTGTGGTCCCTGTAACACAATGCAATACCCCAGGGGGTTTTGGTGACCCACAAGGAGAGGGCTGTGCTGGTTTATTGCCCCTCAGGGTAGGAATACGATGTGAAACCACTGCAGGTACATTTGATACAGGATGGGGCTTGTGGGATGACAGGGACTGCAGCATGTGCTGATGTGGTGGCGCAGTGCAGGACACCCCAGGGATGGGTGCTCTGTGTACAATGGGCTCCAGCCATCTCCATCCCTCCCCAGCTTTCCTCATTGCTCCTTCCCACACTTAACATCAGCCCTCAGCCTACTGTAGCTTAAAGCACATCCTTGGCTGCTCCAGAGCCTTCCCAAACTGAAGAGGAGCTACACGATGGGACCAAGACATGATGCTTATTCCCCCTTGCTTGGGTAAAGGGTTTGGGTCTTTTAACCTGTGTCTGCAGGGGTTACATCCCCATCTGGGATAAGAGTGGGTGCTGGTAAAAGGCAATGCTAGGACAATAAGAAGATATACTAAAAAGCTTTGGGCTGCTGGCTCCCTGACCACAGAGGTACTAAAAACGCTCATTCTTGAGACCGCCCGTATTCCAGAACCACCAACACACGAGATTCTTCTCCTAGAAACCTGAAAAAAGGATTAAAATCCATTTGGATCAACTCACCCCAGGATTCACGGGGCTGCTGGAGCCCCCAGGCTGCACTTCAGCCTCCTGATCTCCCACCTCCCAGCCAGTGTGTGCCAGCGAGCCCAGCAGGCTGGAGTGAAAGGAATGGGAGTGAGGGACAAGGGGAATGGCTTGAACCTGCCTGAGGGGAGACTGAGCTGAGCTCTTAGGCAGAAGCTCTTCCCTGTGAGGGTGCTGAGGCACTGGCACAGGGTGCCCAGAGAAGCTGTGGCTGCCCCATCCCTGGCAGTGCTCAAGGCCAGGTTGGACACAGGGGCTTGGAGCAAGCTGCTCCAGTGGAAGGGGTCCCTGCCCGTGGCAGGGGTTGCGAATGGATGAGCTTTAAGCTCCCTTCAACCTAAACCATCCTGAGAGTCAATGACACGACTGCCCCAGGTGTGTTCTCCCCTCCCTTTGCTTTGCCTTCCTGGCACTGAGGGTTTGCGGACGTGTCCATCATCCTCATGGCAAAGGGAGCATCCCTGCTGCCCTGGCTGTGTCTGAGCCCTGGGGTGAGGACATAAAGCTTTTGGGTCGCTCTAAGCTGGTACATGACACACTGACTCTGCTGCTGAGGCCCACAGTTAGGAAAGGGGCATCCAGTGGCCAGATGGATGATGTGTACGTTAAAAACCACTAAACACTGCTAAAATCTGCCTAATCCCAGCCCCAGAAGTGAGGGAAGCCATGGATACAGGAAGTGCAGGCATGGAGTCAGCGCTGGGCTCTGCAGGGACCCACTGGGATAGAAATGGAGCACTGGGCTGGAAACGCAGTGACGTGGTTTGTGCTCACTCCAATGCCCACTCGGCCAACCACTGCTCACACCGGGCTCGCTGCTCCTCTGTCTCTGGGCTCTTGGCTTCGCTCAGTGCCTCCTGTTCCCCACCACCGAGCACGGCTTCCTGGCTTTCCTCTTCCTCCTTCTGCATCACCTTGTCCTTCAGCTCCTGGATGGTCTCATCCAGCCGGTGAGTGATGCTCTGGGGCACCCAGTTGCTGTCCATTGCGGTGATGAAGGGGTCGGGGGCACAGACCTCAATGAGCTCCTTGCCGGTGGGGATGCGCAGGTAGTAGGCATGGAGCATCATCCTATAGGGACTGCTGTCCTTCCTGTGGCTGTAGGTGAAGTCCCCCACAATGGGGTGGCCGATGGCGCTGCAGTGAACCCGGAGCTGATGAGTACGCCCTACAGGGAAAGGAACCACGGACATGGGTTATCCCTGAATCCCTCCTTGAGGATGCAGTGGTGATAACGCACCAAATGGCATTTATCCCCATTTGAATCCTCTGAGCTTGGTGGCTCTGATCCCTTCAGCCCTTTCTAGGCTTCACTTTGCACCATGCACCCACACCAAGGCCCAACGCTGCACATGCAGCATCTCTGGCTGTCCAGCCTCATCACCTTGTGCTCTTGGGGACAAGGAAGCCCTATGGAGCCCCTGGGACCTCAAACCCCCCCTGTTCAAACGCTGCCCCAACCCCAACCTCCTACCTGTAAGCGGCTGCAGCAGCACTTTGGTTACGGGGTCTCCGCTGTAGGACCCGTGCTCCAGCACGATCAGCTCCGACTGGCAAGGCTTGGGGTTCTCACAGCCTGCAGTGAGATGCAGATGGGAGTCAGCTCACCCCCTGCGTGGCCTGGGCAGTGCAGGCAGGGCGTGGGAGCTGCTCACCCTCCGTCCCATCGATGCACATCATGTGGGTCATGCCCTCGGTGGTGTTCTTCCCTATGGCGTAGCGGATCGTCATCCGGCTCTGGCTGACGTGGCCCCTGACCTGCAGGGCAGGAAGAGGGTTTGCAGACTGAGCCCTGCCACCCCTCACCAGCACAAGCAGCAGAGGCCAAGCCCCGATTTAACCACACCAAGTGCAGAAGCAGGACTCGGCATCACAGGCTTACCAGGGCCAGATAGGCTTTGGTCACCAGCCGGTCTTTAAAGCACTTGTAGGCGCTTCCCGCTGCTGCCTTGTTGAGTGCGACACACAGAGCCCCACTGGTGGAGAAGTCGAGCTGGTGGCAGAACCTGGGGAGGAAACGGGAGCTGGAGAAGCATTCCATGGGCAGGAAGGAGCCCGCTCCACCCCGGCTGCTCACCTGAAGCCATAGTAGGTGTCGGGGTCGGCCAGCTCGGGGAAGCGGTACTTGAGCTGGCTCTGCAGCGTCAGGGTCTCGTACCACATCTTGCTGTCGATGCGGATGTCCCAGTGCTTGTTGACCACGATGAAGTCAGAGCTCTGGTACAGGATGGACAGGTTGTCGATGCTGCCCGGCTCCATGGCCAGCGCCCTGCGGGAATCACAATGAGCCTCAGCCGCAGCCTGTGCGCCCCGGGATGGGGACAGTACCCCGCTAGGGCTGGAAGTGTACCGGTGCCGCAGGGTCACAGCAGACGGGTCCCAGGGCAATACCGGGCTCCACCGCACGGTGCCCGTGCCTTACCGGTGCCCGTGCCCGTGCCACAGCCGTCCCGGTCCGGCACCCGTCCCGGTGCCCCACGTGGAGGCCCCGCCGGCGCACGATGCTTGGGCCGGTCCAGTCCAATTGCGGCCGGGCCGCAGTCACGGAGGGACCCGCTCGGCGGAGGGGACACGGGACACGGTGGAGGGGCTGATGCCAAGCCCCAGCCCTGGTGTCCGGTGCCCGACCCCGGCCCCGGTTCCCGTCCCGGTCCCTCCGGACCCGCAGCGCAGTCCCCGGGGCGCGGCGCTGAGCGGCTACATCGCCTCCACCGCTGGCGGCGCCGTCACCGGCACCGGACCCCGCGTCGCATCCAATCAACGCCGCAGCCGCCGCGTCCAACGTTTCGTCGCGTCCAATCAGCGCCTCCACTGCTTCCGTCCGGAGCACCGCGTCCAATCAGCGGCGGCTCCGCGGCGGCGCGGCGGCCGGAAGCGCGGTGCGGGCGGGAGCGGGTCCCATGGAGGAGCCCGATGCGGACCCCGAGGCGGGGTTCTACGAGCGGTTCGCGGATGAGCTGGAGGCGCTGGCCGAGCTGGGAGGTGCGGGACCGGCGGCGGAGGGAGGGATGGAGCGGGTGGGCAGGACCCGGCTTTGCGCGCCCCGCCGCGGGTCCCCCCGGTGAGCGGCAGCGCCGCGTTTCGCCGCTCGCAGGTGACCCGACCCCAGCCGCTGGATGCAGAATCTCCCAGTTCCGGGACAGGAGGCAGCCGCCAAAGGAGCCCGAACCCCCCGGGGACCCCGACGGGGGCAGCAGCTCCAGGAAGAGGGATCGGGGCTCCCCCGGTTCCCCGCCCGCAGCCCGCAGTAGGTTTGGTCCCGGGTGCAGGGATGCTGCCGCTGGAGGAGCGGCGGAGGCGAGGCTGCTTCTCCTCTTCCTCCTGCCCTGCTGTCTCCCACAGCCCCGAAGCCCAAGCGGCAGCGGCTGGAAGCTGTTAAGAAGCTCAGCTTCGGAGTGGATGATGAGTTGGCTCCGGATGGCCCCTGGGATGCTGGCCCAGAGGAGCCTGCTCCTCAGGCTGTCAGGTTGGCCACCTTGAACCCTGCTTTGGGCAGGGGTGAGGAACCCCAACACAAAGGTGGGGTTCAAGGGTCCCATCCCTTGCCCCTGCTGAAGGGAAATGGTGTTTTCCAGCTCGGACCACCTGGACATCAGTGGCATGGCCCCACTGCAGAACACACCACCCTCCGAGAAGAAGCGGGTCCTCAAGCGGCCGCCCATCCTGGAGGACTACATCAATGTGACATCCACCGAGGGCACCAGGGTCTTCATGGTCCTGAGGGATGGTTCCTCCAGGACAGGGGTGGAGGTGAGGAGGGGTCTGAAGGCTGGGCTTGCTTCTTGTGACCTCCGTCCAGTTCAGGAGGGGATCTGTGATGAAGAGTGAAGTGTTTGTGCCGAGCATCAGTATGAACATCAGTGTGTGTCCTCTGGTCCTTGCAGCTCCCTGATTCCCTGGGCTGGAATACACGGCGGCCGCTCCACTTGCTGGGGGTGCCATTCTCCTACCTGAAGGAACAAGTGAATGAAGAGGTATCCCATCATATACCCATCTTCCTGCCTTCCCCTGGATAGCCATAGCACGGGCTCCCATATCCCTCCTCTCCACAGCCATGGCTTAGCGGGTGTCTCTGACCCCTTTCTCCCCCTCTTTGTGCCCAAGCGTCGAAGATGTGTTCTGGAGGCATCACAGCAGCTCACGGAGATAATCAACAGGTGAGGGGTTGGGATGCAATCCCACTCCTATCCCTGCTGCACTCTCGGGTGCTCCGGTGGTGTCCAGGTTTTGGAGACCTGTGGGCAGAAGAGCCTCTTAGCCCTCAGCATCCCCAGCTTGGGAAGTGATGGTGGAATTCCCAGCCCTGCCCTGGTTCCCTGGCTGGTCTGGGACAAGTTAATGTTTTCTTGCAGTTGCCTCGAGAGTGAGACCAGCACCGAGAGCCCAGAGCCTGCTGTGGAAGCGGAGCCGACAGACGAGGAGGACTCAGCGCTGCATTGCCTCTGGGTGGACAGGTTCACTCCTCGGCGCTACATGGAGCTGCTCAGTGATGATGTGAGGTGCTAGAAGGGGGGCTCGGGGGCTTACCCCCTCCATACTCTTTATGAATGCTGTGGGATCAGGTTTTGTGGTGCTGCTTTTGGAAGCATTGGCTGGAGGCTCTGTCTGTGCAGTCCTGCTGCTGAGAGGTTTTAGCTGTGGGCCTTCTGATAAGAGAGACTGAAAGATGAGCAGGCAGAAAGGATTGTGTGGATTTCAGCCAGGAATCGTTGGTGGGTCTGAGGGTTTGGGGATTATTGTAAGTTTTGTAGGGAGCTGGAGGTTGTGGAAGAGGCTGGGAAGCGCTGGGTTGAACTGAGACAGGCGAGGGACAGCAGGGATTGGGCTGATGTGAGTTGTCCTTGATTGCCCTGCGGGATGGTGATGTTGTGGCTGCCCCATCCCTGGCAGTGCTCAAGGCCAGGTTGGACACAGGGGCTTGGAGCAAGCTGCTCCAGTGGAAGGGGCCCCTGCCTGTGGCAGGGGTTGGGGGTAGATGAGCTTTAAGGTCCCTTCCAACCCAAAAGCCATTCTATGGTTCTGTGGTGGCTGAGGTTGGAAGGAAGCTGTGTTCCCATTCTGTTCCCATGCCAGGTAGAAACCTGAGCAGCCTCTCCCATGATGTTCCATGTGCTCAAGGTCCATCTGGGCAGACACGCTCTGGGCTTGGCTCCTGTCTCTGCCTGCCCTGCTGGTTTTAGGCCATGAAGGAGCAGCCTTCTGCTGTCCTAGACTGGATCCTTCCGAGCTTTGATGGCCTTGCTGCTGTCATTCTGAACTCGCAGTACACAAACCGCTGCCTTCTGAAGTGGCTCAAGCTGTGGGACACGGTGGTGTTTGGGAAGGAGAAGGCTGTGAAGAAGGCCAAGGCCAGCACTGAAGCTCATCCTCCATTCAACCAACCCAAGGAGCAGCACAGTAAATGGAAAACGAAGGTCCAGCTCACAGAGGAGATTCTGGAGGCTGAGCTGGACCAGCACAAGAGACCCAAATATAAGGTGAGCAGGACAGGATGCTGCTGCCATGGGTCTCCTCTCCTGTCCCCCTCATCCTGCCACTGAGGTGAGGAGCAGGGTCTTCCCGTTCCCTTCTCTGCCAGTACAGATCTAGGAGAAATGGGATTCCCTCATTCTCCTTAGAGATTATGGGGTTTTCTCATCTGTTTCAATGATGCTCAGATGCTAAAGGGACAGAGGGAGCACACCCAGGCCAGCTTACCAGCTTCAGCCTGTCCAGTTACAGGATAGAGAAAGGGGGAAACAAACATAGATACTAACAGCATTGCTTCACATGAATGTATTTCTGGAAGGGATTTTGTTCAGTCTTTTCTGTCTACTGTCCTGCAAGCTTAAACGTCTGCATGAGGGATGCTGCCAGGATGACTCTGTCACCTCTGAGTGCCTGTATATTCTCCTTCCTCCTTTAACTTCTCCCTTTGTGTCTACAAACCAGTGCAGCAGCTCCTAAAACCGGTTTGGAGGCTGCAGAGCCTCATCCGCTTGCATGGCAGCTGTGTTGGAGCTGGAGGAAGCCCTCCTGCACTGCCTGCTGGGCTGATGTTACCTCTTCTCCCCAGGTAGCCCTGCTCTGTGGCCCACCTGGCTTGGGAAAGACCACTCTGGCACATGTCATTGCAAAGCATGCGGGGTACAACGCTGTCGAGATGAATGCCAGGTGAGTCTGTGCTGGCTCTGGTGGAGGTGATGCTGTGCTGGAGGTGATGCTATGCTGGAGGTGATGCTGTGCTGGAGGTGATGCTGTGCTGGAGGTGATGCTGTGCTGGCGGTGATGCTGTGCTGGAGGTGATGCTGTGCTGGAGGTGGTGCTGTGCTGGAGGTGATGCTGTGCTGGAGGTGATGCTGTGCTGGAGGTGATGCTGTGCTGGGGGTGATGCTGTGCTGGGGGTGATGCTGTGCTGGGGGTGATGCTGTGCTGGGGGTGATGCTGTGCTGGGGGTGATGCTGTGCTGGAGGTGATGCTGTGCTGGAGGTGATGCTGTGCTGGAGGTGATGCTGTGCTGGAGGTGATGCTGTGCTGGGGGTGATGCTGTGCTGGAGGTGATGCTGTGCTGGAGGTGATGCTGTGCTGGAGGTGATGCTGTGCTGGAGGTGATGCTGTGCTGGAGGTGATGCTGTGCTGGAGGTGATGCTGTGCTGGAGGTGAGCTGCTGGAGGTGATGCTGTGCTGGAGGTGATGCTGTGCTGGAGGTGATGCTGTGCTGGAGGTGATGCTGTGCGGGAGGTGATGCTGTGCTGGAGGTGATGCTGTGCTGGAGGTGATGCTGTGCTGGCGGTGATGCTGTGCAGGAGGTGATGCTGTGCTGGGGGTGATGCTGTGCTGGAGGTGATGCTGTGCTGGAGGTGATGCTGTGCTGGAGGTGATGCTGTGCTGGAGGTGATGCTGTGCTGGAGGTGATGCTGTGCTGGAGGTGATGCTGTGCTGGAGGTGATGCTGTGCTGGAGGTGATGCTGTGCTGGAGGTGATGCTGTGCTGGAGGTGATGCTGTGCTGGAGGTGATGCTGTGCTGGAGGTGATGCTGTGCTGGAGGTGATGCTGTGCTGGAGGTGATGCTGTGCTGGAGGTGATGCTGTGCTGGAGGTGATGCTGTGCTGGAGGTGATGCTGTGCTGGAGGTGATGCTGTGCTGGCGGTGATGCTGTGCAGGAGGTGATGCTGTGCTGGAGGTGATGCTGTGCTGGAGGTGGTGCTGTGCTGGAGGTGGTGCTGTGCTGGAGGTGATGCGTGGGGGAGGTGATGCTGTGCTGGAGGTGATGCTGTGCTGGGGGTGATGCTGTGCGGGAGGTGATGCTGTGCTGGAGGTGATGCTGTGCTGGGGGTGATGCTGTGCTGGAGGTGATGCTGTGCTGGCGGTGATGCTGTGCGGGAGGTGATGCTGTGCTGGGGGTGATGCTGTGCTGGAGGTGATGCTGTGCTGGCGGTGATGCTGTGCTGGAGGTGATGCTGTGCTGGCGGTGATGCTGTGCAGGAGGTGATGCTGTGCTGGAGGTGATGCTGTGCTGGAGGTGATGCTGTGCTGGGGGTGATGCTGTGCTGGAGGTGATGCTGTGCAGGAGGTGATGCTGTGCTGGAGGTGATGCTGTGCTGGCGGTGATGCTGTGCAGGAGGTGATGCTGTGCAGGAGGTGATGCTGTGCTGGCGGTGATGCTGTGCAGGAGGTGATGCTGTGCTGGAGGTGATGCTGTGCTGGAGGTGATGCTGTGCTGGAGGTGGTGCTGTGCTGGAGGTGATGCTGTGCGGGAGGTGATGCTGTGCTGGGGGTGATGCTGTGCTGGGGGTGACGCTATGCTGGAGGTGACGCTGTGCTGGAGGTGATGCTGTGCTGGAGGTGATGCTGTGCTGGGGGTGATGCTGTGCTGGGGGTGATGCTGTGCAGGAGGTGATGCCATCCACATCAGCCTGTACTGCCTTGCCTTGCAGTGACGACCGTAGCCCTGAGGTGTTCAAAACCCGCATTGAAGCTGCCACCCAGATGAAGTCTGTGCTGGGCACCAACGAGAAGCCCAACTGCCTGATCATTGACGAGATAGACGGTGCGCCTGCGGTAAGGAGCTGGCCACCTTTTGCATTTACCACTTACTTGTTCAGCTCATCTCCTGTGGTGTTTTAAGAGCTGTTCCTTGCCTCTGACCAGCAAGAACTGATCCCGTATCTCCTTGACTCCTATTTCCCAAGGCATCTATCAGCGTGCTGCTGAACATCATCAACCGTAAGGATGCGCAGGGCGAGGCAGCGGCCGGCATGGGCCGGCGGAGGCAGCGGGAGGGCGGATTGCTGCTCAGGCCCATCATCTGCATCTGCAACGACCAGTTAGTGCCTGCTGTGTGTCTGGGGAGGGGTAGGGACCCAAAGCAAGGAGGCGGCTGCTGTTGCCTCCAGCTGATGCTTCCTGAGCTGAGTTATTTGGCCCATGGATTAGATGCACCTTAGGAAAAGTAAAGCTCTAAGATGCTCAGCTTCCCTGAACCTCATGTTTTGTGTCTGCTGGAGTGACCTGTAGTGAGGTGTGAGTGTATAGTTGTTTGTGCATGCCCAAGCATGCAGCGGTGCATAAATAGTGCATCTCTTTTTGAGCAGAGCATCCCTAGAGACATTCAAGGAGAGGTTCTGGGCACCCTCATTAGTTGGAGATGTCCCTGCTCATTTCAAGGGGGTTGGACTTGATGTCAAGCTTAGAAGGTCCCTTCCAACACAGACTGTTCTATGGGTAATAGCTGGATTGCCTCCCGTGCTAGGGCTGCTCAGGCCCCTCTGCTCCCCTTTGCAGGTACGTCCCTGCGCTGCGGCCGCTGCGGCAGCAATCCTTCCTGCTCGTCTTCCCTCGGACAGCACCATCCCGGCTGGCCCAGCGGCTCTGCGAGGTGGGACACGGCCAAGGGCTCCCCTGGCCCCCCCATCCCCGTTGGCAGGTCCCCCCCTCTGACCCCCTGTCCTGCAGATCGCCCTGCAGCAGGGCATGCGGGCGGACGCGGGCGCGCTGCTGGCGCTGTGCGAGAAGACGGAGAATGACATCCGCTCGTGCATAAACACCCTGCAGGTACCGGGGGCACGGGGTCCTGTGGAGCCTGACCCCATCGGGGCTCAGATGGGGATGGAGGGGACCCAGACAGATCCCTGTGATTTCCAGCCTGTTCCCTGTGTTACTTTGCACCTGGATTCCTCTACAAATGGAGGAGCGAGGTGCTGCTGCCTGCAGCTTTCCCCAGCACCAGCTTGCTGCTGTGGGCATCCCCCCTCCATCCCTGCTGTCTCCTTCCCCTCCAATCCCTTGCTTGTGTTGCAGTTCCTGCACAGCCGAGGCCAGAAGGAGCTGAGCATGCAGATGGTGCAGACGATGAGGATCGGCTTGAAGGACCAAAACAAGGGGCTGTTCTCCATCTGGCAAGAGATCTTCCAGCTTCCAAAGGTCCAAAGGTAAAAGTGGGATTTACTGATTGCTGTCTGCTTGGGGCACGTGGCTTCATGGTATTCCCTGATGTGCCTGCAAGACTTGTGGTGGAGGAAGATGGAATGCTCTGGAGAGCTTCAGCAGATCTCTGTGTCCAGATGCTCCTTACCCACTCTTTAGTGCCCAATAGTTTGGCATGGCTATTGCCTTCAGTCCAGTTTGCAAGGGTCAAATATTCCTTGCTCCGTTCAGCCCCAGGGCACCCTGAGCTCTTCCCTTTGGACTCCCCCAGGCACAGGATCGGAATGGACCCCGCTTTGCCAGCCCAGCTCCTGGTGGGTGATGAGGATCTGTCGTACCCCGGGGGGAAGGCTGGCTTCAGTGCATCCTCCCACCGCTTCCACCACATCCTACACCTTGCTGTCTCCTCGGGGGAGCAGGAGAAGCTCGCTCAGGTAGAGTAGCCAAGGGGGAGAGCTGGGCCCTTCCTTTGCTGTGTTGTGTGGAGCTCGATGGGATGCTGTGGTGAGACCATCCCCATGGCCTCGATCCATCTCTGCTCCTGCATCCCGTTATCCCATGCCAGGGTCTCTACGAGAACTTCCTGAACATGAGGGTGCGGGACTCCAGTTTCAGCACCGTGTGCTTGGCCCTGGAGTGGTTGGGATTCTCCGACCTGCTGAGCCGGGCTGTGCTGCACAGGCAGAGCTTCCAGCTGATGCGGTACCTGCCCTTCCTGCCCGTGGCTTTCCACCTCCTCTTCGCAGCCACCAGCATCCCCCGGCTCTCTTACCCCAGCAGCCAGCACGAGGTGGGTACCGGCAGGGCCATGGTGGCAGCGTGGCTGCATCTCTGTCACCCATGGGGACACCTCTGGTGGCAGCCGTGGCTGAGCCATCCCTGCTCTGTGCACCCAGGCCCTGGCCAAGCTGAACCACATGCAGAACCTCGTCATGTCCATGGTGTCAGGGATAACGCCCAGCGCCCGCAGCCGTGCAGGGCATCAGTCTCTTGTCTTGGAGGTGCTGTGCCTGCTGCTGGACATCATCGCCCCGAAGCTCCGACCGGTGAGTGCCCAATGGGGCCCCTCTCACTGTGGTGGCAGGAGCCCTGCCTGCGTGATGTGTCCCTTCCTTGGGCACTGGAACAGGCCAAGAAGTGATCAGTGCCCCATCCCTGGCAGTGCTCAAGGCCAGGTTGGACACAGGGGCTTGGAGCAAGCTGCTCCAGTGGAAGGGGTCCTTGCCCATGGCAGGGGTTGGAGCTGGATGAGCTTTAAGGTCCTCCCAGCAGCTGGTTTGGTTTCAATGTGTGGTTGCATTGGGTGCATTTACCCTTTGGGCCATCAGAGGGGTCTGTCCCTGCTTTGTGAGGTGTCCCTTATAGGAAACTAAGCTTGGTGTGAACCTCATGGGTATTCACAGTCCTCTCTCATACAGAGACAACCCCAGCGCATTGGGTTGTATTTGTGTGTTTAGAAGTTAATATGGATTAGTGATGCTCTCCCAGGTGAACACCCAGCTCTACAGCCTCAAGGAGAAGCAGCAGCTGGCAGACCTCATCAGCACCATGCTGGCCTACAACCTCACCTACCACCAGGAGCGCCTGCCCGAGGGCCAGTACATCTACAAGCTCGACCCGTAAGTCCTGAGGGTGGGAAGAAAGGTGTCGGGGTCAGAAATAACCCCCTTGGGTTGAGGCTGGAGCTGGGTTTGTTGTAATGGGATTAAAGGAGAGGAAGCGTCTGCCTTTGGCTCTGCCGGAGCTGGGAGAGAAGGGAATGATGCTGCTGGGGGCTGGTGGCAAAGGGGAGGGCAGGTCACCAGGGCACATTGCACATGGTCACTGCAGCCACTGCTAGTGAGTGTATTAACAGTGCCAGCCTTGAGCTCTAAGTATACAGCGAGCCATAAACGCTCCCAAGGCCTGGGTGAAGTCACACAGACCCCAGCACAGGCAGGAGCAGCGCTGATGCCTTCCTGGTACAAAGTTAATTACAGAAATTAGCCTCTGTTAAATGAAGCAGCTGGGTCTGATTACAGGGAAGCTCCTTATTATTTATTATGTTCCCTGTGGAAAAGCCTGCAGGGGCTGTATGAACTGTATGAGCCATCCTGTCCTGCCCTCCCCACGCCAGGCTGTGGCCATGGAACATGTAGGATGGAACACGTAGGATGGTGGGAGCCATGTGGCACAAGCAGGGAGGTTGCTTTGCTTTGCTTTGCTTTTATTGTGAATTCTGACCCTATTTCCTGGCTGTGCACAGCAATGATGGGGACCACAGGGGTGCCACATCCTGGTGGTACCTGCGAGGAGCATCCCAGCATCTCTCAAGCTGTTCTCGACAGCAAAACCTGTGTTTCCTCTTTAAAACTTCTTAAATCAGTTCTGACAGCTAATTTCTAAATGGCTGCAAATGTGTCTGACACAGGACTTTGCTCCCTTTATTTTAAGGGGAATATTATTGGATGTGAATAATGTGTGATACATTTATAGCTGGCAGAGGAATGGGCCCAGCTGGCTCCTTGGTGCTGGGCTTTTGCTGTCCTGAGCCAGGCCTAACTCCAGAGCTGGAGCACCAAGTGGTTAAGAATACAACTGCTCTGATGAGCCCGAATTACTGCTCATGGCTGCACCTCAATTAACCAGGTCCCTGCAGGCACCTCGGGGGTCTTGCCAAGGGTTGTGCTGCTGCTCGTGCCCAAGCTGTGATGTGGCTGCGTGGTTTTCAGAGCAATCTGCTCGGCACAGACCCGCCTGCACTTCCCTCTTCTTGCTTTAAAACCGAGGTTAAAACGGATGTAATCCCTCCTGAGTTCAGCTGAGGTGCCCTGCAGCATCCGCTGGGCATCATCTAATGCTGCTGTTGTACATGGAGAGAGCAGGGATGGGGGAACTGAGGCGCCATGGCCAGGACCATACAGGAGGGTCTCCCTGTGCCTACATCAGGCTGCAGTTTGCATAAAGCTGTGTTATCTCCAGTATTGATGTGTTTTCTCTCCATGATTCAGGAATGTGGAGGACGTGTGCCGGTTCCCGGACCTGCCGGCTCGCAGGCAGCTCAGCTACCAAGCCAAGCAGCTCATTGCCAGGGAGATAGAGCTGGAGAAGATGAGGAGGACGGAGGCTCTGCTGCAGGCCCGGAACCTGGGAGAGGTAGGGATCATGGTGCTATTGATAGGAATAAAGTCCTTGGGGCTGCTGAGGGGATGAGGGCTTTCCAAAGCCAGTGGCTTTTGCTCTGCAGATGGAAATCCGGGATTAACCTCCCCCATCCGCAGCCGTGCTGCACATCTGCCTTCAGGGCAGCACATCTGTGCTGGGTGGTGATCCCAAAGGGCTCATCCTTCTGCAGGAGTTCTGGAAGGAAATGCTCGCTGTGAGTTAAACCTATGAACCGGGTTGTGAGGAGAAGGGGGTTTTAGTTCCTCTGGCTGTGATTTCGTGTGTCTGTGGGGAATTGAGCTGCTCTCTCCTGCCTGCACCTTCCCTCCTGCTTCCCTTTGATGCTCCCAGAAGTCCCAAAGCCTCCAGGAGGAGCACAGTAACTGCCCCCTGCCAAAACCCTCCATGGAGCAGCAGGCAGAAGGTGGAAAAGGCTGAGAGACAGCTCACGTGAGGCTGGTGCCTGCCCTGCCCTTGTGCCACCGGGATAATGAATCCCTGAGAGCCTCCTCTTGCAGCAGAAGGCCTTTCTCATGGGATGTGTGGGGCAAAGAGATGCTGCAAAAGCATCTCTGAAGGCTCCTTGTTTACACAGGAGGTCCCAGGGAAAGGGATTGCAAACAAACACGTTCCCAGCGCGCTGCCGGGGCTAATCCCATGCGCTGCTGAGAGCCAGGAAGGGGTGGAAAACTCCTTGGATATTGCAGTAAACCCGGCAGCAAGCAGAGGGGGGGAGTGTGGGATGGGTGACAGGGCAACGTCCTGCCCTCAGGCTGTGCATTGCTTGGGGGGGTGCCCAAAAGGACCCTCACTCACGGCTCTTCTCCCTGCAGGAGCCTGGGAAGAGCTTCGGCAAGGCAGGAGACAGCATGGACACGGTGCCCCCCAACCACCAGCAGCGCCTGGAGCACATCGTCAAGAGGGCAGCTGTGGAGGACAAGGTGAGGGGGCTGCAATTCCCACCCCATTCCCTCCCAGCACGATCCTGGCTGCTGGAGACTCCCTGTCTCTGCTGCTATTTGTGTTTAGTTGGGGTAGTTTCTTCTAATAGAAGAGCTCAGCACCATGTGACCCATAACTGCATCATCGCTGGGGTTCCAGCATCGGGATGAGTTAGGGCTGGGGGACAGTTATGGATGTGCCCCGTGAAGCTTTCATGGCTGGGGAAGGAGATGTGGATGTTTTGTGCTAAAATAGCTGAATTTTGGCTCTGTAGAAGCCGTGGGACTGGAGGAAGAGCTGCTCATGAGGTGTGGGGTATGAACAGAGGGGAAACCATCCTCTGTGAGTGAGGCGTGCATCCCACTGTGGGCATCCCAGTAGTGTCCAGAAGGAGCAAGCGGTGGTCCCATGCTTCCCTCCCTCTCCACAAGCTCAGCATCAGGATCCTGACTGCCTGTAGAACCTTGCTTGAGCACGGTGAACCCTCCAGTGTCTGTTTCCCACCCCATTTTGAATGCTGTTTGCATTCCCCTGTGGATTTGCATTCAGCTCCTGCTTGGTGGCTTCCTCCAGTGCCGGGTGCTTGAATGGGGAGGGAGCTGGAGCAGCCCTGAGGGTGGGGTGATGGTCTCACCAGTGTCCAGCCTTGCACAGAGGGAAACTCTGCTTGCCTGTGGCTGTGTCTGAATGTGACCTGTGGATGTGGGCACTGACACCTTCTGCCTTTTGCTTTTGGCAGCCTGAGAAAGACTTCTTCGGGCGGCCCATTCGGCGGCAGCAGAAAGCCGCAGCCCCAGGTCGGTGGCACAGGGATGGGGTGGTTGTGGATGCTGCATTCCCTGTGCCAGGACCCCATACAGGGGCTGTGCCCCCACACACTGCACCCAGGGGACATCCGTGGGGTGGAAAGGGGATATTAAGTGAACAGACCCCAGTGCAGGAGGCAAGGGGTGCCTATGGGGTTGTGACAGTGGTCAGCTGGGGGTTGTGGGTGCTGCAAGTGTTTACAGGATCCCGGTGCTTAAAGGGGCTGCAGGAAACCTGGAGAGGGGCTTGGGACAAGGGCCTGTAGGGACAGGGCAAGGGGAATGGCTTGAACCTGCAGAGGGGAGACTGAGCTGAGCTCTTAGGCAGAAGCTCTTCCCTGTGAGGGTGCTGAGGCGCTGGCACAGGGTGCCCAGAGAAGCTGTGGCTGCCCCATCCCTGGCAGTGCTCAAGGCCAGGTTGGACACAGGGGCTTGGAGCAAGCTGCTCCAGTGGAAGGGGTCCCTGCCCATGGCAGGGGTTGGAGCTGGAGCAGCTTTAAGGTCCCTTCAACCCAAACCATTCCTTGATTCTATGAGTTTGTAACATGGGAGCATCAGAAGGGTTTCTGCAAGTTTCTGACCTGGATCTTCCCCTGCAGCCCCTCAGGCCTCCAAGGAGGAATCCCTGGAGAACCAGATGGGAAAAGCTGTGGGGAAGAGCGACGTCTGGTTCCGGTTTAATGAAGGGGTTTCCAACGCCGTCAGGAGGAACATCTACATCAAGGACCTGCTCTAGGGGGGTAGCAGTGAAACCAGGAACTTATGGAACTGAAGGGGAAACGATGGCTTTTGGCTTCAGTTTTGGGGTGTGCGTGGTTATTTTGGGGTTATTTTGTTTAAGTACCCACTTGTTTAACAAAGAAATTAAATCTGTATAAAGAAACTAACCATGGAGGCGTGTCCTCTTTATTTCAGTTACAAACCCTTCGGTGCCCTGTTTTGCCTGGTTGGCTGCAACAACGAGACCCTGCAATGTACAAAAGAGCATTGAAAATCCCTGAATGTGCTTTATAAAAGTTCCCTTCCTTTTCCAAGCTGGGGAAGAGCAGCAGGGGCAGAGGGGATGGGGCTGCAGCCGGAGCATGGAGGTACCCCTGCTGCTCTGTCCCACCACACTGCCCACCCCCTGTGCTGTCCCTGTCCCCCCCTGTCTAAAGGAGCAACGCTTCCACTGCTATAAATAAGGAGCCAGGCTGAGGGTTGGGTTTTGGTTCAGGTTCTCATATTAGGAAGCTGGCTAATATAAAAGTACATTCAGCAAGGGGATAAAAGGGGAGATTCAAGGGGGGGTCCCTCAGAGGATGCTGCATTTGCCCTTCTCCACCCAAGGGTTGTTCTTCATCAGCTCCGGGTTCAAGAAGGGGTCTTCGGGAATGCCGTCCTCGATCCACTTCACAAACCTGTGGAGATGGGAGTAAAGGGGTGGGCATTGATCCCACAGGGGTCCGTTGCCCTGGAATGCACAGCTGGATGCATTGGGGTGAGCCCAGCCTCTGTCAGCACAGGAGCCCTTTGCTCCCAGCTTTTTATATGGATGGGGGAGAGATGAGGGAAAGAAATGAGCTTAATAGAAGCCTTTTATCCCCTGCATCCATGGCTGCCCCTGTGCTGCCAGCATGGGGATGGTCTTTATGTTGTGCTTTAAAACCCATTTATGATGGGGTTTCAAACTCATTTGTGTTGTGTTTTAAAGCTTACTTATGGTGGTTTAAAACCAATTTGCTAAAGCTGCTCTTTTTCTGTCCCCCTTTCTAAGTGGGTTAGAAAGGGGGACGGGGCTGGGTGAACCCATAGGATGGGGCCAAGCACCTTCACCTGAGGAGCAGTGAGTACAAACGAGGGATGGGAAACACTTGTCCATGGCTTTGTTTTACAGCTTTAAGTGTGTTGAGCTCTGCAGGGAGGGTCTGAACACTTGTTTGGAGAATGGGAGGGTCCTGGGGTGTCTCTATGGCTGCTCCCATGTCCTGGCCACCACTGAGCATGGGCAGCTGGAAAGGAGCTGGGATGGGAAGGATCACTGTGGGCATCAGCACTGGAGCTGGTGGGTTTCTGCTGCTGGGACTTGGGGGGGATTGAAGAACCGTAAGGGAAACCCCCAAACCTGCCTCATTTTGGGCTCCCCATGGTTTGAAGGGGGATGTTGGTGTCGGGGTGAAGAAGAGCCGGGTTCCTCACAGGGATACAGGGATGGGAGGGATGGGGGCATCACTCACTCGGGTATTGTCTTGGAGGACATCTCCCGCTTGTAGGCCAGCTGGTACTTGAGGCTCTCCACCTCCTTCTTCCACTGCGGGAGGTCCCACTCGTCCATGGTGGCACCCAGGGGCTCTGTGGGGCTGCAGATGAGGATGTTGGTGCTGCATCCCATGGCTGCATCCTGCCCTGACCCCCCCCCCAGGTCTGCACCCCATAAAGATGGGATCCCCCAGCTCTGGGGCAGGTTTCCAGCCCCATGGCGGAGCAGCCCATGGCTCCAGGAGGTTTTGGTGATGGGGTGCAAGGCCAGCCCAGCACAGAATGGGTGCCCAGGGCTGGCCTCTTGTAGATGTGGGTGCATGCATGTGGCCAGATTTGGCTGCAATTGGGATGGTTCTGTTGCTTAGGGTGGACAGTGGCAAGGAGCAACCAGGGGCCACTGGGGCATGGCGTTGTCTGCCCTTCTCCTTAGTGGAGGTAGCCCAAAGCAAGACCAGGAGGAGTTTTGAGCATCCACATGGCTGGGTAGACAACCCTGCAAACAGCTCATGTGGATGGGCATCTCTGATATGGGGAGCAAGAGGAATCACCACAGACCACTCGGCACCCCCATGCAGTGGCCCTGGGTGCTGGGTAACAGTGGGGACAGGCGTGATGGGGAAACTGAGGCGCAAGCTGTGACCATGAGACCTGCGAGCACTTGGCTCCTTGTGTCACCCCATGCATAGGGGCACAAGGGGACCTTCCCTTGCCATGACCCCAGATCTCCAGCACGCAGAAGCACAGGGCACCTTTGCACCCGCTGCGGCTGAGCCCCAAGGGTGCCCATCCTGCACCCAGCCCACACTGAAGCCCCTATTACAGGGTCAGGCAAGGGCTGATGCATGGGGGGGGACACTATACCCTTCCACACACCAGCACGGCTCAGATCCAGCCACACACTGGCAGCTTGGCATCCGCACGGGCTGCCCCAGCTCTGCTCCTCCGCAGAGCATCCCTTGGAATAGCATCCATGCCCGGGGAGAGGGCGAGCGCCCAGCGCGCAGCATCCCCCTGCACGGCCTCCCCGGGGCTCTCCTGGAGATCGGATGGGGACCAGCATCCCCATCCGTTGCTGCAGCCATCCCAGCAGCATCCCGCACCCGGACCCTCCACCTACCTGTGCTGGGGAAGGTGTCAGTGGGCAGCGGGGGCCGTGTCCGTCCCCACCGGCTCAGCAAAGCCCCGGCCCTGCCCGCGCTGCTCCCGACGCTGCCGGATCCTCTGTGTAATCTATTAATGCACGGCGGGTCCAGCTGCCTCCGACACGGCAGGAGCCGGATAATGGGAGCGTCCTTCCCCCCCCCCCCGCTGCTCCCGGGGGATTTGGCTCCGATGAATGTGAGCGACCAGGATGGAGGCAGCGTCCTGGTACCCAGCGGCAGAGCTGCTGGAATGGGGTTACCGCAGCATCCACCATGGCCCTAAGGGACAAGAAAGGCCCCAAAGAGGGGGGGGGGTAATGCGTGGTGGGACACAGCGGTACCCCAGGGAGGCCCTGCCTGCATCCTGCATCCCTGCAAATGCCAGCCCTGCCATGGCTTTTCTGCAGTTGCTCGTGGGTTTTGTGGTTCTTCCCACTTCCCTGCTGCTGCTGGAGCCAAGGGGATGCAGGGGGAGTATCCAGGGAAGGGATGGTTAAAAAAGGGGGATAAAAAGAAAGTAAATGCCCCAAAGTGAGCCTTTGGAGATGGAACATATGGCGGGTGAAGGGGCAGGGTCAGCACAAGGGGAACAGGGCAGCAGTGTTGAAAAAGCTATTATTGTGGTACTTGGAGGGCAGTTGTTTTAGCTGAGTAAAAGGAACATAATTGAGGCAAAAGCAAAACCAGCAAGATATGAAACCCCCCAGCCCCAAACCTTCATGAAATAAACACTAAAAAAACCCTTAAGGGAAGCTTTCCTGCCTTAAGAAACGTTTCCACAGGAAAAAGCTGCCCAAATAGAGCCCCAAAAGCTACAGCACCCCAAAGAATCAAGGCTCTGGTACAAACAGGGGTACCTCTGTGTGCTGGAGCCTTGACAAATCCCGCTGGTATCCTGGGCATTCAGTGGCCTGGAGGTGAAACGTGTGTATATGTTTGTTGTTATGGTGTTATATGGTATATCTGCTCTAGTGGAAGGTGTCCCTGCCCATGGCAGGGGGTTGGAACTGGATGAGCTTTATGGTCCTTTCCAACCTGAACTAGTCTGTCATTCTATGAATCAATCTCATATATATGTGTGAGTGTATATATATGTATATATAAAGTATATAACATATATAATATACATAGACATATATATTAAAAACTATCATCCATCTATCTATATCATCTATCTATCTGTATCTATATCTATCTATCCATCTATCTATCATCTATCTATCTCTCTATCTATCTATCTATCTATCTATATCTATCTATCTATCTGTCATCTATATCTATCTATCTACCTATCTATCTATCTAGGATGCCTCTTCCCATAAGCCTTTATGGCGTTAACCCACCAGAGCCATTTCCACCAAGCAGCCACTCAATGCCCTGCTACACTGACCTGGCCAAAGGCAAAGCTCCCCCAGGAGCCAGCCCTCAGCCTCCACAGGCAATCAATAGTGCTAAGAGCCTCCCGGAGCCACCGTTCCTCCACCCTGCTCCAAGAGAGGATGCGGGAGCCTGGGCCTTGGCCAGGGATCGATGGAGCTCATTGGAGCCAAACGCTGAGCCCGCAGCACCCAAAGGAACCAATACACGTCCCTTTTTAATTGCAAAGGCAATACTGGGCTTGGCTTGCTGCAAACAGCCCCAGGGTGCGGGGCTGCTTGGGGTGGGTGCAGCTCAGGGCACGCTGCCCTGCTCCAAACCCTCTATTATTGTCTATTAAGGAGGTCAGTGATACCCAGCACTGAACCAGAGATTATCTGCCTGTTGACATCAGTCATAATCTCCCCGTGCTGCCTCCAAGAGAGAATGGGAAAGGCCTGGGCTCAATGATGAACTGTCCCTGAAGAGGGGTTGTTGGAATCCTGTGGATTCCCCAAGGCCTGACGGCCGAGCAGGGCTGGGGCAGCACATGGTGAATTTAGGAGCCCCCATGAACAACAGCCATTAACACAGGGGGTTCATTGAGCTCATCCCAGCTCTGCCTGGCCACAGCATCCTTGGATGGGCAGGGAGCCTTGTGGACACGGCTGCCCATCCCTCAGGGGGGCTGGGATGGGCCCAGCACAGCAGATTGCGGGGCTCCCATTAGCCACCCCCACCGGCTTTGTAGATTAAAGTATTATGAACTCCTGAAGTTGTACAATATTAATGACTGCAGCCATCTGTTAATCTGGCAGCCAGCAACGAACTGGGGCTTTACTTTGCTTAGGCCAGTTATTAAAAAGGAGTATTTTTGGTTGGGCAGGCAGCTGGAAGAGCACAACTCCTTTCCATCCCAGGGTAGCCGTGCGATGACTTGCATCTCATTCCTTAGTGCTCCCCTCCCATTATTTAGGTCCAAAGCAGGGAAGAGCAGCTCCTGAGGCAGGAGCTGAATGGACAGGATGGTGTGAGTGACATATGTACCCTGTGCTACACCATACAGGACTAAAGGTTGTCACCTGAGATGTGGGACTGCACTGGCACTGAGTCAGCAGCCCTCATTGCTGTCCCTGGGAAGCAGGGGTCTGCCTCAGCCCCAGTGCTAATTATGGCCCTTTGGGATGGTGTTTTAGATAACTCAGTTCGCTGGTGCACGCTCCAAAGGGACAAACCCATTTTGCAGGTTAATTAGTGTCCTTGGGAGAAATGGCACCAGCACTCCCAGCAGCAGAGGTGGGGAAGGGTAATGCAGGCAGAGGCAGGAGGTTTGGGGACGGCCCTGAGCATCACCCCCAAGTCACTCTGAATTCACCCCCAGCCCTTTTACTTCATGAACTGCCCATTGTCCGCATGGCCAAGAGGGCAAAACTGCCCCTGCCGTGTCCTCTGCTCAGAGCTGGGCCTTGGTGGGATGTGCATCCCCATTCCCCCATGAGCAGAGCTGGGAGAGCCACCCAGGGTCACCAGCAGCACTAGGCCAGGGCACTCGTTTGTTCTTTATTATACTGAGAGCTTCCCCCCTGTGGCCCATCACCAATGAGTTTGTTAGCAGTGACTTTCAGCAACCCTACCCATAATCAATCAGCCCCCAGGCAGGTTGCTCACTGCTGACCAAAACCTGAACAGGTACATAATGCTCCTGAGCCAGACAATGGCATTCCCATCCCAGGCTTTACCATCAGACAATTCCCCTCTTTTCAGATGAAACTGTATTTCCAATACAGGCACTTAGCGGCCAATGTTGGGTTGAGTGTTTGGCACCATGAGCTGGGCATAGACTTGCTCAAATGGTCGATTGCTAAACTGCAATACGTGGATGAGGCAGCTCTAGGTGCTCATTTGCTTCTCCAACCTCTGCATTTCAATTTTTCATGAGCCCTGCTCCTCTCACTTATACCTGGAGCAAAGCAGACAAGATCAGCCTCCCATTTACCTTTAGGGTTACAGTAGTCAGGGTTTCAGGGCACCAGGAAGATGTTCTGCACTGTGGTTGAGTGCAAGAACTATACCTGCATTGACCCAATCCATGCCCAACGTCAAGTGTAGATTGTCAGAGAAAGTCTTTTTCTCATGCATAAAAGATTGTATCATCACAGTGAGGATTATACTATAGATAAGGGCTGCTATAATGCATTAAAATTGAGAAGTAGATAAATAATGAATAGATATGCTATTTACTTACAGTAAATAAGGTGTTCCTAACTCTTTTCTTGTGATGGTAAATCAAGGCTGGAAGGGGGAACAAACCCCCTGCCCTCACCTGCCCCCTCTCCTGCCCCGGGTGACACCCAGAAGCCTACATCCATTCCAAGTTTAGTGTAGTGCTGGGGCTGCCTTGGTTTCACTGTTCCCTTTTCACACCCACAGTGAAATGACAGAGCATGATGTAACTGTCAGCACACCCAGGGACTAACAAACTGGATGCTATTGGAGAGCTGGGAACAGGAGAGCAGCCAGGAAACATCACAGGGCAGGAATGGGAAGTTCTTACATACCAGGGCAAAGCAGAGAACATGGTACAGGGCCTGTGAAGATCAGCATTTGCAAGTCCCTTCCCTGTCTTTTGTTCTCTCCCCATTGGGCATAACAGGAACAGGGACCTTCTACCGCTCAGGAATGTGGGGTGAGGAAAGGTTATGTAATCAGAAACATGCACGAAACCCGTCTTGGAAACTGGGATGAGATGACACATCAGTGTGTCCTCCAGGGCAGCAGAAGGAGCCATGGCGTGGCCACCAGCAGAGCCACATTCCAGAGGCTCAAGGACCCTCCCCGACCTCTGCTTGTCCTGCCTGAACTTGGACAAAGCAACCATGCAAAGAAACCCTCCTAACCATACCCCCCATAAAACAGCTGACAAGGACAGCCTTTCCATAGAACTTTACTGCAGACTGCGTTGACTCAAACACAGGACCCAGATGTACAAAACTTCAACAGCAGCAGAGTTTATTTAGAACAACAAAAGCTGCAAAAGCCTTGACCGTGCAAAATGAAACGAGTCACAGATGATGATTTCTTCTGCTGCCGCCGCCTGCCAGAGCAGTGCGGGCAGGTATCACAGCAGGGCAAAGGATACCAATCAGGCTTGAAATATTTCTTCATTTCTACCTGCACAGGTCAAACATGAACTCCAACTTAACACTAAAATGAGGCTTTGAAAAACCCAGAGCCATCAGCACCCCCTAAGTCACCAACTGCAGGAAATACAACAGAATACAACTCCCGGCCGCATATGAAACCTGTGCTATTTACTAACAAAACAAGGTACTTACTGCATGGGGCCTCCTCAATCTGTTTTCTTGAAGCAATAAGAATGCTTCAGTTAATGCCCTTCAGCCTCAAGAGCAGGTTATTTTCATAACACAAAACAAAAACGGGTGTGCAAACAGCATCTCAGGGCATGCTGTCACTCACACACCTGGGCAAAGGCAGGATGCCTTGGTTTAGCCCTCTGCTCTCTTCACTGCTGCAGATGGCTCCCCCATAGCACATCTGCATAACAACAAAAATAAAGACTCATGCTTTGTGCTTCATCTGTGTTTCCCTCCCTCATCCTAAACACCAACCAGCATGACCAGCATCTCGCTGTAGAAGGGCTTTTTAAGGAAACTGAAACCCATCCCCATGCTTCACATATGAACTAACAAGAAAGGAAATTCCCTCAACACATCTGTTGATGCAAGGAACACAGCCTGCTGTTCCCCACCTTCACCTAGGGTCTCATTTTGGATTTGTCTGAGGATGGTTTTAGGGACTCCAGAAGAGATTTCTCACATTAAGACAACTTGGGAAATATTCCTGAAGATTTTGACAGATTACTCATTGTCAAACAGGCTCATGAACCTCGAGACTTCACGATGAATTGCATTGCCAAGGGGCAGGGTCTTCAGTTTCTGGGAGGGAAAAGAAGCATACTTCAGTGATTTTTATAATGTCATTATAAATATCAAGGACATATGACATTTGATAGAATCATAGACTAGGCTGGGTTGGAAGGGACCTTAAAGTTCCCCCACGGGCAGGGACAGCTTCCACTGGAGCAGCTTGCTCCAAGCCCCTGTGTCCAACCTGGCCTTGAGCACTGCCAGGGATGGGGCAGCCACAGCTTCTCTGGGCACCCTGTGCCAGTGCCCCACAGGGAAGAGGTCTTCTTTATATCTTATCTAAATCTACCCTCTTTTCATCTTATCATTTGATACATGACACATTCAATGTTATATTTAAATACCCAACTGATAAGTAACGCAGTTGTCACTGATACACTTTGTTGTTAAATTCTAATACGTAGAGATACTCACTGCATTGTGAAAGAAGTTGCAAAGATACTTTGCCCAAGGACACCTGAAAAACAGATACAGTCTTAATCCACTTTCTCATAGGGATGCACCTGCCCTCAACTTCAGCCACTCTGAGATCTGCATTACTCAAGGCTTAACAAAAAGGCCAGTCCAACAACCCACTTTACCTTTCAAATAGAAATGAAACAAGGTATTTTATTTTCTCTGCTACACACAGCAAAGGCTGGAGAGAAGAAACTGAGGAATTTCAACTTACCTGCCCATGATTTCCAATTAAGACAGTTACCAAGAGGTGAATTCTCAACATTACTCTGCTGCCAGCAGCTATGTGTGAATTAAAAGTGCCAGAGCAATTACTCTGCCTTCTAGTATACAACCAGAGAGTCAATTAATTTAGAAACTATTATGTCAATACATTAAAGTCTATCACTCTAAAGCCTAGAGAGCTTTACTGCGTAACACAGGAGAGCAAGGATTACACTTAGAAACAGCTCAAGGTTTCAAACGTGACACACCAGTGCCTGAAATCCAAAGTGCTCAGACTCTTTCAGGACTGTTTTCCCCACCCACTGAAGCTTTGTGCTGCTGCAGAGCAAGTGGTGTCTCTTAAAAGGTAATGACAGGCACATAGTGCTGTCCCCAGTTTGCGTAACAGTGCATATAGATTCCTCAATCTTTAGGTTTTGGTGGGGGTCTACTCCCTCCCCACCATGTGAAGTATTTCTTACAAGCTTAGTGCTGACCCTGTACTCCCACTGATACACATTTTGAGCTACTTTTAATTATTTTCTCTAAATAAAGCCATATACACTATTAAGCCTCCTTAGATTCCAGTAGCAGCTTTGTTACAAGTCCTAATTAAGAGGTTTTTCGGTTGCTGTTGCTGACAATGATGCTTAAGTAACAGAACTAGACTGTACCCTGTGTAATCTTGATGACTGGTCAGAGTTGCCAAGAGCAGACATGTTTTTCACAACACTGGGAAGTGAGGAGGCCATTTGGTTGCAACAGGGAACAGAACAATTTCAAGTCTACCCAGAGCATCATGTTCAGTACCTTTACCACTGCTAATGACAAGGAAGAACTAAAACCAAGAATCAGTTGTGAATTAAGACAGTTAAAAGAAAACGACCATCAGCGTTGCAACACAATGATTCTCTATCTGGCTGTGATGAAGATTCACACTTACATATGCAGATTCTCTGTGACAATATTCAGACTCAAGAGGCCAATGTACTGCATCTTCAGATGTTTGCAAGTCAGGAACAGGCAAAGGAATTCACCCACATACACGGGACCAAGGTTTTGCCACCTAAGCAATACAAAACCAGGAAACAACACAGCTGTGCAACAGCAGAAACAACTTGCCTACTAATTCCTGGCATCTTATTTGCATTCTTGACTTATCCAAAGCTCTGGGCTGGCTGGTTTCAAAGAGCTAAGGGTCACATCTCTGCTAAACGTTACTGCTGCTCTTACTGTTTCCATAAAGAGACAGGCAGGGAGCAAGTGTTTACTCACAGCTTTAGCATTGTTGCTTTCTGACAATGTAGATCTCTCAAAATCAGGTTGATAACACCATCAAGAACGTTTGCTTCACAGGAAAGCTGGTCCAATAACAGCCTCAAAGCCCAAAAGTTACTCTAGGAAGAGACAAAGTAAGACCAGTGATTTAACCCAAGTGGCAATCAAAAAACAGAGTAAACTGAGGGTCAGCAAAGTTAAAGAGGAACAGATCAAGTTAAATGTGCCCAAAATCTCCATGTTGGTGTTACACAGATTTTAAATATCATTTGCTTCCATCTTTTAGAACAGAAATCAACAGCCAGGACTCACCCCAAAAGCCAGCACTATCTCTAAGAAGGAAGTCAAGTATGGAAGATCACAAAAAACCATCTGTTGTATTGCTTGTACTGCGACAACAAGACTAGCCTCGTGGTGTAACTACAGGGAGAGATAACAAGAAGAGACATGTATTTAAAAGCCCACTTTCCCCACTACTTGCCTACCTCATCTCGTCAAATCAGCACTAAATCACTACCATTCCTAATAGACAGGTTAGATGTCAGACACGACATCCATGTGAATCTTAAGAAGGCCAAAAGAAAGGGGAATAGAATAGGTATTTATTTTTGGGAGCATCAGGTAAAACATGCTATGAAGTCCTCCCAGAAACATGAAGCAGAAATAGGAGTCACATATTTGTAAGCTATATTTCCTCAGTAGGAAAAACCAGTGAGAAATCTCCTTAGATGTACTGACTGTAGTTACTACAGAATATATTCCAAGCCATTTTTAGACATGTTCCACTATACTTGAAACCATTCTTCAAAACAAGCTTAGAAACCCTGAGCTATTCCAAGTTTTGAGCCAAACACTGTGTCAAGTCTCAAAGGGTAGACTCCTGTTGGAAACAAACCACACAGGATCACCCTGTGAGAAGTTAAAGACAGAATCAACTACCACCAGCCCTCCCACTCTAGAAATGTAGAGATTTGGACAGTTATAAGGCAAGACTTGTCCTAGGTTGAAGATGGTGTCGGACCAGAACAAAACCTAAAGGCTTTCTTACTTCAGATGTCTGCTCTAGCCTTTAGACTGTGCTAAAAACAGTCTTATGCCAATTCCTCCCCCAAAATCTTCAAGCTCCCTTTAAAAGCCTTTAATAATCCAACTGTTTTCAATACTTCAAGCACAATAACACAAATAGTAAATTTTCTTATTGCTATGTGCACACTTACGTTAGCAGAGAAAATAGAAGATGGTAAAGAAACATTAATTCTTGCCTTCAGATCCTTCAAAGGGCCACAACTGGCAGCAAGCACCCTCTAAAACACAGGTAATGGGTCACAAGGAGAAGGATGTTCAGATACTCCACAAACAAACAGTGCCCAAGATGTTCTTTGATGTACTTTTACATATTTTTCTTAAACTGCTTCGTTACCCATTTTGTTATCTGGTCCATCTCAACAGTAAAAGATACAGAATCAGTATCAGGCATTGAGCTGCATGCAGAATTAATCACTGTAGTATTTAACACTCCTGAATCACAACACTCTGCACATACAAGAGTATTTGAGGAACTGTAAAGTTAACCTTAGCATTTAGAAGAACAAGCCAATGCCCACATCAAATGAAGTCTCATAAATCCAAGACAAGAGGTTCTCCCATTTCACTGGACTGTTTCAGTTACCGTTTGGAAGTCAAGTGTTGGCTCTCTCAGGTACACGGGACGTAGGTGCCCACGTTTTCCAAGAGAATTGCTGCTGCCCAAGACCATAATGAGGGTACTCCAGCATTTAGGCTGCAAGACAGCAGAGCATTTGTTTTACAAAGCCAAACCTGTTCACAGAAGTGCAAATTATTCAGAGGTAAAAGGGTTTTGACAGCAAATCTTTGCACTAGGGAAGTAACTGGACAAAAGAGGTAATATAGAGAAACACTCAAGGGGCCACGGAAGCCCAGTTTTAAGGAACTCACATTCCTGTAGAGTGACATGTTGCTGTAAAGGAGTTTCAGTGCCTGCTTAATCAGAACACTATCTTTCAAGGGACGCCCTGTAAGAAGAAAAAAATATCCAAACCATCTTATATTTCCTGAATAACTACAGATTAGGAAACCAAACAGGATACCTCGTTACAGGTATGTTTCTACAGAAACCTAACAAAGAGACAAACAAGTGTCTACAACTGTTTTACAGTACTTAGTAGGTTCTGAACTGAAAGATACCAGCAGTAAAATGCTATTCTGGAAAGCTGCTAAGAACTGAATACAATTTAGACTAAGCCATCAGAGCAGGTGACCCAGAACAAAGTCTTCATTATGTACATCCCAGTGCGATACACACTGTCAGTATCTCGTATTCTGAAGAACTCTGCTAGTAGCTGAACATCTCCAAAATAAATCAGAACACCCCTTGACAAGTAGCACACACCAGATGATCCCAGTTATCTGTGCCTGGCCTAATGACAGAATGTAATGCACAGACTATGAAACCCTTTCCACCAGGAAGCTTTAATTCTCAAGGTCAAAGCTGAGACATACCACAGTGCAAAGTGACACACTACCCCTAGAGTCACACCATGATGCAACAGGGAGATCTGTATGGTCATAGGTTGCTTTTGGCAAAACAACTTCACAGTTGATGAAACTAGAGTCTTGTGTGAGGTGCAGCCAAATGAGGGTACACTTCATGCTCAGATATAAAGACATTCTTCCTGCCTGGTGCTATGGCCTATGCTTTAGTCCAGGCAATTTATAGTTGGGATCAGAGTCCCTTAGGATGTTATTAATATTAATGAAAAAGTAAAAGCCATAATTAAGATTCTAAACATGCTTAAGGAAGAAATCACACTTGCCAGCTGCAGTCCAGACCCCAGGGTCCAGTATATCATTTCCTTTTGGGACACTGCCTGTTCTGAACATCTTCAGGTAGACCTCGAACTCAGAAGCTGTTAGGCGGCAGGCAGTGCAGCAGGCCAGGCTGTTGACAGCAAACAGCAGGGAATTTGAAGCATCCATGAAGTTTCCAGATTTACACAGATAGAATGGGATTTTATCCTGCAGGTATCTTAACCTGGAAAGAGAAAAGGGATGAGTATTTTATTTTCATTAATATGAAAGTTTTACTATATATTTTAGAGATCAAATTGTGTTTGACCACTAGTGAGTTACACTGATGAGGCAGAAGTAAGTTGCAATGCAGCATTGCTTTCACTTAGCAAACAGCTGCCAAAATCCTACTGCTTTTCATGCTATTAGTTTATTACATATTGAAGAGAAACAGGTTAGGACACATTCTTAAGGCAAAGAAATAATTGGGAAGATAAAAAAAACACAACATTTACCCTTTGATATCATTGCACTTCACAGCCCTGAGGTAGTGAACAACTTCTTTATAGCTGGGGAGGAAAGAAAAAAGATAGTAGGAAAAGCAAGGAAGTGGAAAGCTATATATAGGTCAATAAAACATATACTACAATTAATGAAGCAAAACAATAGGTTTTCCTACATAAGATACATTGCACAAGACGAGACATAACTGGTAGAAAGAGACAGCTGGAATGAAGTTCCAAGAAGCCACCCACTGATTGTATCTGTGCTCTGGCAAAATAAAACAGGAGGCTGCTTTTCAATTTAATTCTTTAAGTGGACTGTATTCTTTTAAATGCAGACTTCTGAAGACCCAGAGACCAGAACACACTTTTTTGGCCATCTTCCACCTAGTCAGCCTTTAGATGAACAGGATTTGTTTTAAACATCAACCCCTAAAACCTACTGGGCCTATAGAAACAAGGCAATGATCCACTTCAACATTCTTTTTCTGACCCTGAAGCATTCAAAGGCCTTGATTCTGCTTTGAAAAACTTCAAAAAGCTACTGGCCTTCTTGATAAGTAATGGGCACAAACAGCTTCAAACGTGTCTTTGCTTTGCAGGTTTCCCCATTATACAAATCTCAGATGTTAGGCAAACACTACACTGCAGTCAGCACCATGCAAAACAAATGATGTGTTCATAAAATAAAGAACAAAACAAGGCCAAACTGATCTTACTTCTTCTGGTCTACCAATCTCTCCACTCGAGCCTCTATAACAGGAAGACATTCCCACAGGGACACTTTTCTTCCTTTCGTTTTTCTTTGACCAGTGACATTCTGGCCTTTTAACACAGTGGTCAGTAACACGTGATCCCATGGCATAACATTCAAGCTGGAAGTACAAAAAGAAAGTCATTTTCAACCATGGGTTTTTGTACACCAGGACTCCTTTCCCTTAAGCAACATGAAGATTTAGCAATGAAACAGTTCTATATGGACAACTTAGCCATAGGATCAACAACAACTTTTCCTGTAGGAAAGGACAAATACAAAGCAGCTGATACTCCCTATAAAACGCTGATGCCCATTCTATACAACTGTTTTCACATCAGGCAACTGTATAAAGACATCTTCTCTAAATGACCCATGAAGAACATACCTATTTGAGAAGCCAAAGCAGTGACATGGAAGTGAGATGGTCTGAAAATACTTAACAAACATTTCATGCAAGGATCTGGGGAAGTCACACAACACCAGCATCCTCTGAAGTTGGGTTGTGATCCTGTGTTTTGAAGAGAAAAAAAACCAAAGAAAAATGAAGATTCTCTTAAATTTGGAGGAACTACTATTAAGTTGTTGTGGGGTTTGGTTTTAATCCTATGGGAAGCTATTCTACACAAGTTCAGGGGCTTGGTTTTGGTTAAAAATCAGACAGTTTGGATCTATACTTGAATTTGTGCTTTAAGATTTGTAGTGAGCAACTGTATTGGTCTTTTATTGTTTTAAACATCAGTGAAACCAAGGTTCTGTGGCCTTAAGTTTTAAAACAAAGATCAGCACTGAGTATATGGAGAAACACTGATGAACCCAAGAAGTAACCTGGTCAACTCAAGCTCCTGGCACCCTCATAGCTACAGAAGCCGTTTCTCTCTTACCTGACCACTGGATATAACACAAAGGAGGTTTACTCTTTGAGAATTGGGTGAGGGAGACAAAAAATTCCTTTTCCTTTCCTTTTAAAGAAATTAAATTCAGGAATAGCAATTTAAAATGAAAACTGATAGAGAATTTAGGTTACACCTGTCATTCGTTCCAACTACGAGGTGAGAACAGGTTTTTGAGGGCTCCTGAAAAAAAAGTTAATTCTTAATTCATTAACCTTCTGGTGCAAGTGAATTTTGGGTTAAAGGAGAAATATGAAGCTAAAATGAGAAATGAATTAAGCCAAGTGAGCTCGATGTCCTCATTCATCAGCCTCAAGGGAACAATGCTGTTACATACGTGACTACTCCATCCCAGTGGAATACTACAAGGCTGCTGTGTTGGTCTTTAACAGATCACTATTTACTCTTTGGCTTACCAACCACAAGTAGCTACCTGACACCACCTTCTGGTCTGGCCTTGCAGAGCACTCTTAGAGTACCGTCAAAAAGTAATCCATCTTCTTGGCTTCATGTTATTCCCCTCTGAAGCAGCACAGAATGGTTTGAATATTTATGTGGCTCTAAATAAAGCCAATATTGCCCTTGTCCTTCACAGAAAGGAACTAATATTCAACAAAGCTTTTAAACCCCCTGATTTGTAGCGTACAGCTGTAGAACCTGACAGCACGCTCACGAGGCTGACTGATGTACATTGTATTCTGCCTGTCCCTACCCATCTGCAGTCTACATGCAGGCAGCAGCAAGCTGCTCTTGCTCTGCTCAATACCTGAGACACCACAGTGAGGTTGTGCTCCCTGATAAGGAGCTCCTGATGCCACAGAACCAGAGGATTATACACCTGTGCAGGTTTACTTCTGCCTTCTAAGAGCCAAAGCATTCACTTTCTTTATGCTTTTGAATAGAAGTCATTTGAAATGTATTTTAAATGCAAGCAGAAAGTCTGCACCCAGCAACAACCCCTTTGTCCTCTCATCATATGGCAAGATAAGTCTTACCTTTGCAGCAGACAATGGACAGCAATCTTTAATGAAGAAGAGCTATCAAAGTTCTGACAGTTTCTAAAAGAGGAGGATAAAAGCCCTAATTAATGTTTGTCTTGTTTTCCTGCCTTTGCCCTCTTCTCTATAATCAACTCTTTAAGAAAAACCCACCTTGACTTCTCCTTTAAAAAAAGCCTTGATTTTAAGCCCCAAACTATATTGATTTTCCAGTGCAAAGCTCTGCAACCTTTGCTCAAGCTAGACAGTAATCAAGCATGAAACAGCCAGGATATAAACAAGTAAACAGCACCAGTAGTAAAGGCTGAACTATCTAAACTCTGGTTGTATCATGTTTCATGCAGTCCTCCCAGCTGACAGAGCAGCCTCCAGGCTTAGGGGAGGCAACTAAAACTTATTACCCAAGGAACACATCACATCCTCCCTTCCTTCCAGGTCTGAAGCAGATGTTTATTCACACAGTGCAGCTTGTGCACTCTCCACTCAGGAAAGCTCCCTTGCCGCTGTGCCCTCTCCTCAGGAATTAACCCCACCAGCCACCATCTGCTGTCTATCAGCCTCCCACCTCCCAGTTTCCATCTCAAATTCCTTCCCCTTGTTGGAGATCATCTCCCCTCCTCGTGACTCAATCCTACTTAACTTCTTCCTCTCACATCCAACCTTTAACCTCCTCTTTTCCTCAAAAGCCCTCCCCATAATCAGTCTCATCTCTCCCTCAGGTGTGCTCAATTTCCTCTCATTGTACTGCAGCCAGAGCTGTGAACTGTACACCATTCTTACCCTTAATAAATGAAAAGCCAGAACTCTTAGTCTCCTCCCTCTGAGGAGCAAATGAAGCTCACACACTGGAAGTGGAACTGGATACTTACAAAGAAGGGTCCTTATGAAATGCTATCTCCTTAGCTGCTCCCAGAAACATGACAGCAGTAGCTTTTGGATTCTCTTTTTCTGCCTGATTCAAAAATCTTGTTACCAGTGTAAAAATTCCAGAGTACCTAAGAAAGTGGAGTGGTCTATAAGATAAAGTGCCTGCAATGATGGACTTCATAAACAAGTGGCAATTACAACCATTCTACAGTTCGAGAGCAAACTGACTTGCCTCTCCTTGAAAAGCCTCTCTAACAGTTTAATAGCTCATAGGCCAAGTAAGGTCTTCTCAACTCTTCCTGCTGTATCAGGTGCAGCAATTTCAATTACCACTTCACCAAAGGAAGTCAAACTTGCACTGAGCAGCATGTACTGCTAGTAGCTGAGTTCTGTTGTCACTTACTTGTATACAGTCTCTATGCTATGTGATATGCAGACATCGCATTTCCCAGGGGGGAGTTTTGGGAAGCAAAAGCATTCATGTTGTGTGGGAAGCACTTCTTCTCCAAGCAGATACTTATTATATTCCTTACAAAGTTCCTCTATAAATTTTTGTAGAAGATCTCCTACGAGAGCAGAGACAGATGTGAAATCAAGCGCAAGATTTAACCTTTTCAAAGCAAAAAGAAACACAAAAACAATCATAAGCACCCTGTGTGAAATACTTTTTGTTGCTTGCACCCAATCTTACTGCTCAGGAAAGCTTTGTTGCTTCTTTGGGAGGAAAGCAGGAAAGTGCACAAACTGCACCTGCAGACCTGTGTCTACTCTGAGTACAGCTCAGAGGAGTAACAGTAAGCTGCTATCATAAAACCCACCAAGCCTTTTCAAGGGGAGTTGTGGACCAGACAAGATGCCCATCAAGCCCCAGACTGAGTAGCCACAGCGAGCCCCGTGTCCCAGGACAGTATGATGTGTACTTACCACCACGCTGAAGGTCTGCATCTATATCTGTGAGCTGCAAATTGAACGTTACAAGGACGCCACTGAAGGAAGAGTCATGTCGATCCCTCCAGAACTTGCTTTTGTTGTGTGCATTGCAGTGGCAGAGGGCAGGGACTGTCCAGTTCTCGCACTATTTCATAAAACATGAAAACCAGGGAAAGGTTGGGGTTTTTTTTCCCCCTCCCAGATGAGCAAATCAAAAGTTAGTTCCTCTGAGTGAAGGTCTACAATTCACTTTACAGACCCAGGCAAAGCCACAGTGAAGTATTTGGACAGTCAGGGCAAGAGGCTAATACAGTAACAACTTGATATCATGGCTAGCAAATAAAGCCCACAGTAATTTCCTATCATTCCTGAATACCTTACAGAGACACGTCAGGCTGGCACCCTCCCCACTGTCACTTGGTGACACAGCACTTTGCATGTTCACCCTCGCTTCCAAAGCTTTCCAAGACAAACTCAAACAACCCAACCCCACACACCCAACTCCTTCAACTCCCTCACTCTCTGTTAGCAGCCTGATTCAGTAATTTGAATACAGATGAAATACACTGGGTGGCTAAAGCAAACAGGAGGTACAATTGCTCACACCAAGTGAATATGTACTCCAACAACTGGCTGGGCTAGCAGAAATAAAGCCAGCCAGTGACTATGCTAGAAGCATTGTGAAGAGATAAAGATTTAGGAGAGGAACTGTTAAAATATTAAATTTCATCTATCATTTATTCTTTTAGTGTGTTCAGGAGCAATTTCTTTTTCAAAAGACTGTTGAGGAATGGAGTTTACCCAAAGTTGTGAGATCCTTGATTACAATTCTTACCTGAGAAGCTAGCTTATCACAAATATAGCAGTAGCACTGGTCACAAATATCAGCATTATTCTCAAGGGGTGAGCATGTATCACATTCCGTTTGCCTACAAAGTGGAAAAGCAGGTTATTTATGAACCAAGTTCATGCTTATCCAACTCTATTGCTTTCAGCTGCCTAAAAAGTCAACAAGGTTACTCGATAAGATAGCCTAAATGTGGAAAATGAACCCCCCCATTCACCTCCCCACCAGTGAGCATACTCAAACTTGTGCGTTGTACAGTCGTATCTTGCATGAGGCATCACATCAGGTTTTTTGCAGAAAGTAATCACTAGACCACATTCCTCGTCCACAACTTCCTCGGATTTCTCCTCCTCCGGAGCAGGCTCCTCTGTAGACAAGATAAGCATAAGGCAGGACAAAGGAAACGACAGCTTCATTACAAGTTCATCCAGCTATTGTGACTTTTACTTTAAGGCCCAAGTTTTCTGATGGTTTCATACAGTGTCAGTAAGAGTGGGTGCTGTGGTTTAAGGCCAGCTGGTAACTGAGCACCACACAGCCATGCACTCACTTCCCCTCGCTCCTGGCGGGATGGGAAGGAGAGTAAAAGAATGTAAACCCCATGGGTTGAGATAAGAACATTCCAGTAACTAAAGTATAATACAAAGCTACTATTAGTACCACCGATAACAATAAGGGAAATAGCAAGTGGACAGAATATGAAACTGAAAAGGGAAGCAAAAACCCCAACAATAAACACAAGTGATGCCCAATACAATTGCTCAGCACCCACCAACCCAGTGTGACCTGAGCCTTCCAGGTGACTCCCCCCAGTCTCTATCATGGGCACGATGTGCTGTGGGATGGAATACCCTTTGGCTAGGTTGGGTCAGGGGTCCTGTCTCTGCTTCCTCCCAGCTTCTTGTGCCCCCCCTCACAGGCAGAGCATGAAACTGAAAAGTCCTTGATCAGAGTAAACTTTACTGAGCAACAACTAAAACATCAGTGTGTTATCAGCACTGTTCTCAGGTTAAAGCCAAAACACAGCTCTGCACCAGATACTAAGAAGGCAGAAACCAGCAGTTACAGCTGAACCCAGGACAATGGCACAGGGGTCTGGAACAAAAACTTCCTGACACTATCAAAACAGAACTTATGGAATTAAAAAGGATCCAACCAACACTGAGCCCAATCTCAGCCCAGTTTATAACAGTTTGAAGCAGAAAGACTCATTTTAAGCTTATCAATAATTTATACAGATAGCTTTATAATTAATAAACATCAGTTTTATTTCTAAAGCTCTTTACAGAACTGCCTCAACACCAAGAGCACAGCACTCACCCAGAGGGTCCACAAACATAACTGGGCTCCCCAGCATGTCCTCAGCTTCATCATCACTGATCAGGATTATGCTCTGCTCTTCCTCTTCTGTCGATGACTGCATGGTTAGCAAAGTCCACTGAAAATCAGCTATCTGAGAGCAAACGGGACACAAAGTTAGTGCTTACTTGGGAAGTCCTTTCCTCAAGAAGGGAAATAAAGACTTCTCCCTTCATCTATGGGAAGTTATGCTAGGGACAGAGATAGTCAATGCTCAGTACAGAGCAGCTCAAAACACTGCAGATTTCACCCAGAGCTGAGAGAACCCTATAAAAAAAGGGAGGTGGGGGGGGAAAACAACCCCAAAGCACTCAAAGCGCCGTTCTTTTGGTTTGGCGGGCACGCCCATGAAGCAGCTCTTTAACAGTTATTGATCACCGGAATTAGAATCACAGAACGAACTGGGTGGGAAAATCCTTTAAGGCCGTTAAGAACCATCCCCCGAGGCCACCACTAACCCGAGGCACTGAGGCCTCGTCTACCCGGGGTGTGAACGGGGAATGCAGCCCTGCCCTGGGCACCCTTGGGGGAAAAGAAAACCCAGCTGGAGGCCCCAGAACTGCCCAGCACAGACCCTGCTCCCCCCACAAAAACAAACACCGCCATTACACCCTATGGCGCTCACACAACGGCCCCTGCCCTCCTTGAAACCAACCGGTCTCCCCTTCTTTTCACCCTCTACCTCACCTCAAGCAGACTCCTCACCCCCCCTCAACTGCTTTCCCCTTCTCCCCGTCTCGGGCACAAAGCACCCCCGAAAACAACCTCCGCCCTCGCTGCTGCCGCTCGGCTAGGCTCGGCTCGGCTCGGCTCGGCGGCTCGGCTCCCCCGCTCCCCGGCTCCCCCGCTCCCCGGCTCCCACGCTCCCCGGCTCCCACGCTCCCCGGCTCCCCCGCTCACTCCCGCTCACTCCCGCTCACTCCCGCTCACTCCCGCTCACTCCCGCTCACTCCCGCTCACTCCCGCTCACTCCCGCTCACTCCCGCTCACTCCCGCTCACTCCCGCTCACTCCCGCTCCGCTGTGGGCAGCGCCTCTCAGCCCCGCCACTATTTGAACACGAACTCCTTCCGCGGGGGTGACAGCGGAAGGGGTTCACGACCTAATGGCCCCCTCCCCCCCCCCGCGTTACTTCCGCCCTGACAGCGGCGGGGCGGCCATGTTTAGTGAGGGCAAAGCCCGGCGCCGCCATGTTTAGAGAGTGCGAAGCGCGGGGCCGCCATGTTTAGTGAGGGCAAGCCGCAGGACGCAGTGCGGGCACCGCTCCCGCAGCGGTGGGGCTGGTTAAACGCCCGCTTCCTCCTCCATAGGGTGTAGCATGAGAGGGAAATGGGAACCAGTGTAGGGTTCTCTTGCCGTGTGAGGCCGCACAGGAGGGGAAGAGGGAGGTGGTGAACCCCATTGCCCTTCCTATGGCCTTTGTGGGGTGCCATGGCCCCACAGATGAACCGGCTCCGCACGCCTCCCCGCAGCCGGGGATGTTGTCTGCATTCCGGACACGCTCATCCCGAGCCCCCGCGGCCAGGACAGCAGCTGCTGCTGGGGGAAATGCTTTCACTGCATGTGGTCAGCTCTAATCGCCACTTTCTGTCGCGACAGGCTCTTCCTATCGCGAACCCGGCTGTGAGGCAAGAGCCCCATCCCGCAGCTGCGGTCTCCGTGGGAACACTAGATGGTACCAGAGCTCTATACAGGCTCAGGCAGGACCCGGCCAGCAGAAAGGACCTCAGAACCGGGAATTCCGGAACGTGAAAGATGTAAAGCTGCGATATAGAAATAGTATGGAAAAGTAATCGCTTTTTTCTATGGGAAAAAGCAGAGGAGGGGGTGCGAATAAAATAAGGCCATTTGTGGTGTTCAGGCAACAAGTGGAATGTATTTGTGGTTAAAGATGATCAGCAAAGGACCAGTACCTGGTAGGGACTCACTCGAAGGCTAATTTGCAATGAGTGTCTCATTATCATTAATTAGCCAAGGAAAATCTAAAAGGTATTTTAACATAAGCAGAAACTGCCATTAAATCATGAAACTTAAGTTAATTCCTCATATAATTAATATTGGGACTATTCAAACAGCACTCAGTGACCACCTTCTCTGCGCACATTGCAATGCACTGCCTGAGATGGGAACGTGTTAAAAGAAGCAGCCTTCCTGCACATGGATATGTATTCCATGAATAATCCTGAATGTCTCCGTAGCTCTCAACACACGTGGGCAAAATGCCTCCGGTTGCTGTGCTTACAATGAGGAATCTCAACCTGACACCTAAAGAGGTGGCTCTGGTAGGGAGAGCTTTCAGTGGAGACATCATTTCCCTCCGGCAGTTGCCCCTGTAGCATCGACAGCGTTTTAGCAGCCCTGGGTAACTCAATGCAGCAATTTAGGTGGTGAAATGAGGTACTGAGATAGGGAGAAACAACAGAGGCAGGGCTGGCACTCGGCCACAAGCGTTTTGCTCTCATGCAGAAGAAGCCCTACAAGATGAGGATCTTATGGCTAAATATGGTCAGGACTTTAGCGCTGTGCCTCATCCAGAACACAGCAGCGCTGGTGTTTCCTCTCTTTTCCCGATGAAGACTTGGCGGCATCGGCCTATTTTTAGTGGTGTGGGTGTAAAATATGTGGGTTGTGTTTCACATCGCCTGAGCTCTGCCATGGCGGGGTTCCTGCCCAGGCCTCGCAGAGCTCAGCGTCTGGGATTGACATCATAGGCTCCTGCTTCACGGGCTCTGTCTGCTTCGTTCGGGGGAAAGAGGCAGCTCTCCTGCTCCTTGAGCCTGTAAGGCCAACACAGTGCCCCATCCTGAGCTCCAGGCTGTGAGGTGAATAAAGCAAGGATAGAGCATCCCGCAGAGCACCAGTGATGAGGCTGGTGGTTGATCCATTTCAAGCAGCCAGCCAGAAGTGGTCCATAAAGCACTAAAAATGCCTCAAAATACAGAAGGAAATGCAAACAGGATTCTTCTGTTCATGTTTCAGCATGAGAGCAACAGCTTTCCCATCACCTCACAGCACAGGGTGATTTGCCATGCGCTTCCCCTGCCCCTTTCTATGTGAAGGGAGCTGGAGCTCTGCAATGCTATTTGCTTGGGCTTGGAGCAGCATGGGGCTGTGTTTGTCAGCTGCATGGAATGGGGGTAAAGATCCAGGGATAAAGGAGATGAGGGTGTATTTGGGGGTAGCTGGAAAACCCAGAATAAAGAAGGGGAATACTGACAACAGTTAGCCGCAGGCTGGAACATCAAGGAGATGCCCTGCATCATTAAATTGCTGCAGATCATTGTTGCTGTGCCTATTGCTTCCCCAGAGGGGTGAAATAAGAGGACCCACATCAGTCCTGCCTGTCAGGAGCAGTCTGGACATTAACTGAAGATGCAGAAGACTTCTGCTTGCTGGGAATGAGGACCAGGGGAGTGGGAAAGGGAAGTAGAAAGGGAATTTCTCTCTGACCGCAACAGCAGAGCTGTGGAGCGAACAGACCATTAAAATGTCTGTGCAAAACAATTGTCACGTCCCATTTCTATTTGCTGCTGCTTCATTCTGCTGAAAGGCAAAGGCCTGTTTGTACCTGATGACAGGCTTGGGGTAGATCAATTGCCTGGAAAGGGCTCTGAGGGTTGAAACCTACAATTCCACATGGACAAGGGCTAATCCATCAGCCTGCTGAGCCCAACCAAGGTGCTGCAGGTCTTTCCAGGCACTTGGAGCTGACTCGTGTCATGGCTCTTGTGCTTGTTTGGCCCCGAGAAGGGATGTTCAGTGTTGGAACTGTAAAAGAGATTCTTGTAACTGAGCTTCTGGGAAAAGAGTCGTGGTCTTTCCTAGCTGCCTTTGGCATCTCTACAGATTCACTGCTTCTGTTGATGGGCAAACTTTCCATGGTGACATGCAGGCGGGTTCCCCCTCGCTTTAATCTCTGAAGTGCCTCCTGGTACATTGCAATGGGCTGACGAAGCGTCGTCTGCTGCATGGCATCAGCTCTGCTCAGGTTTCATAGGGAAACAGGACTTACGTGATTATAACGTGTGTATGAGTGAATGACGGGCCCTGTTTGTATCCTGATGTTGCTGAGATGGGAGGAAATCATCCTGGTTCTCCAAACAGCGGGATCCAAGAGAGGGGTTGAGGAGAAAAATGTGCCTTACAGTGCAGGAGGAGAGAAGTGGTGGCAGAGCAAGGGAAATGGGTTAGCTTGGAGCCTGACTCAGTGGCCTACCTCTGTCTAAGTAAGAAACAAGCTTTAACTTGAATGCTGATTTTGTGAGGAAATGAGATTCCTCTCAGGATAGCCCCAAAGGTGTAAGATTCCCTCATGTTTCCCGCACAGCCCCAACCAGTGGGAATTCTGGTGCCCATTTCAACCAAATGGACAGCAGGTAGAAACCCCAAAGGTAACAGGTTCCTAAAAGTACTATGGTAAGAGATGTGCACGTGCGAGAGAGAGAAACCCTCCATCTATGCCTCTCTGAGGTCATAAAACTTCAAATCCAGGAAGAGATGGGGCAACAATTCCCAAACCATGGAAAAAGCTTGGTAGTATTCATGCCTATGGGACACCAGAGAGTCCACACGGGCTCAGATGCCTAAGGAAGGGACTCTGGGTGGCTGATCAGGCAGGAATTGCTCCGGGTGAGGTATTCATCATGTCTTTTTTCCCCCCGTGCCTTTTCTGGTGTGTAAGAAGGGCTGAAAGCCCCAGTACAATTCAAAGCCCATCAACCATGAGGCAGGAATCCATTGGAAACTAACAGGACAATGTGGGTTTTTTAATGCTTGAAAGAAAACAGTTCATTTAGCTCTTTCCCCTTGTAATGTTTCCTTCCCCAAGACCAAATAAAGCCGAAATGAGATGCCGTGAGAAGGACTGTTCTCAGGGTGTTTCAGGCCCTGTAAAAGTGCTCTGGTTTGATGGCTTGCAGGGGGACAACAGCCAGGCCAGGCCAGGAGAATCACAAGGACCCACCAGTGCTAATTCCCCTTGGGCTCGGAGCCAGCCTGCGTGCCGGGCGGGAGAGAGGAGAAGTGGAGATGCTCCCTACCTCGGCACAGCGGCAGCCAAGAGCTCTCGATGTAAGAAACAGAT